ATCTAAATAGCCGAGTATCAAATTAATGATGCGCATCTTCGGACTGTTTTGTTATTCATAGTCTATGCAGTCAGACGGATCAAAAACACCATATAAACAACCTGGCAGGAAGAGAGACAAGTCGGAAGGCTTCCGCTTTCTTGGGCTGACTAGTTTCAGGTGTAATATGCGAAAATTCTTACATGATTACCGTATGTACCAGGTGATTTCGGTCTTTGTAACAACCCGAGAAGAGTCGAGGAAACCGGTTCGCGAGGAGAGGAGCTTGGCTTGGCTGTAAGATGTAAGCTTAGGTTAGACCAGATTCCATGCAGGTCCTTGGCGAGATATCATTATCCAGCCTTATCGAGACAGAGACAGGGCACGACAGGGATTGCAACCCGTAGCAGCGGGCCATTGCCTCAACACGAGGATGATCTGCCTGTGGCTTTTTTATTTGGGTGTGAGGTTGAGCCTCTAACAAGATGCGATGTGATGCCATGCAATTTCAACTTGTGAATGGTGCCCGCAGAGAAACAGAAGCAGATCCAATACTAAGAACTTCCGAGACCCACTAGACTAGATATTCAAAGACGCAAGCGCCTCTTTCGGATCTTGATCGAGAGTCTAGAGGAGGAGAAGACCGAAAAAACATTCCGATCCGATACTGTACCCATGGTGTCCTTGTCTTTTCTCTCGTGTTTTGTCAAATCACGCAAGGTCGTTTCATCTAACCCCTCAGTAAATGCGAACCAGGGGCGGGTTGCTACTCCGCTTCAGAGGGGAAGAAGAAGAAGAAGGTCTCTGCAGATCATTGGATAGGATCTCAGAAGATGGTGTTGTTTTGTTGTTGTTTATGTTTATCATCTGCGGTTGGTTGCGGTTAATTCATATGCGTGGCAGGCCTCAACTTGTAGTCGACTGACAGCCAACTACTGTAGACCCAACCTTGGATAGGTAAACTTAGAGACACGGACCGTAGGTGGACTGTATCTGCAAGGGCAACATTTACACACGTGTGTGTAATTTCTGGAAATAAATCAAAGACACTTGTCTCTCTACTAGCTTCGATCCTAGTAAAGTTACCAAGTGATGAGTTTCTCTTAGCAAGCTGTATGGAATTATGTACTTGGAATAGCTTCCATGTAGACGGAGTGGGGCCGAATTTGAAGCTCCGATCGATAATTAACAACAACAAACTCAACTCCATGTGCCTCTTATCACATATCTGGAGGCCTGATTCTTGATACGCTACTGTTTACAACTAAAGACGCAAACTAGAGGATAAACATCAGCTCTGCAGGCCTCTAAGAACGGCCCGTGTGACGCGGTTATCCAACTTGTCAACTCAACTCAAAAGTTGTTCAAACGGGAACCATCATGTCCGTCCTTTAGTCCGCGTTATTATGTATGCAATGATGGTATATGATGCAATGGCAAAGACTGAAGAACAAAGGCCGAGCAACCATCAGAACGTCAACTGAACTCTTTTCCAACTCGGACCCTGCGCCACTTGGTCTTGGTAAAGGTCCCTGAAGTTTCAATGTAGAATTCTTTTAGTCTTTTCTTTGGTTCTCTGATTCTGACTTGTCTTGTTGCGTCGAGAAAACTAAAACCTCTCGGCGTTCCACATGATAACTGGATGGGCGGCCGCAGACTGTTAATTGTGGCACAAAAAGGCGAGTTGCTGCTCATAGTCGTGGCTAGTTTCGGTCAAGTAGCAGATGGATGTTGAAGGCGGAGCACGCCATGGCATTGGCATGGTTCATCTTCTCCAGTCTAGTTCAGTCTAATTATCCCAACCAGGAAGTGTGGAGTTGATTCGACCAAGCTGAAAGATATCGTAGCCCATAGAGTCTACTAGAGAGTATCCGTACATTGCAGCAGGTTAATAACATGCATGCCTTTAATGTACTGCAGCAAGCAAGTCAAGGAAGTAAAGGAAACTTGTCGCGAATTGGCTAGACAGATACACGCGGGAAGGCGAACTGCTCCGAAGGATCATGGTCTGTGTATGTGTTACTGGTTGGAGCACAGAGTACAGCACATCACATTAGGTAGGTACATATGGACAACATCAAAACAAATGTCAGTCAGACAGATCTCAGGCAGTGCAATACAAATGCAAGATATAAAGTCAATGGGAGCACAACCTCTTTTCTTACTCAGAAGTGTTGATATTACTGCTCGAAGCATAACCCGATGCTGCTTACACGTGCTGTCTGCAAGCCTCGCAATTGATGCCGCTTTCAGCAGCTGTTATATGCCTCTTTCTCTTCATAATACAGGTACCAGCCAGTCACTTCAAAAAGACCATAAGGGTTTGTTGATATACAGGGTCGCTACCAGGGCCGTCTACATACGACCCGGAACGGGCCTGCCGTGTGACGACAGGGGCATTGTAAGATGCAGATGCAGTTGAGGAATTGATCATTATGTCGTATCTCAGGCTGCTCAACACCGGCTCGATGGCGAGATGTGTGCGGGAGTAATCGCAAGGGCAGACAGGCCAGGGCCTTTGTGACGGGTGATACCAGCAACCAGGCCAGACAGCAGACAGCAGAAGCGGATAGCCTCTGATGTTGTTATGCGGCAGAGCAAAAGCAAGCTCGGGTTGAGCAAGCAACGGACAGGGCTCCGTGTATTATGTTTCTCGGTCTCTGCGCCTACGGGCAGGGATCTCGTACTGCTTTTGCGTCGTCCGCTCCGGGGCCTCTTGATCCCGCTGTGACCCCCGTCGTCATCACCTCCGGGGCCGGGGAAGAAACAAAAGTGCAGGAGGGAGAGTAACTGGTAAGCGAGTTTCGAGTTTCGATTTCGACAATCACGAGCGGTCGATACGACGGATTTCTTGGTGGAGTTGAAGAGACTCCATCAGTCAGTCTATCAGTCAGTCATGCTTCTAGCGCTATTCCTCTGCTCACAGATACTGTCATTTTGATGCAGAATAAAGCAGAGTGCCCTATTCTATGCAATTGCAACCCCCCGGACAAGCCAAGGGAACTTAGGGAAGTCCCCGGTGAAGCAACCCGTCCGGAGATACAAGTACCAGGGTCGCAAGCCGCGCCACGATACGGTCGTGTTGCCGCTACGGGTGATAGAGGGAGAGAGAGACAGAGACAATCACATTGGATCGATTTGTAGTAGTAGAGAGCAAGGTGAAAAACAATAAGCTTCTGTTCCTTGGAATGGTAAATAACGGGTGGCCAGCCCGCAAGCGCTAGATAATAAGCGTTGCACTGTCCAGGATTCAAAGTTTGTGTTTGAGACGAGATGGATCTCGTGTAGCATCAATGAGATATTCTAGGACTTGCAGTGGACCACAGTATGTACACGAGCGGGCTATTCTACGTACATAGTACACAGTAGTAGAGTAGAGATTCAGCTTGAATCAATTGTGTCAATTCAATCTTATTAGATGAGATTGAACGGCCGCTAATTGATGCTAACAACGATTGTCAAGTGCTAATTCAGCGCCTATGATATCAGTTTCAGGCCATTGCAGCAACTATTGTATGCAAGTCATGTCAAAGTTGGCTGCCCTCCACTCAAAATAGCACGTCTAATCTCTCTTGCTGCGCAGCGCTTGAGACGTGCCCCATCCGAGACCCAATCAATTCCAGGTTTCTCTCCAGTATCTGTACCTGAACTGTCAGGGACAGGATCCATGGATTTACAGCACAGGTGCCCTGAGGCCCGCAGCGACGCTAGATGTTGTTCAGTGGCTCCATCCGCTAATAATAATAAGAGACATCCAACTTGCAGGCGGGGACCTGGACCTGGGTGCCCTGGCCTGACCTGACCTGAACCTGGACCTGGGCCCGGTCTTGGCCTCCGCTGTTCTGGTCCATCCCGTCTGGAGTCGCGAGGTGCTTGGTCTTGATATTCATCCCTGCAGAGACGATCCGTTCTCACTCAAATCTCACCTGCAATCTCCAGGTGTAAAGAAAAGCGTACGATTCAAGAGGCCTAGGGACTGTGTCTGTGTTTATTTCATTCCCTCCCGGCTTGCTTTTGCTGCGTAATAATCGACATCCGTATCTAATTTGACTACTTCGTACCTATTGTTTAGGTTGGCCGCTGTAAGGGGACCCTAGATGATCAAAACACTCGGTAGAAAAGCAAAAGGGGACAACAGAGGAGACATCAAGTAATTGCCAACAACTCTCTTGCATCTTTTGCACTTGATTTTTTCTCTTCTTCCTATTTGATAATATTATTCAATTCCTTCTTTCTTGCCTTTCTTTCTCCGTAGGTAGGCTGTGTTGTTGGTGTTCCAGCGTCTTTGTCCCCACTGACATTGGCATTGACATCCATTTGGATCCTCCAATTGGTATTGGCATTGGCACCTGGACTGCTACTGCACTGCAGGCCGCAACTACCAGCCGAGCTTGGTTTTGGTTTTGGTTTGTTTTCCCCATTGCCGCTTCCGCGACCTGATCACGTCAAATCAATCGGGTCAATCAATCGAACAACAGACCATCTTAGCTGCAGAAGTTCCATTCATTCTTCTTCACAAACTCTTTTGCTTTTCTTCCAGCCTTTTTTTATCCTTCAACCCCCACAGCAAGAGGCACAATCGACCGACTGACGCCGAGGTTCATCGGAGAGAGGGAGAGCTTGTTGCTGGCTGCCCTGTGTTTGTTTTGTTTGTCCGGCCGGTCAGAATCAGGTTTCGCCTAGCCTCTCCTCTTCCCGTCTTTGCAATCGTCCCCCGGGACTACTCGTCTCGTCTTCTCTCAAACTCGGGGGGTCCTTTGAAGCGCTTGGCTTTAGGAAAGGCGTGTGGGTTACAACGGTTTCTTCTCCTTGCACGTATCGTATTATCGTCCAGATCCGATTCGATTCGATTGCGATCCCTTCCCATCGTCGCTCGCTCAAAGGTCCATGGCTTGAACCACCATGAGCATCCCCGCCCTTTCGAGTACCGCCATCCTCCGTCTCTAGAATGCTTGTCGCTGCCTCCTCTCTATCTCTCTCGTGAGTAGAGCCTGCTGGCTTCCTTTGCCATGGAAGCAACCATGCAGACCGTTCCAAGTGTAAGTTTGTTGCTACTAGTTAGCTTTGTCCTCCCCGCAAATCCAATCCACATCCACAATCACATCAAGGCAACCAAGGATCACCACCACCACACACCCGCCATCACATGGGCTGCTATAGACTTTAACCTATCCCACCCACTTTCTGCCCTATTCTACACTGCTATTAGATCCCTTCAAACCCTCTTTCTTGGTGGCTTGACCAACCTCTTTCCCGTTGCAGCAGTACTGTACACTACAGTAAAGTAAAGTAAGCAGTAATTAACCGTGTTTATCTATTCAGCTTGTTGGAACTGGTACTGCTATCGCCGCTGCGGCCAGTGGTTTGGTGTTCGGCCAACCCACCACTGATCCAAACTCCTTCTCCCCTTCGACTCGACGTCCCTCCCATTCCAGACGAGTATCTGTAGACCGCGACCCAACCGCACAGTCGCCATCGCTTAACAACTTTGCCTCCTCACGGCCCGCCACGAGCAACACCGCTGCTTCTGTATTCGGCGCCTCGCACCAGCACACTCTCCCGCGCCCAGTTACCGCCTCGAGGCCACCCCTCTCTCGTTATCAGCGACCGCCTATGCCCCAGACGCAGTCAACTCCCCCACAGCTTAACAGTAGACAGTCGTCACTTGTGAGGCACTCCGAATCTCCAGCCATTATCCCAGAGTCTCGAGACTCCATCTCCTCCAATGGATCTTGGATAAGGCGCTTCTCTGTTCGCCCGTTGTCTCGTCACGAAAGCACAAGGTCGAGTGGCGGTCCCGACGCACCTTCTGTCTTCTCCCACGGCTCAGCCGCTCCGATATTGCGCGGTTCCCCTGCAACGACTCTTCCTCCAAACAAGCTCGTCAAACGATCTACGTCAAACGCCATCGACCCTGACCCTCTACCACGACGACGACGTGCGAAATCTCATCTACAATACCTGCCCACTCTTCGCCGACCTGCTACCAGCCACCAGAGGTCTGCGACTCTTCAGCAATTTCGACCGGACTCTCCTGCGGTGTTCACACCAACAGATTCACACAACGTTTCGTTCGACGACCAGGCACGACCCCACGAGTTCCTCGCCCAGTCTCCAATTGAACCCCCCACCAGATCGACGTCTTTAAGAAGTGGATGGAAATCGTACTTCCATTCCAAAAGGCTTAGCATCAGCGGACGAACAGGCTCAAGTAGGTTAGGTGAGTTGAGTCCACATGCTCGAGCCGTTTCTTCAAAGCGCATTTGCACCGACAACAACGAGCGCGGCAGAGTTCATTTGGTGAAGCCAAGAATGGTTTCTGCAGTACCAGCCCCTCGAGGTCTACTACCTGCTGCACAAATTCAACCAGATATACTTCCACCTCAAACTGCTGAGGAAGAGCCAAACCAATCTCGCGACACTTCCCCTTCTAGAACACCTCGGAAATCAGGTTCGATGCCATTCGCATCTGCAGGAACGTGGGCGGTAAGAACGACAGGGAGCATGCGGCGGTCGAAACCTAGCGCTGAATCCAAGAGCGGGAATAAGCGACGTGTGTCGGAACCGCTAGCTGGTGCGCAACCTGGCGCTGTTCCTCGAACCAATCCGGCCTTTGAATCGACCCTCCCCGCAACATCACCAATATCGGACCGGCAGGGATTGTCGCTTGGTTCAGCTGCCAACATGCAGTTGAAAAGTCGTAAAAGAAACTCTTCATCGCCGGTCCCCCCACCTCCTAGACTTACAAACTTTCATATGGATGCGTCCCGGTTAGGATATTCTACTGGGGCTCCCACCCATCAATATCGACCCAACCAGCCCTCCGGAAGTTCTACCAGCTCCACTGCGATGTCACAACTTCGGGCACCGCATCACGACAGGGCTTCCACTATGGAGAGCTCTGAGGGTGACACTCGAGACTGTACGTCAGTGGACGATGATGACACTGATTTCAAAAGCGATTGCATATTTGATTCGTTGCGCTCCGGCCGTGCTCGTGCTGTCGAGACCCCGTTGGAGTCCATGTACGACGAGTCACCGCCAAGCACCGCCGGCAATGGTACAAAGACGAAGCGTCTGTCTATTCATGAGATGCTTGGTAGAACTTGGGATGAGGATGATAAGATCATGGAGGAGGACGAGAATGCATCCACCCCTGTCCGCACCCTGGATCGATCGGACACATCGCCGCATTTCAGATTAGAATCGAGATTTAACTCGTCACCTTATGATATTTCAACCTCTCCGACCAAGGAGTACAGCAGGCTGTCCTTTGAGGACGAATTCGACGATGATTGGGCCAGGGACGACGAGTTCCAATGTAACCCCTTATCGCCTCCCTCCAAAGGGAGCTCACTGAATTCCAGGGGTATCAACCCTAATGTTCGCCTCGCCCTCGCCAATATCAGCGGTAATGGCGTTGCGGATACAAACGGCCACGATGCCCATAATGATCGCCCGCTCAGCTCACTCTTCGACTGGAGTGAACCTCCAACCCACGACAAATCCGAAACTGGACGATTACCGCGGCCAATGACTTCGTACGCTAAGCAGATGGACCTTAGAGGCGGCCGTTCTTCTACTCGCAGATGCCCGGCTCCAGCTCATATACGTAGTCAGAGCGTTCCGGTCGTTCACGACCCTCCTGAAACTTCGAAACCTACTGGTGCTAAGTATGGTACCTGGGGAATGGCGACCAAGCCCGCCAGCGAGGATTGGGACGATGATTTCGAATTTGGTGGCAGTGGTATCGAGAACAACGACAAGGATGACAAACTATTTGCAGTACCCGAATCTATTCGTGCAACGCAACCCAGCGTCAAGGCACATTCAGGGCACATTCGGGAATTCTCTCTTCTTGTTAACGACCTGAAGCGCCTCTGTCGTCACGCCCGGGATATGGATATGCTTGAAGGATCACAGAAACATCTATGGAAAGAAGCTGATGGTATCATTGCTCTTGCATCACCTGATGAAGAGTCGTTGGACGAGGACAATGATGACCAGAAGTCCACATCATCTATCAATTTTGATGCCTTCGACATTGACGAACGATTTGGGGATGATGGTTTCGACGCCCACTCCATGAACCGTCTTGATGCCGCCTTTGATGGTCACGAACCTCCCATGTCTAAGACGACGGTAGTTCGAGAACGACATTCTCCGCGCCGACGGTCTGTCTTCTCTCCAGAAGATGACATTTTTGGAAACTGGCCCATATCAGACACGCCACCATCGAACCGGCCTAGTCGTCCTAGAACGCCCGAGAACAAGCACAACAAGCCTCATGATGTATCAGGAGTAGTTCGTTCTGTAATCGGGGCGATGCAACATCGTGCCCCCGAACAAGTGCCGGATAAGGGCAAGGTCCATTTCGACACCAACAGCCTCAAAGCTCTTGTTAAGAGAGCCGGTGATTTGCGGGATACACTATCCGACATCATTCGGCAAGCCGACCAAATCACAGAGAGCCCTATGCGTACACCACGAAATACACGACAACAGGACTCAAGTCCAGCTTTCACTCGTGTATTTGATGATCCCGGCTCAAGTCCTCCCAGAAGAGCGGCACGAAGCCGTGGCAACAACTCACTAATAGAAGCTGCATCCTCCGAAAACTCACCGTCTTCTGGTCTACCGCAAAGGATGCAGATGATGACTGTCAACTGATGAACCTGTACTCAGGTGCTCTGCTTTGGCTGAGCGTGTATAAAATAATAATGTGGAATTCTATTTGCATAGCGACGGTCTTGGTGACCTAGGGCTACCTGATTACGCTCAGGCAGGAGTTCATTTTACGAATCAACTGCCACAGGTCTCGACACGAGCTGCTCCGACTTACTCGATCCACCGGAATACTTGATCCCTTTGCATATACTTGAAGATCGAGATCACAACTGTCGATGGACCACGATGCCTACAGCGAGCTCAGGCTTTGAGCACAGTAGGACATTGCGAGAGTCGGAGTGCATCCGTTACGCCCCCGAGCAACGCTCTTAATGACTCTTTACTTTACAAGTAACATGGTAGACGGAACACGAAGCGCTGCATCGGCGACGCCGGTACTCGTTCGCGCGAGTATAGCTTGCGAGAGGCTGTCAGTGTTATACGAATTTTCTTGCGTTGTCCCCTTTGTTATTACGAGGAAACGTGATGTTTTTCGTTTATTTATTTTTCTTTTCTTTGTTCTTTTTCTTTTGTTCTATTCTCGCGGCCTCGACGCCCACTCTAATGCTTTGACGACCACTCAAGGAAAAAGGAGAAAATAAGCAGAGGCGATGTCAAAACAATCTTTGAACTCGAGAGGATTCATGTCTCTTCCCTCGATGTCACGAACAGATTATTTACCACCAACAAGAAGTTGTCTTTGCGAGGCGGAAATACCAAGCTGGACATACACCGATCAACAGTAACGAGGAAAATAAGCAGAAGAGGACCAGGCAAAGGGAGGCTAAGTGGTGGTTATTTGGGATACATACAGGTTCGGATAGGAAAAAAGGGCATAGCGAGAAAAGGAGAGAAGAGCGATTAAAGGTGTTGTGTGTGCTTTTTTGTTGAAGATGCATTGAGGAAGGCGTATATTTGCAGCCCCAGGTCTGTTCTTGTTATGATGCATCCATGGATAGAAATTATAACGGTCATGATGATTAACTACCTATTTTCTAATCCCAATTCCGGTGATATATTGTTTTGCCTATCTGTTGTATCTGGCATCTTGCATTCTAAGAAGGTGAAATTGGCGACTTGTATATGATTTGCCAACTTAAGACTATTATAACTAACAGCAACTTACACAGTCAGCTGTAATGTCTTTGAGAAACATTATCGCAATCAATTATCAAAAGTAAGTTTCTCATGGTTCTCTACCTAACAGTAGGTACGTTTCGATCCACGACTTTTTGTTGGGATAGATTCAGGCTGATTACATGTTGTTCTACAAACCGCCTGATTTGAACGTCGTACGACAAAGGTTTGGTGCATACCAATCTATTCAAGTGTTACATTCACTGCAAGCATGTGCAAGATGGGAGTTTGGCTTGTATGATTCAGATCAATTTATCATTCGAGATCGAATGGTTTAGCTACTTTCTTTAAGCACAGGTTGACTGTGCCGTGTTGTTTGCTAATCATACATCAGGCGTGAGCAGGAAATGCTATGCACGCAAAGAGACAAAGGGGATGCTGCCTGCTGCGATGGGTAAATATGACACCGTATCGCGCTCCAACGCCGTTAAAAATCCAAATAAAGCAACGCTTGCAATCCGATTCAATCCAACTACCATGCTACTACTGCAGGTTGAAAAAGTAACACCATTCGCTTTAATATTTGTGGTTTCGCAAAATCATGTCCGAAAAATCTGGTGATCGTAACGTCATGTCATACAACCAAAACCCGCAACCCCGCGGGGTTATCTGTCGTTCCTGTTGCTCGCCAATGCAAATGCAGGGGTCCGTGATTACCACAGCTGCACGAATGACAGTCCCTTTCGGAGGGACTTGTCCATCCAGGATCCGTTCTCCTTGATTCCAGGAGATTGAGGGCGAGCCCAGAGCCCCTGTGTACTGAAGTCACGGGGTGTCTCGCTTGCGCCAGGGAGGAAAGCAGATGAGGAAGAACCAGGGTACATAGGCATCGGGGGACGGGCCTTTTGGGTACGACCACGCTGAGAAGTGCCAGACTCGGAATGCAGCTTGTCGAATTCGCTCTGAGTAGGAGTCAACTCGAGGAAGCGGCTGTTCATGGGCTTCCACAGGTCAGCAGAGGCGATAGCAGGCTCGTCAATATCGACGTCAGGCTTGGACCAGAGCTGGTACGAATCTTCGGTGTCGATATCCATAGTCTTGCCAGATCCCAGTCTGATGGCCTCGTCAAGAGCAGCGAGCCACTCTTCGGGGGTAGCGGCGGGGCGCGACCTCTCAGATTTCATTGAAGAAGTTCTGGTAAGGGCAGGTACAGACATGATAGATTCGTTATCAGAGTAAGATGCAACCGAAGTTGCTCTCGGCCTGATTGTGGAGACAGCAAGCCAGTTGACTTCGCTAACATCCTTGCGAGATACGTGCACAGACCAGAGGCTATCTGAGGTGAGCTTCGGCAGAGATTCCTGCGAGATGCGCTGCTTGGGCCGTGTGTCGAGCGCTGCGGGGCTTGCGGAGGTAGTGCGGTAAGTGTTGCGGCGGTGATTCAGGCTGAATAGACCCTCCAGGACCAACGAATCAATTTCGCTCTGCAACTTAATGGCAGCAGCGTTGGCCTTGGAGTCCCAGAGTGGTGCCATGTTCCAGAGATGGGCAAATCCAAAGTCGGGGAATGCCTCAAGAGGCCTTCGAGGCGAGCGCTCCATTCCCTGGGCAGCAGGCGCCAACTTGGTTGTCTTGTAGTTGGTGCGGCGGTGGCTGAGGCTGAAGAGACCAACAGGCTCTTCGTTTTCGACGACAGCGGGAAGGGGTTCCCACAAACCAAAATTGATGGCCTCGGACTCCTTATCGCTGGGAGTGGAGGGTTCGGAGCCGCTCACCGAAGTTGCGGAGCTTGATCCGCTCCAGAGACCGTTCTCGGATTGGGTTTCGGAAATAACGGGTTTGACGGGGGCCCATAGAGAAGTGCTGTAAACAGTTGCGGGTTCGGCCTCTCTAGGCTTTACTCGGCTGGCATCGTCTTGAACGATAAGATAAGTTGCCCAGGTCTCTGCATCGGGCTGGGGAAGACCGTAGGAAATCTTTGTGTTGACGGGAGAGTGAGTCCACATGCCGGGCAGAGGTTGCTTTGTTCCCCAAAGTCCGAAGTTGTTGTACTCAGCCTTTCTAGCTGGTGCGGTCCAGAGGGAGTTGCTCTTGATAGAAGGCATATCGGCCTTGGCGGGTACGAGGCGCGCGGCCTCACCAGTGGGCAGATAAGAGTTCCAAGTTGCGCTGTCGGGTTGAGCAAGTCCGTGGTTAGGACGAGTGACTGGAGTGCTGGGAGTCCACAGAGCCATGGAAGATTTGAGAGTAGCGGTTGTTGTTTGCTGGATGGATGAAAACTGAGATTGAGAGGGAGAAGAACTGGAAGACGAAGGCTCAGGATATTCCAAGTTAATAACCAGAGTTTGTTGTCGGCCTGTCGGGGTCTCGGATTTGTACACGACGAGCGGATTTAGTGGGAGCGGGCTCGGAGAGACACTGACGGTGTCGCTGGCACTGCCATGGCCGCGGACTGGCTTAGAAATTGGAATGGAACCCTCCAGGAAGCGGAACAGAAGCACAGGCGCTGGCGGGTGCCCTGCGCTTGGAGCGCCACGGGACTTGGAGTCCCTGTCAGTGCAGGGCTCTTCATCCGCATGAGGGGAATCGACGTCGGTGATTGGTGCGCGAGGTGAAGCTTGGTCCACTTCCATCAATAAGCAGCGAGCCATCTGCGGCACGGGCATGCTTATTGATGCAATCTGCTGCGGCTGCCGACGGTCTGGGACCCTGATTCGAGTTTTTTCTTGCCGGAGATCAAAATCCGTAGGCGTCATTGTCGGTGTTGTAGTGGGGGTATTTGCGCTAGCATCGGCTTTTGTACTGTAATCTCCAGTTTGTTCAATGTCGTGCTCGACTTGTGTGCGGAGACTTGTCCGTTGATTGGCTTTGTCATCGCTCACATCGCCGCTGCTGTACATCTCTTCACACCCATTTGTTACTGGCTCATGCTCCAACATCTGGAAATGTTTCAAGAACATGGGCTCTTCCTCTTCCTCTGATCCTGAGTTTTGGTCGTCGCTATAAATAATACAATCAGTTTTGTTCTCTGAATAAACCAGAAAAAAAAATAGTCTTTCACTTACTCATACTCGGACTCTGATCGAGACTCCATTTCGTCCTCGTGAGATACCAGCATTTTTCCTGGTGGGGCATCCTGGAGCCATTTATCCGTTGACTGGGCCACAGGCATAGGCTCGACGCGCTCGAACATGTCGTCGTCGTCGCTGTCGTACGTTTCACTGGAGTCGTAGTAGTCACTGTACTCCCCATCATCCTGCTCGTAGTCGTCCATGTCAAAGTCCGAGACGTTGCTCTGCATGCTCATTCCACTCGCACCCCTCTCCACAGCACCAGCCTGGAAAATCATGTCAGACACGCTCATTGATGCCAATGGCCAAGCTGTCACAGTCGCACTATCTGACCGATCGCCCCATGGGAATTGGAAGATCCCAAGTGTGCCGCGCCTATCAGGGAGCGGTTTGGGGCTCTCCAGGATATCTGGCAACAATGTGACACGCCTGATCCGCCGAGGAGGATGGCGGGGTGGTTTTGCCTGCTGCTGGACCTCGGTTTCCACCACTTGGGTTTCAACCTGAGATGCTGACTGCCAAAGTCCATTCTGTGAAGTTGCTGGCGTGGATCTAGGCTTCTCCCACAGCCTTGAACTTTCAATTACGAGAGGCTTCAGGTCCTTCCTCACAGGGCCACGTTTCGACGGTCCAGCTATCTCCTCTGCCAGGATTTTCCTCACAGGCCTAGAAGCCGGGGTCCAGAGTGACAACGTAGTGGTGCTAGTAACCACCTCCACGGAAGCTGTGGGGCACCACAGGTGCGTGGCCGCCTTGGCAGGAGTGCTTTGGGTCTGGCCAATCAAAGCATCAAGATCCTCGTCGTATTCGCTCTCCTCATCAGTATCAGGAGGGGTTGGTGTTCCTAACGGGGCTGTAAACCTGGGGTAACCAGAGTTAGGCACGAGCTTTGCATTGGCTTTCAGGTCGGTCTGAGGAAACAGGGCGGCGACAAGATCATAGTCCGCCTCTAATTGATGGCGCTGGATAAGCCGTGACCCATTTAAGATTGACTGGCGCGCACTTCCATATCGCGAATCTCGGCTAGGCGGTGATCCCACTGTAGAGAGCGAATCACGGACAAGCATTGTGTGGCGGATCGTCTGCCATTGGTGTTCCTGCTGAGTTAATTCCATTTCCAGATTTGTCAAGAGCGCCAATCTGTCATTATCCGTTATCTGATAAGATGCGTGCGGAGAAACAGAATCTTATTTCTCACTGTTAGCATTGCTCAATCACAGCCAATCAATTCCTATTTCACTTACCATTTTGAGTAACTTCCACCATACTGTCGTCGGATTCCACAGGCGACGGCTCAACGTAAACATTGTCGGGTCGGCGGATAACAAGTGGTGCTGGGGGCACACTCCGACGTGGTCGTGTTGAGTATCCCCTTGCTGAAAATGTTGGGCGGACACCCGCGACACCTCGCAACTCCGATCCAAGTCCGACATTAGCACTGGCGGTTGGCTTGTGCGCAACCAGGGATGCCTGGCGGCTCTCCTCTCTTAGCGGCAATGGGGCATCCGCAACGCCGAGTCCGCTCCGTTGTTGACTTTTGGGTGTAACCGTTACTGTCAAGGCCCTTTGCAGGTGGACTTGCATTGCAGGCGACCGAATATCAGCCAAGTCCATCGCCACATCGTCATCTCGCACCGTAGAGGGAGTGAGCGCACTCAAGTCCTCAATTGGTAGAATAGGCGATGACCGTCGTCCGTACTTGGTCTCTTGTTCATCCTGCCAAGACGAATCTGTCACTGAGCCTGGCTCTCCAGGCAGATTAATGATCGTAGTCTGAGGGCTCTTCGGAAATTGAGTAGATCTCTTGGCTGAGATAGGGCTTTCTGACGCCCTCAAGAATGCTGCAGACGCCTCACTTTGGTCGACGTCTGGCTTGGCTTCGTTGAGCTTGGGCATTGGGGGCAATAGCTCAAGATCAGCTGTCATTATCGGGAGCTGGCCCATCGACCGTGATCGTCGACGCGTGCTACGGTGGCTTGTCTCAGTTTGAGTTGGTACGTTAGCGGCCAAGACAGTAGCCAATTCGTTCAGTCGAGATAGATCATAATCGATGGCTGCCGGGGTATCCAGTGGCTGCTTGGAAAGAACGGCGCCACACGATACCGATCGCTTGTGGTGCTGGAGGTTTTCAGCAGGGAAAAGGGCACGGTGAATGTTGGACTTTCTAGGAATAGGTCGCGGCCTGTGAACGACAGAAATTGTTCGTGCAGAATCCTCTCTCTTGCTCAGGATCTCACTAGCGTTGCTCCTGGGTATAGCGGCCAGCGGTGCGGACTTCGGAGGCTGGTGCTTGGTTGGATGATGCGGGTGCAACGACTGTGCTTTGACAGGCAAGGAGAAGTTAACAATGGTCTCTTCTGTGGACTTGATGGGCGTTTGTGCTTGAGCTGTCTTCGGAGTAAAAGCGGCACGAGGGGAGCGTGGGAAGAGAGACAAGGCTGGCGATGGCAAGAGTCGAGGAGATTGGCGAGGTGATCGTCGACGAACTCCCTCCATTCCAGGTGACAAGAAAGCGGAGGTGGTAGCTGCAAGTTCTGGCTCCGGTGATGGTTTTGCGGTGCCATCCAAGTCCTTGGGTCGAGCGATTTGAGTATTCGCATTATCAAACGTTTTTCCGGATTCCACAGAGTTGGTCGTTTCCACTTCTGGGGCCATTTCGTCCCAGGTCGGTCCAGAGTCCCATCTGTTCATCATCGTCTGCTCAGTGATCGCTTGGTGGACCTCGATCGATTCTGAGGAAGTCGGGACTGCCTGATTCTTGGGCAGGGGGAACAGTTGGCCCAATACTGGAACACCACCCATTCCAAGATTTGCTTGTCCGGCAGCAGGCATCGAAATTGTCGGTAGTTGTTCTGATTCTGATGCGATTGGTAAGGGTTTAGACATTCCCGTGAAGTCGCCTCTTGTTGTCGTCGCCATGTCATCTTGGTAGTTGAAACCACGGGTGTCGGTTGTGGACATGTATCGAGGATCGAAGTTTCGCGAAGCATCAAAGTCGGGTACGTTTGTCGACTGCACGGATTTGTTGTCGTTGGGAAACAGCAGATGTTGGAAGAAAGTGAGAAGGCCTGCAGAGTCAGCTTAGTTTGTCGAGGCATGTGTATAGGCATACCAATCAAGATCAAAAGACCGATCGCAGGCACAGTTGTGCGTGCAACTATAGGCATCGGTCCAATACTCAGCATCAGAGGAGCACTAGCCTAGGTACAGTTAGACATAAAATTCTCATCCTGCTTTAACTTGGACTTACTCCTGTCCAGATGATGTAGCCCAATACAATAAGTGCGACCGCACGGGACTGGGTGGAAGTGATGGATCCTTTTTGGCTGTCGGAGTTGGTTCCGCGAGAGATGACTCTCATCAGAAGGAAGGCCATGAAAGCAGTGTCTGTGACAGAGACGGTGATTCCAACCGGCAGAACCACAGTCATTGTCACGCAGACAGTCTCGAGCTGTGGGCGTTGAAAGCCAACAAAGATACCACCGAGGATAAGTCGAAGGACGATGAATCCTTGCATAACTCCCACTTCAGTAAGAGAGGCAAGGCTGAGCGTGCTGAAGATCCATATTAAACTCTGCTGCATGCATACTCGAGCAAACTGGTCAAATGTTGATGCAAAGACGATCATAACCTGACAGCCTGAAGTAGAGTTGGTATTAAGTAAGAAGGCACCAAATTGTATTTGGGCCCAAAGGGTTGAAGAAATAAGGAAAGCGATGAGGGCCAGCCTCGGTGCATCTCGGATGATCTTGGAAGCACGTTTGCTGACCAGAAAGATAGCAGCGGTACCAGCGTGTGCGACCAATCCGCTATTATTGTGTTAGAATGTATGTTCTCCTTGGTCAAGTGGATGACTTACAAGGTAAAGGCCGCGATCAAGGCCTGACGGTTAGAGTCCGTCATGAAGAGAACATTAGTATTAAAGCGAGTGTATAGAAAAGGAGACGAGACTAGGTGAGGAAAATCAAGGAATGGCAGAGGAAAGAAAATAGAAACGAATGTGCTCTTGGATCAACCAAGACACCAAATCTGCAAATACTTTGGGTAGTATGTGAGATTAGAGAAGAGAATAGAGGCGAAAAGAGGAAAAGGAAAGATGGAATAGAAAGCGATGCAACAACGGGGAAAGTCACCAAAGTCTTTGACAGACGGACATGGCCACTTTGACAGACAGAGTTGCACTTGCAACGGAGATCCAGTTTCAGACGATAGGTAAAGTACCTAGGTAGTCTTGGGTCAAACTGACTTTGTTCGAGCCGACTCGCGTATGCGTTTGTTCTGTGGCGCAAAACGCATCATGATTGGACGGAATTAAGAATATCGTGATGTTTCGTCGAGATCCGACGTAGCATATCTGGATATGAAACTCGATATGTCGGAGACGGAGGCTCTTACGGCTAGACTGAGACGAGATGACCAGGCTGGGTGGGCGCTTGATACAAGACGGTCCACTGATGAGCTATAGCAGACATAACTGAGCTGAACGGAACGGAAGCTGAAGGGCACACTGATGCCCAGGTCGCATGACAGGAATACCAGAGGCGAGATTGTTACTGCTATAGCAGTGAGGTGATATGGTTGTCTATGGATCTGATTAAGCGGAAACGGTTCCCTACTTGGGATAGCAACCGGGTTGGTGAAACAAGACGGATGGGCCAAAATGGACTTTAAGATTTTAGAAACGGTTTGATTGAAAAAGATGGTGGCTTCTTTATGGAAAAAAAGAATAAAAGAGAAGAGAAATAGCGTCCGACCTCTCTTGATCAGATGAATTAACATGACATAGCATTACCCTTCGGACAGTGACCGAGTGAAGAGATGGCGGGGCAAAGGAAGAGATTCTGTTGGTCGACAGTGACGACAAGCAAATGCATAATAGGCAAGACCAGGTTGACAGACACCCTGGGTCTTGACTGCCTTGTTTGTCATATCACCGAAGATATAATAGGTAGGTGGCGGTCGCCCTCTACAAATAGACGGAATAATAGATCGAGTATAGTAACAGGAAATGAAGAATTGGAGAAAGGCGGACAGGACATTACCTAAATTCTATATATTCTCGGGCTCTTGGAGGAAGGTGGAGCCTCAACTTGTACCCAACCCGAACGCGCCCGAATAAATGACAAGGAACGGGAGGGGAACTGGGGACTTCTTTCCCAAAGTGAACTAGCCAACGGGCACTTGACCTGCAGCCAGGCTCTTACCCTACATGATACCCCGGATTTGAGTAATAACCTTACCCAGCACCTAAAATTTAGTGAGTGGCTGACAGTGTAGATGAAATATCAATCTACGTGATACTCCCAGATCTTCTATCTGTTACTTTACCGAGTCGAAAATTGTTTGTAGTGGCTTTGATTGGCTTTCTGAACAAGACACTAAAGTAGGTAATGACCGTTACGCGGGTTGATCACTCGGCAGCAAAAACCGTTGATCTGCAACGCTTGATCGCCGTAGCATTGCTAGTCGACTCAACATTCCGTGTGCATACTGTGCTACCACCACATCCAATCAACCACATCTTGGTTGAGAGTTGACTGAAACATCAAACATGTGAAGAAAGCATGCAAGTAAGCTCACGTGTCAATCATTCAATCCATCATTGATCGTAATCAAGATTGTGCCAAAGTAACCATCGCTACAATCACGAAGGGCCCATGTCGCGTTAACGAGAAGGCAAAGGTATGAGGCAATAGTGTACGTTCTCTGCGTTGGCTACACGTCGCATCTGTTTAACTCGATATGATCAACGCGAAATTTCGTATTGCACGAGGCAAGGTGTTACCAAAACCATATACGCAAAATCAAATCATTTCGATAATCATGTTACCAACATCAGTATATTGAATACTTACCCTAAAAGGGCACCCACCGCAGCGCCCTAGTAGCCAGTTCAGTGCACATATTCGTCTAGAACTTTGTCTACATGGTCAGGTCTCAAGTCCCTTTACCAGCTTGAGTCAAGGTCATGCTGTCGAGTAAGTTGTCGCCTTCTCCGCCGTAGCGTATTGGGTAGCTCCGAAAACGAGACGGCTTCTGGAAGCGCAGAAATACCCGCGGGTAACCCGCGGCGATTGTAAAGTTACGCAAACACCAATCAATTCATGATTAACTTTGGACAGGGATCCAACTACCTCACGCGGCTGTACGAGAACCCGAAGCCAACCCATACAACAGGCCCAGGGTTGATATGCCAAGCTACTTGGCAGAATTCTAAAACGACTTCAACACGTGTAGTAAGCGGTCTGCCAGCAAGGCTGCACAAGATTCCGAGACCATTAGTCAGGCTGAAAGGGGTGACAGTACAAATGTCTATTTATGAGTCTAGGCAAGCCAAGACGTTATATCTACTAGATAGCCATGATGACCAAGACAAAGCAAATATATACACAACGGTGCAGATTATGTCAAGACGACGTTTACCACTGCTCCCAGATCTTACCGGGCAGAACCTCGCGCATGATAGTCCAGTGTCCAGCAGCGCTAGACTGGTGCCACTTGGTAATCTTGCTCGTCTCGTTCTTGGTGAGGACATCCGTGCCTTCATCGTCAAGGAAGACCTGCTCCTGGATCTCGTACCTGGGCATGAGCACGTTTCGGCGGACCTGGCTGTTGAGGAAGTCACCGTTGGTGGGACGACGGAACTTGATATCTCCAGGAGTCTTGCGGCAGAAGATGACCATGTTGGTGAAGTCGCTTCCCCACTTCTCAACATTCTTATCATCGCGAGGGGTCTCGCGGAAGGTTCTGCATGAGGGGAAGACCTTCTTGATGGTGCGGTAGACAAGCGCGGGGGTGGGAAGACCAAAGTCACCAGCGTAGTTCTGTAGCCAGGTTAGTAGATGACCATAATACCGGTACTGAAGAACTTACAATGGCAATGACACCATCAGGGTTCAGCAAGTCGCCCAGGCCCTGCAGGAACTCGAGAGTAAAGAGGTCGACAGGCTCAGCACCACCAGTGAACACATCGTGGACGATGTAGTCATAGGTCTTGGATTGCTTGACCAGATCAGCAGTGTACGAGACGGCGTCATGGACAGCAGCAGGGTTGTTCTCGCGGAGGTCAAAGTACTTTTGAGCAAACTCGTGAACTGCAGGGTCAATCTCAACAATAGTAGTATCAATGCCATGCTTGACGAAAGCAGAAGGTGTAGTTCCAATACCAAGACCACTATGTTGTGTTAGTAAGCTGCGGAAAAAGAAAACATGAGACATCGACTTACATGTTAAGCGCACTAGCTTCCTTGTCCTCCAGAGGAGTCTCCCGCTCAACAAGACGGACAGCCTCGAGCATGACAAAAACACCGTAGATAGGCTCAGACACCTTTCGGCCCTGAACACGAACCCACTGACCTCCAAGAAGACTGTGATCACATCGCATCAGACGGTAACCCATTTCGAGGCTCTCAATGACTGAGACGTAGCCAGTCAAAGACTCGCGGCGGTCCAGGAGAGTCCAGTTTTGAGCCAAAAGGGTGCTGTTAAGAGATTCCATAGCCATGGGTGTCATAACATGTGTGTTCAGAACAGCAGTATGCAACAGTGCGGGAATAGCAAGAACAAGATACTTGGAAGGTGCCATGATAGCATAGATAGCCCCTACAACAAGTTCTAGGCCAATTCGGGTGAACACGAAGGTGCTTCCAATAACGCCCTGAAGCGTCTCCATTGACCGGTTCTCAGCCAGTCTGAACAGGGCCCAAGAGACAATGCCAGGTGCCGCATCAGCAAAGAACTTGGGAAGAGCACTCAAGTCCGCATCCTCGAGAACATCCGCGACGGAAGCTGCGGAGAAGACAGCCAGAGGAAACAGAGTGCAGCCCTCAATAAGAAGAGGGCCCCACCAGTTGCCAAGACGATCAGTGAAGCAGCCCATAAGGAACTGAATCGCCGGGATGTTGAGCGCGATCACCGGGAGAAGTTGCATGGTAGACATAGGAATAAACATGCGAAGAATCAAGTTGGCAGCCCAGCCGATGAAGCATGCGACCTTGAGAGCAGTCGCGTGCGTGGCGGCAGCGGGAATGGAGCCATAGATAGGGGACAGGTTTAGCTGCGACGCGCTCGAAGCGACGCCCAACAATCCCAGGAGCACCAATGTCTTGAGGTAGACAAGAGCCTGTCCGGTAGCACGCTTCGCAAAAGTATCCTCCTTGGCCTTTGTCGCAAGCTCCTTGAGTTCTTTCTCGAAGCGCTCAGGAGTGAAGCCTTCGGGCGCGCCAGTCGCCTTGGCCTGTTGGCCATCTTTTTTGGAAGCCATTGAGAGATATGATATAGGATAAATGCAAAAGAATGTAATAACAAGAGAAACTTGGGAAGAAATAGACAAGAAGACCTGGTCTTGCGGTTCAAATGGCCTGCACCTGAAGCTCGTAGACGTTTAGTTGTAAATGAGACAGACTTAAGGTTGACGTGGCGGCGATTAGTCCTTTTCTTTATTTCTATGAGGTGGCTAGTGCTGTGGCAGAATTGTGGGACAGCATCAACCTTCAGTGAAACGTGCCGACGAAGTGTAAACTTCAAGATATATTTTAATATGCCGGATTTAACAATCCCTCTGAAAAGTGAGCTCCTATGAAAGAACGTAGTTATGTCTTATTTTTCCATACGAAAATTTGCCCTAATAGTTGTATTGATGCTTAGTTCAGCTACTCGGAAGATAAACCTCCATCTAGCAGCGACTACAACTATCTTGGCACTCAATATCACAAAGTCACTTGCAAGGCAAAATTGGAGAGCAATGCTCGTACATGCGGCAGGCAGATATTTACATGCGATATCTATCGTTCTCAAGAAAGACGTGCGCTTAGTTTTTCCGGTTTGAAAGGAGAGCAGACGCATGAGAACCCATTCACTGGTAATGCCATTTCTCGTATTATACGTATCTCATAAAAATCCATTCTAAATAAATCATCCATCTCACTTCATGAAAAAATCACTATATCCATGCTTGAATCTCATATAATGCGCTTGCATGCCATCCATCATGTCGCGGGCCCTTCCAGAGGGGCTCTGAGAAAGACAAACCTAGGTATCATTCGTTCCCAAGTGTGAACAATCAAAAGAAAAATCACCACTGATAAGCTCCCAAGGATGACAAAAATGTCAATGCCCATACCAACTCCCAAGTCGTACCAAACACAATGCAGCAACGACAGAAACGCCTGAACGATGAGCCGTGGCTACATAATCCGAACAATACCCCATGGTCGCTCCGGGTCTTGGTAATTGTCGAACTTCGAATCCTCCATCTTTTATCCATGTCGTATCCTCATTCCTTCCAATTCTTACATCCGTGTTGGATAATCTTCCATCATGTCGTCGTCGCTACTGTCCATCTCTTCCTCGTCTTCTTCGTCATCGGTGCGCGGGCTACGCATAGCACTCATTTCTGCTGCACTGGGTCTGCTGCCCAAGCTGTCCAAGATACCGCCGCTGAAAATAGGCGGTGCAGAGACCGATAGATCTACATGGCTTCCGTTTCGACTCATCGAAGGTTTTTCGGGCAGCTGCTTGAGCAAACCAGTCGAGATATCCAGCATCGTCATGGCAAACTCAGTCAAGCCTGTACCTTCGCCAGGTTTGGAGCTCACCGAGAGAGTCCATCGATACTCTCCAAGTCGTCGTCGATACCAGTCAGCTTCCTCACGTCCGGGTGATGTCGCCCAAAGTAGAGAGCCAAAGGTTCCAATCAATGCAAAGTTAGTCTTGGAAGCAAAGTACCAAAATGAGCGTAAATGGTTTGGCCCAAGTCGGTTGACGAAATCCATGGCGGAAATGAGACGTGCCTTAGCGGCGCTGCGACATATGTGCTGTACGTAAGAGTCGACGGAACTGGATGGCGAGGCCAATGACCGAATAATTCGTCGATGAAGGGTGATTTCGGCCGCAAAATATGCCAGGTGGAGATATCCGATACTGGACAACCTGTTGGAAGAGGGATTGAGAGAAGAGTACGAAGAGTCTAGACGGATCAGTTGCGGTAGCCCTCCGTACCACTCCTTCAGTTTAAGCTGGATCGGCTTCGCGAGCGATAAAACTAGTTGCGTTCCCTGCTTGCCAGCGTTGGCGACTGTATTCATAGCTTGAAGGGTATAAAATGTGTCGAGGATTTCTGAGAGAATCTCCGAGAGCTGCACCACACGAGTGAACAGCACCCGTCCCTTCTCGATATCGAGTTTCTCTTCCGGGTCATTCTCATCCCATTCGACATCTGGAAAATCGTTTGCGGTCAGAGGTTGAACACCCCAATTAGTAGCAAAGATGTGCGATGGTCTGCCATGGACAAGAGCGCCCCATTTATCCTGCATGTAAAGAGCCCATGCTAATCGTTTTCTCAGACCCTTTTCCCACGGCGGTATCTTCCAATGCGTACAATCCAGGTGCAGTCCCAACTCATGACCAAGTGCTACTAGCTGGGCAGTGGGGGCCCATTGATCGCCCTCGGGCCGCTGGGAAAGCAACAGACCAGCTTGGATCGTAGAAAGTTTCGGCCGGAAGGTTGCTTCATCAAGAGTGGCTCGGATGAGGCTTTCAAGTTCTTTAACGTTGGGTCGTGGCTTTCCAGCCAACTCTTCGCTTTCGTCCCACCAGTTGATGGCCAGAATATACACAGCTGCTAGCAGCGGTGGCGAAAACTCCCGGTAAGATCGTTCATATTTTTCCATGAAGACATGTTTTTGGATAATGGGGAATCCCGGATGGACTACTCGGAAGTAGAGATCGATAAGACGTCTTCCATGAGGCGCCACGATGGACTCGACATGATCGGCGTCTTGCGTCACATGCTCGTGTCCTGGAGTGCTAGAGTCAGGCAACATCAAGAAAGTGTCGTGCTCGCTGACTTTGCGGAGGGTGCCTCTAGATAAGAGACTCTCGTCATGGGGATCAAAGGAAGAAAGGTTAATAAGAGAGGGTTCAAAGTCGGTGGTAGGACCAATATATTGGCTGTAGCGATCATCTTGGAGGCCCAGCGTACGTTTCAGCATGGTAGGGCCGCCAACATTGGCCATCTCCTCTAGGAATGAACTGCTAGCGGCGGTGCTTGAGAGGCTGGAATTATGGTTTCGTCTCCTAGATGTAAGACCCGGTGAACTGTACGAAGCCAATCATATGTCAGACAAAGTCATGCAAGGTAGAAAAAACACGAGTAATGTGAAGATTGTCAAAGGGAAGAACGCAGTGCAGAAGGGAATGATAGACGCAAGGGAAAGGCACGGGGACTGGTGGAGCAGTCAAACCAGGATGAGTGTGGAGGATTCTTCGGCATGAAGATGGATATGGGGATAAACATGGGGATCTAACCTTCTCTTCCCGATGATATCGTCGCTAGCTTCGCCATGAAGCTTCCTTTTTCGGGACTGTGGACTAGAAGAAAGGGAACATTCGGAGCCAGCAGCTTGGCACTGAATGCATCCGTCGTCATCATCGTTAAGGATGCAGTTGACGCGTGAGTATCGGCATGACAGACAGGGTGGGATGGAGGAGGCGTTGAAGGATGAACCCTCAACGGGTGCAGAGCTGGCAACTCCGTGACCCATCTCAAGCCTGTGAAAACTGTCCTGACGATAAGGAGAAGGTTCAGGCCGAGGTGGTTTAGGAGCAATGGCGATAGGCGCCGTTCTCTGTACCGGGGCTGAAGACTGGGGAGACATGGTGGGAGTAGATTAGATCCGGGGCGGCAGATAGATAGACTGATAGATAGATAGGCAGATGCTCGCTATCAGTAGAGGGTGTGTTGCTGTCAGGGCACACACAACTCCAGGGGATAGTTGAGCTGCGCTGTGCTATACTGTGCTACACAAGATAGAATCCAAACGCCCGCTGCCCTGCAAGTGACGGGCGCAGAATGGTTGAGCCTCAGTGGCTCTTTTGCAGTTGTCAGCCTCTTTGGGGTACAGTACAGCGTCGTGCAGCAGAATATCCGATGGTGGTGACGATAAAAAAAGATACTGTAGATAGAGTAGTTTTCTGGCAGGCGATAGGCCCCACGGGGTCGCCAATGACAGTGACAGTGACAGCGACAGTGACGCAATATGTTAGAGCTACGACCACTGAGAAGCGAGCTGATAGGTAACGATAGCTAATAGAACCACGTTATCCAAATCGAGTTCGAGGGTATTGATAGAGGCACACGAGTCAATGGTTGGTGTGAGATAAGGAAGAATCTGGGGAAAGCGGGAAGAAGCGATGTGAGGTGATGCAAGACCAGGCGAGGCAGGACAAGACAAGGCCAGAAGCAAGGCAGAACAAGGTCCAGAAGGTAAAGAAGGAGGGAAGAAAAAGATAAGAGATGGCCCAAGCAGAGTGTGTAAGTGATTGAAGTGCAGCGCAGTTGGTGAGGTGAGGGCAAAAAGGCCAAGCAAGAGTGGGATCCAAATTGGAGGATCCAATCCAAGATGCTGGGATTGGATCCAATTGCAAATGTCAGGGACTAGGCTGGCGGGCGCAGATGGGCGCCGATGGAGTCAGAGTAGTCAGAGTCTCAGTCGGTCGGTCGGTCGAGTACCGGTCGTTATCTGTCTGATAAGGCCTTTTTTTGCAAGCGGGGAGGCTATTGTTTGGATGGTATTGGGTATTAGTATTGACTAAGAGACTCATGTACCGAGCTCGGTCTCTATTGAGCCAGTTTCCTTCTTGATAATTCCCCCCTCTTTTGCGTCTGTTTGATATTGCCTGCTAATATCGCGATATGTCGTTTGCGTTGCAGACACAGATGCGAAGCGAAGCGATGCGATGAACCGGAAACTGGACGGCGATGAAGCGAATGCAGTGCGGCGCGAATAATTAAGCGATAAACCGGACCACAAGAGCTTGGACGTATGATACTGGCAGCACAAGTGACAAGTTGCTTGTCTTGGTACGCCCGTCGTGAGCTGTCAGCTGTGCTCTGGCTGGTTGGAGTGGTTGATTGTCTCAATTCTGTAGGCGGGGATCAAAGCCTGGGGGAACCGGGGATTAGATTGGACTGGAATGTTCAATGTAATGCAGGCAGGACCAAGGGCAGGGCAGGGTCCTTCCTTCCTTTCTCGATGCGCTGCAACCTTTTTTTCTTGCCTGGCCTGATTTGACGGTCTCTTTTTCTTTTTTTTTTTGGGGAAGGAGATATTCCGACCAAGTTGCACCTGCGATTGATATCGATACTCAATGGGCAGGTAAAGATAACTCCTGCAAAGGCAGTAGCGCAGAAGCCTCCAGACCCAGACAAATGGCAACGGTGAGATAAGCTAACAGGCCTATTAGATTCGACGTCATTAGACAAAAAAGAGACCGAATACACTTAGTCGCTCGACGATGGCGCAATCGCTTTCACTTACTTTTTTTTATTTTATATATCAGAATATTTATTTGTCCGTTTGTAGCCGTAAATTATGTGGTTGGTCACGATGCAATACCCACAAGGTGATTGACGAGAGGGAGAAGGACAAAGAGAAGGAAGGAGGCAGAGAGTAGCAGAGCAGAGAAGAAAAAACACGATGATGGTAATGACGATGATGCTACTAATGAAGTGCAAAGAAGAGTCAACGCAACGGCATGTGAGACGACGAGAGGAGAAGGGATACATCCGGCTTGATGGTATTCCCCGCATGCAAAAAAGTACCTGACCTACCGTCCTACCCAGCCCAGCCCAGCCCAGACTAGAGGCAGAGCCTAGAGAAAAGGTACCCTTTCATATGAGAAAAGGGTATCGCGCTCAGGTTCTCCAGATCCGATCCCCAAGTTCCTTCGGGACAAGCCTTTCCAATGGCGTCTCTCTAGAGCCGGTCTTTCTACTACGCAGTAAAGCGCCGGCCAAGAGTTCCCGGAGCAATGTTCCCAATGAGGCATCTCAAATTTGGGGAACATCGTCTAGGCCGGCAGGTAATTGACGCTGATTGATGTTCAGTATCAATACAGACAGAGAAAGTACTAAGCATATCCTCAGTAATGAGCAGGGTCCGGCTGGGGTTAATGAGTCAATGGAGTGAAACGTCAAACCTTGGACCCTTATTAGGTTCTACTCTTTACGAATATCATTGGAGATATCCACTTTTGAGTAAACCATCCATGGATATGGATATTCTCAGATATCTTGTCGCTTCCAATTGCCCAGATCTCTCTGAAGTTGATATGGTAGACGAACCTCTGCGGGGAACACCTTGAAGCCTGAATCATGTCCAGTGTGGTAATGATACATGACCCTAGTCATGTATGTATACAAAAGAGCAACATAACATGAGCAGAGCAGTCTCGGCAGCGGCGCTGTCACCAACGTAAGACGCCCAGAAGAACGGAAAGACCAACAACCCATTCTCTTTAAGCCGAGGGACGAAACGGGTCGATCACATCATGAAATAACCCCGGGGAGTCTAAGCCCAAGTCCAGGTCAAGGTTCAGGTATGGCTTGGTGTTGCAGCTTCGTACTGGCGAGCGAGTGAGGATAAAGGTCGTGAGAGTTGAATGGACGATCAAGCTTATCTTTAGAAAAGTAGAGGAGATAGAAATACATAATAACAAAAGATAAACTGACACAAGAAGAAAAAAAGAGGAACCACCCCAGCCTTGAGAGACATTTTTCTGCACAACCACAGAAGCCATTCAACACCATCTTGAGAGCTACAAGGTAGATGATACTTGATCCAGCCGCTTTAATGTGTGTAGCTGTAGGTATCTCTTACCAGTTGACCAAGGGCGTCTCTCTGAGCCCATTACCAAATGGAAAACCATCTTAAACTTGTCTTGCCTCATTCTGCATGGTCCGGCAGTTGTTGTAACGTAATGGCTCGTCCGGGGTTTATTTACCGCTGCAGTCAAACACAAATTCCATTATTAGCGGCTAATTAACCTTTCCTATCTCATTGGTAAATTCCCCGACCGTTTCCTGATCCTTACTGTTGGGTTCTCAATTAATCAACGTCAAAACACCGCAAAACTCCCCTATCTATATCACTCACTAATCACTATCCATCTACTCACGTCTCTTCTATACGCTAGACTCTACGTATAGGTAAGGTTAGCAATTTACCGAGCTTACACGTCGTGACTAAGTATGGCATGTCGGGGCAAGCCGGAGACAAACGGCATTGGGTACGGCAACAACTGTAGACTCATAGCCTCCCTTGCCATTTATTTGTCAAGACTATACTGTCATCAGCAAGTTTATCTCCGTTCGCCAAGTGGTGATCGTCTTGTCTCTTCCAAAATTGATAGCAAACGTATGGATAATTTATCCATAGCAACAACTCGTTAGTAATACATACTTACCCTCCAGAGATATTCGGAATTGCCCCGCATGCAACACATTCACTCAAGATCTATCAGTTCATTAGTTAGCAATAACTTGAGATCATTTTGGTACAATACCTTTTCTATGATTGGTCCATACAACCAGCCCTTTCCTTTCGATCCCTTGTCCCCCGATCTTGACTCAGCAAGGAAAGAATCTCGTCTCGTGGGGCCGGCTCTGTCCCGGGATCTATTTTCTGCACGGACCCATTCGTCAAGACTCATTAACCAGAGCGAGTAACATCTTAGAGCGAGGAGCGTCATCGTTGGGTCTGGAGCTTTTGTTGGTGTTGATCGCATCCGTCTGTATCCGTCTGCCCTTAAAGGTAGGTAGGTACTGAAATGAAGCCTGGATGGCTTTCTTGATATGCAAGTGCAACACAACTCTATTCAATCGACCTCCAGACTTAAGGTTTTGTATCCTGTCACTTTCAAACCGACTGTCCATTGATGTCACGTTGAAGACCACCGTCATCCGCCACGTGAGTGTGGAGACGATTAGCGATAACGGTCAGCGACGGTTGTGTGAAATGTAGTAGTAGTATAACTCTTTTCGAGACTTAGCCTCACGATTGTGTCCAGACCATGATTCTCTCCTCATAGTGCTCAGTTGGCTCGTCTGAACCACGTGCTGGGAGCGTCATCTCAAGCTCCTCCCGAATCTGGTATCCCAGCTTCTCATAGAAGGGTACTGCGTTCATTGTTGCTTCGAGAATGACAGGCATGTTTTGGGCAGCCGCCTGAGCCTGCACTCGGCGAAGTAGAGTCGATCCAATTCCTCGGCCGTTAAAGTCAGGATCCGTGCAGAGATATGTCACGTCTAGGAGATGTTAGTGCTTTGACACGTAACAAGGTATTCCAGGAGCTTCTAATCCATATATGGCGGTCAACGCCTAGCTTTGCTTATTCCATGTTCACTCAGCCATGAAAGACTTACGGTAATACGGCTTTTCGCCTAGGACTATGTCTCTCTTGCTTTTGGTAAGAGCTGCATAAGGTCCAAGATACTGACGTTGGCAGTAATCTGGAAACTCTTCGTCGTCATGGTCCTCCTCCCCTAGCCGCGGTTGCCGCTGGATATTCCACTTGGCGAAGCCAGCTATCTTGCCAGTCTCTGTATCACGCGCAACAAGAACACCCTTGTCAGCGCTTTGAACGTGATCCATCGTATCTTTAAGAATCCATCCATGCATGAACTCCTTGCTCCTAGGTGTAGGAAATTGCGCATGCATGAGCAGGTTGATGTCCATGGCAGCAAAGAAGGTATCGGCTACGCCAGGAGCCTCCTTCTCTGAAGGGACGACAATCTCGAAGGTCATGCTGAAAATGCGATAGTATATAGATATGCTGGAGTGAAGGATATATAAACTGAAGGTTGCGAGGTTGGATTCGACCAACCAGAATCTTCACGATGGACATTTGTGGCCTAGACCTGACCCACGTGACAGCCAATATCCTTAATGTCTCTATCTATGTAAGCGAGAAACCATGTTAACTTGCATATTGGTAACATCTAGACGTCGATTCTCTTTGCGAATAGCATCACTTTGTTGGTATAGACTATCTTCTCCGGAAGTGACACAAAGATAGAGTTGTATATTTCTTCAATAGAATTAGCCTACCTATGCCAACTAGTATAAGATTCCTTTATCTTTGATATTAAAACTTTCGGTCATATTACGTACCTATATGACATTTGTTTAAGTTCATGCGCGTGTTGTACTCTAATGTATGTAGTTGAGGTACTCTTGTAGTGATTGAAGTGGTCATTTCTGTCCACATACCAGGACTGTGATGGAAAGTCAGTGACTAGGTAGCTTCTGAGTGACATGTTATTCTTGAGCTTGTAGTGTCTGCTTGTTCTGAGACCGGTCTGTTGTACTGCTCCATGCTCGTTTCTTTACCACTTACAGGAGTTTCGACCTCCGATATCTACTCGACTTCCCTAGGGCATCTCAGACTTCAACTATCTGAATATACTAATATGAATAAACCAAATACTCAGGGGAATGTGTACACAGAGGCGATTTTATGGCAGATCCTTCGGGAACTGGTTTGTCGAGGCATCTTAGCATAGGTAAGGTAGGTAGGTAGGTAACTAAAGAAGAGTCGCGGGAACGACCAAGCTATGGCATTTCAATTCATGTTACTTCGAAATATCATCTTAAATCCTTAGTCAACGTCCTCTAATGTTTGAAGCTTACTCATCCTCCTTAAATAAGTGTTTGAACCCTTGATATCAGTGTGCTTTTTGAGAAGCATCGTGTTGTGAAGCCTAATGCCATCACTTTACCGAGGCCAATTCTGATATAGGAATCACTATAAACACAGATAGTTGTCTCGGTTAATGGACTGTTCTCAAACTTAGACACTTCGTGGTGTATTGCTGTGTGCAAAGGAATGTAGTTAATAAAGCGGTGGCCCTGTGACAACGACTCAACTTTAACGCCATAACACCATATCTACGACTAACAGGGGCAATATCCCCTTGATACCCCGGCTGTACACATGCCGTATCTCTATCACCATGCAGCCATAAGTACTCACACATGTCAGTATAATATTGGATAGAGTGTATCTTTTTGTTTCCTTAGGTGTCTGTTGAGCTAGGCAACTGGAGGTGTGGGATTTGCGCAGCCGGTGTATGAAGGAGATAGTCTACTTAAAGTTATAAGAAGCTTGAAAGCATTTCAGTTAGTCTTTTAGTATGTATAGAGTATTTGTTTGTATTGCTAACTGGTCCAATTGTCAAGATGCAAGTGCTCAACCCAAGCACCAGACTGCACCAGTTCAAACAACCAAGCATCTCGAAACTCTCTGGCAGCGGCGAAGGTATACCGATCGAGAGCAGTTTCGAATATTTGTGTCTTCTTAATGTTGTAATTCTAACACTTGACTTCTATCTAGCAGCCCATTGACAGATAGTGGTACCTGACCAGCACAGCCATCTTCTCGTTTCATCAGTCATTATCTAAGCCCTGTCCACTATGTTCATTACTTCCCGAGAAATCACCATGTGGATGAAATAGACTTTATCTCGGCCCAGTCTATCGAAAACATATTGCCAGTTACCTGCTATGAACAGCCTAGTCCAGGTTGCAGTTGCGATTTATTACACTTTCAACCTTATCTATAATACTACATCAGATTGAACTCAATCAACTATTGTGTTAAGGTTAAGGTACGGCTGGACAAGGCCAACAAGCTAAATACAACGTCCTTCTTGGCAAGCTTAACATAATTATACTAGTGATTTGATTCCAGCTACATGCAAGAGTGTGAACGCGTCGATACTGGGATGGCGATGATTACTGAACACATACAGTCACATTCACGAAAAGTCTCAAGAGATGTAAGACAAAAGGACCACTATTGGGCAACTATAGACATAGTCTGGCGAAAAATACAGTCGTGACTCCCCGAGTCTGCCAGGGATTAAAATTACATAAACGAATTTGTGCGGTTTGCTAGTGATCCCCTGTGATGAGTCGTGGCTGTGAGCTCGATAGCCCGGCAAACGACCGATATGACAAAATGAAAAACGCCCTTATGGACTGGGTATTTAGACGGGAGGGTTGAAAGAAGGAAGCTCCCTGTTGCAAACGTTGAGAGCCTGGCCAGCACGGGCGCTGGTAAGAGCGGCAGCCTGGGCAGGCTTGTTGGAGGCCTTGCCGTAGACGGGAAGGGCATCGAGGGCGGCAGGGGGAGTGTATGCGACGTCGTCGAGACTGACCTTCAAGCTGGGGACAGTCTTGAGGTCAATCTTGTTGCCGTTGAGCTTGACAATCTCGACCTGGATACCCTTGTTGACGGCATCAGCAACCTTGTCAGGAGAGCAAGAGGCAAGAAGCTGAGGGGTGTCGGCGGCCTGATCAGCAGAGAAGGAACCGTGGATGGTACCCTCGGCAGGCTGTCGCATGACAACGAGACCACCAACAAGCTTGCCAGCGATGTAAACGTTGACCTGGGCAGGGCGCTCAACCTCAGTAACGTCGAGCTGAACGTTGACGAAGTAACGAGTGGTCTTGCTAGCAGCACGCTCGCCAAGATCACGACGGCTGGAGCCGCTGCCGTAAAGACGGTTGATGGTGGATCGAGCAGAGCTGGCGAGCTGACTCTGGGACATGCGCCAGTACTCGAGTCCAGCGTAGGTGTAACCGAAGCTCTGGATGCTCTTGACAGTCTCGGAGGTGTGGAAGTTACCCTTGGATCGGTAGAAAGGCTGGAGAGGAGAGTTCTGGGTGATACGGGTACCCTGAGGAGTAGAGTATCGAGAACCACCAGAGTAGGAGCCGGTGAAGGAGGACTGGCTAGGGTGCATAGCCTGCCAGTAAGCCCAGAGACGGTCGACCTGGGTGTGGTGCAGCCAGAAGATGGGGTCGAAGCCGGAGAACTCGGTGGCGAGGAACTGACCAGCACAAGAAGCATCCCAGTGAACGGCGTTGTGAATCTGCTCGAGAGAAGCACCGTTGGCACCAGTGGAAGCAAACTGGTTGAAGGTGGTAGGTCGGGTCATGACATCGTAGGTCCATTGCTTGTAGGGACGTCCGCGGAGGTTGTTGTTGGCGGTACCGGGGAAGCTATCGGGAGCAGGGCAGTGGTAGATTCGGCTACGGTCCTCGTCGTCCCAAGAGCCGTACTTGCCGTTGAGGGCGACCTTGGGGAAGTCGTAGGTGTAGAGAGGGTTCTTCATGTTGATGGTCTTGAGACCGCTGCCGTTGGGGACCTGGACCTTGACGTTGGTTTGGGTGAGAATGTTAGGGATGCCGTCGATGGCCCAATCCCAGTAGGGAGCTCGCAGAGCGTTGGCAGCATCAACGTAGGTCTTGCGGTACTTGGAAGGGTAAAGGTTGGCCAGTCGCTTGGCGTGCTCGACGAGGATCTGCTCGTAAAGCAGAACGTAAGGACGGTGCCAGGTCAGGAAGATGCTCTCTCCGTGAGGGCAGTATCCAGGCCATCCATTACCGTTTCGACCACCACCACCGTTCCACTGGATAAAGGGCTTGCCGTGAATACCACCAACCTGGAAGTAGGACTTCCAGTCGGTCTCGCTGGCGTCGTACATGGAGCGGACAGCTCGCATGTAAAGGTCCCTGTTTAGATATTAGCATTGATGAAGCTCACTACAGCGCAGCGGGACATACAGAGTGGGACCACCAGATTTGATAAGATCATTGATGTTTCGGCGAGAAGGAACAGCGCTTCCTCCAGTGACTGGGACACCGGTAACGAAGATGTTCTGCTGCTGGGCCTCGACGGGGTTGACTCCGCCAACGACCGCAAGAGCGGCAATTAGAAACTTGCCCAACATGGTGAAAAGAATAGAATAAAACGAATGTATTCGAACAAAAGTCGTGCGTCAATGTACGACTTTGTTTGTTCTGAGAGGACAAGATCGAGAAAGGAAGCAATTTAGGAAGTGGGAAATGCTCCGAGATATAGTAGCTGAGCCATGGCAGGACAATTCGATAGTACGAGGTCTAGGGGCGTGTGAGAAGTGACAAACGACCTAGACAGTAAAGAGAGTCTAACAGAGACAGGCAGAGTCATGCCCATGGCAATGATCCCTTCTCCGCATCCGAATCTCCGTCTTGCCCGGGTCTCCAGCCCAGCTGTCAATCATCGTCAAAGGGGTTCGTATGTAACGCCCCTCATAGCGGCCCTAGATGACAAGGGGGAGGGGGTGCGCAGGTAGGGCAAAGATCGATATTCCATGGGATGTATCCACCGACTAGAACCTGTAAGGTGTGGGTGAATTAGAATAGCAGTATGACCCATGCACATGGACCTGCACCTGGCTTTCTCAATCGTTTAGCTTGAAGCTGCTCGTAACGCCACATTGACCAGATCAACATCTGTGTCCCTGAAGGATGACAGGCTAAGGCTGTCAGGCGAGAAGGGGAAATTGAAGTTGAAGATGATTGCGCGTGCGTGCTCGGACTAAACGTTAAGCGTGAATGAGATAGAGACGAGACATCCATCAACAAGAGCGAGTGCACTGTAAGCATCAGGTACAGTAAGACGGCCAATCCAACGCTGGTGGTGTGAGTGAGCGACTGAGTACGAGGTTGTTGCTGCTTCGTGTAGGTTGTTGTGCAAAGAAACAACAGGGGTCAAAAGATCTAGTCCGGCCCAGCCCAGCACCAGCCCAGCGGTACCTTGGTACAGCCCTGCTTATGAGCTGCTTCAGCGGCCTCAGGGTGTCAGAAGAATTGGCCCCTAGAAACATAAGAGACGAAATAAATTAGTCACTTTATGCTAACTTAGACCCGTGGTTAGGTTACTTTATTATGGAAGCCTAAGCCTTGGAGGGCAATTCTTCTGTTACCCACCTGAGCGGTTGGGGAAGCTGGAATTAGCTGGAGCTGTGCCTGGTGAGTGGAGTCCGCTAAGCTGTTAGAGGAGCAAGTCAGCGGCACGATAGACCACAAGGGCTTTGTTAGTGGATGGCCTCCTGCGGCTAACGATTGATGGTACTTGACGCGAGCACCTAATTTATGTGAGAAAGTGATGTACCTGACGTAAATTACCCTCAGACCAGGTTGCAGCGTATCGCCCAATCGAAATGGGATTAGAGCCTAGTACCTGAACTTCTAACACCACCATCTAAGCATGGATCAGTCGTCCTAACCTGCTAGTCAGGGCCTCTGAGTGGATGGATACGGATGGAGATGGATGATCTGAGGAAAGGATGCGAAAAGATTGCCATGGATCATGACTGAAGATGCAATTTGTTTGCGGCTACACGGCCAGTCAATGAGGCCATACGAATTAATTAATCGATCAGCGATTACTGTAGGCAGGTAAACGACGTAGCAATGCATCCAGGGACTTTCCAATTATTAGATCAATGCCAAGGATCTCGGGCCAGTTGAAGCCGCCCCTACATGATGTGCAGCCAATTAGGCCTCGGCTTTCAAAGACCTTGAACCTCGGCGGATACTAAAAAAGGATCAAGCACGATGCTCTAGGGCATTCTGACAGCCCAAAGACCGCTGTAGCTGCAGTTGCAGTTGCATATAAATAAATCAATTGGTTGATGGCAGTCCAGAACCTCAGCCGCTTCCCGGGAACAACTCACAGTGCGTCAAGCCTACGTCAGGACAACTGGGATTTATTCTTCTTTTACCTATTCTTTTTCTTCTATTTGGTAACTGTTCCGCTGGGTTTTACGTGATTTCAGGTAATAGGAGATGAAAACTCGCTTAATGTGAATTTTGGCGCCGGATCTAGACGGAGATGCCGATCAAACTTGTACGGAGCGTCGGCACAGTTATACGAGGCTTTTTATTTTATTTGTGATTATGACTGTATACAACCAACATTTTGATGAAGTTCTTACTGTACAGTCCATAATAATCACGCCCTACCTATCTGACTGCAGGTACAGTACAGTAGGTTTCTACTTGAGGTAACCGAAAATGTCCACATTCAGTCGATCTCAGTCGCTTGTTGGTCCATGATAGTTGACAAAAAATGTCCGTGGCCCTTTTTTTAGTATCATGACGGTTTAATTACGGCTTCTGGTCCTCGTGGTTTGTCCTCACCGTTTGAGCTAGACCCAATCTCGTCAATCTGCTTGGTAGAGTAGAGCTCCTTTTGTCTACTCTTGAAACAGCCACCCGCTGAACTGACCTGACCTGAACTTTCTACTTCTGACCCCCTAGGCTGGAAGGGAATGGCTTAGAGACAGGTCAATTCGCTAGTTTCTCTTTAGTTGATGGCACGAGCCAAGGGGCAACAGCCTTTGTGTGTTGCCGGTTGCCGCTGGGTCGATAACATCAACTGTCCGTAAAGCCATGTCTCAGTAAGGGGCAAACAAGTACAATACAGCTACTAAGCCTATGTAGTTTAGGGTGATTTAACGTCTTATCCCTCCATCTCCATCTCGTTCCTCCTTAAACTTGTGTCCTAGTTTGTATCTAGCTCTGCGCGTGATTCCGCTTGTCTTAACTCCGCCTCATTTAGAACTATTGAATCTTGATATTAGTGGAACTCGTTCGATTGAGATCTCCTCTGTTTATTACGGGCAGTTATTATTCGCGATTCTGCACGTCCATGTCCATGTCCAAAAAAAGATGGTGTTCTGCCGTAAGCCTCCATATGCACGGAGCAGTCTTCAACCACTTATATCTTGACAAGCCCGCGTCGTGCCGAACAAACAGTCCAGCCACGCATGCATGCAGCAAGTTGAACTGGAACGACGCAGCCAATCCCGTATTTTTACATGTCTGTAGGCGTCCGCCGCATGTAACTTGGTAGATGCTGTTTAATAAGGGCAAACCAAACCTCGTGTTAGTTGAGTACAGTCAGGACACACACCGCTCATACAAATGGGTGGTCCATCTGCATGAGGCGTTCCAACCGATACGAGCCCTACGAGACATCTCAGCCAAGCAGAGATGTGAGATGCACAACTCAATGTCCAAATATGGTATCTCGAGATGTTGAACTAATGTAGGCTGATCAGATCAGAGTTTGAGCCGTTTATTAGGCTTCTTTTTTGCCTTTTTGACTTTTGACTTTTGCCTCGTGCCTCGCCGCCTTGCAGCCGATGAAAGCCACGCTTGACGGTTGGTCCCAAGAAGCCAGTGTTTCTGTGGCTATAGGGTTGATGGCATCTAGGTTTTTATATAAGAAGCTGACCGTTGCAGTTGATGAAGATGCCAAGGCGTTTAACAATCACTTGACATTGACAGGGAACCCTCTCAACATCACAATTGCCGCTCTCATGACGGGTAAAGATGCTTAACCTGATCCTAAACCAATAGTCGAGAATTATAGTCATGTTCGACTATCTCCTCTAGCTTACCCGTACCGGAAGTGTCCGGTTTTCTTACCTTGCGGCTGACGAGACTAGATATGCAGCATACCAACAACATCCTGGTCTGGTACTGTACTTTTGGATCCTCCTCCTCCAAGAATATCTCATGATGTGATTAGTACACAAGAGTACAGTAGTATAATGAGGGGAACCCATGTCTTTAGTGGCTATAACCTCGATCACCGTACGATATTCAGTGACCATCTGTGTTGCCAAGGCCACCTACTTGCTTACGGCTGTCTATGTATTTACTTTTCCAGCTTTCCAATGAATATCATGTGCCTGCCAGCAAAATTCGATAATTCATTGTTAGCTCCCTTGACAAACTTGGCAAAAGATCATCAGCTCGTTGCAACGTGAACAAGGTCATGATCGTATTGAACTTTTGATCGTTTCCCGGTATATCCGTCGGTCTTGTTTCGATCGCGATGCTAAGACTAGTCTAACGCTCTCTTCTTTTTCCTCTTCTAGCGTTGGTATCCGTAGTTTCGCTTAGATGAATTGCTGATCTCTCCAACGGCCCGTTTTCTCTTTTTCGTCCCTTGCAATTTCATCATGATGAAAAGATGGAATATCAAACTTTCCAATCATAGACCAGAGAGTCAGCAAGATCGTCATTCCAGTTACCAAATAAAGTATTTCTGGGTTCCTGCAGATCGTCTTGGCAAAAATTGATTAAAGGATTGTCAGGAACATGGATGGTTGACCCACGCAGGTAGAGAGAAGTGCACGGAATGTTACACAACACTGGATACAATAGAAACAAACTGATCAAACGCCATCATTAACAACGCAATGTCTTTTAGTCTACGTCTAACGGAGGATAAAAGCAAGACAGTCTTGGTCCACAAAATGTCTCACCATATCAATGGATGTTGAATATCATCCATGGCTATTTACTTATGTGGCGCACGCTAAAGGCAGTCAGCGCACAATGCCACGCCTTGTGAACCATGGCATTTACAGTACATGCAATATTATATGACCGATGGATGAATGGATGAAGATGAGGATGCTGACCACACCCCTACGGATACTGCTAAAGTGATTACACTATGGCTTATGGCGTCAAGCTCATGGCTATGTCTGTGGCTTACAGTACAGCTCTCGGCTCATGCAGGTCCCGGGATTCATTGTTGTACAGTGCTTGAACTTTGTTTTGTTTGATGCTATCATAGGATGAGGATAAACACGCTGCTTATTTACGGTGCGTACGTGCATACCTGGCCTAGGCACCTATGCGCAGTATAGTATGTCCGTCGTTTTGTTTTAGATACTGTCATAGCTCCCCGTATTCATGCCAAGATCCAGATATCCTCCACTTCTTTTTGCGTTGGTGTGACAGTAACTGTTCTCTCATATCCCTCATGATCATCGTCTCAGAGCTAAATCATGTTAGTTACAAGGAGAGCGATTGCTCCAGCATCACAAGGTCTCTAAACCCTTCTTTCCACCGCCTCGCCTGCTCTGTGTCCGGTCTTGGCAGTGGACTTCGTGCAAAGCCTCCGTAACCCATCCACGCCTGTAGTCCGGCCTTTACACCGACCACACCGCCCTGAATCGCCGTCCAGTCGCCCTGTGAGACAACTTCCTGCATCTTTTGTGCTTCGGAAACATGTCCTTCCAAGTAAAGTTCCATAGTCTTGATGCATGCCCTCGGAGCAATGTTGGCCAAGCCTGCTAAGATACCGTGACCTCCGCCAGCCAGAGAAGGAATGAGGAAATCAGCTGAGCCTGCCAAGACGAGAAACTCGGGCTGGGTTGGGTTATGCTTTGAGACTTTGCGAGTTGCTGCGGCTACTCTGTTGAGCTTGCCCGTGTTGCCGCACGTTAACTTGACGCCTACAATATTAGGATGCTGTGCGAGAGTGATGATAGTATCTGAGGACATGTCCATGCCATCCACAGCGCCAGGAAAGTTGTATATGATTATGGGGATAGGAGACTTGTCTGCGACTCTTGTGAAATACTCCAGGATGGTTGCTGATGCCGGGCCAAATAACGTGGCATAGTAGGACGGAGGTAGGACCAGCGCATAGTCACCGCCAGCTTCCCAAGCCTCACGGCAATATTCGACGGTCTCGCGCGTGCTCTGGCTACCGCATCCCACGATGATGGGCACATGCGAGAAGCCGCCGTCATTCAGGGCGGCTCTTGTAGTGGCGGTGACCAGCTGCCGCTCCGAATGACTGAGGTGAACAGCCTCTCCATTAGATCCCTGCGTAGCAATTCCCGTTACACCAGCCTGAGCAAGTCTCACAGCATGGGCGGCAATTGTAGCGGTGTCGACGTCTTCTGTTTCCGAGTCGAAGAAACACATTGTTGGGACGTAGACGCCAGGAATAAGAGGACGTGAGGTCTGGATATCATCTTCTGTGGAAGCGCTGGTGGCGGGTGATGAGGCATTGGCTGATGTGAAGTTGCTATTCATAGTACTTGAGTGCCATTGGTTGTGATTGTATAAGTGATTGTCGAAAGACGACCTCGCTGATGAGGGAGCATCACTATGAGGAGGCATGATGACTTGATGATATGTGATAGGGTTGAGGGTATAAGGTGCAAAGACTCTGTGAGAGTTATTGATATAATTATATAATCAAAGAACTGTACTTGGATATTGAGGGAAGTTACCAGAATTTATACTCGTCAGTCTCTCAACTGTCGTGAGCATCATCATCCTCAATCCTCTCCTACAACACCAATTGCAACCCCCTAAAATCGATAACTCACAAAACCTTCAGCGGGGCAAAAATCAAGTCAAATGATTCAATCCGCCAACTCCGAGAGGACGGACAGACCGGTCAGAGAATTGGGCAGCTCAAAGATTGGTAGAGTTGCCCAAATACTCCGCTTGTATGCATCTCGTTATGAGGGGAAATGCTCACGAGAGTCGCCTCTTGGGGGTCTTCCTGCAGGAAAATCCGGGGTATCTCAGGGTCTAAGAAGCCTCTTGACGAATTTGGACCGTGGGGGTTTCTTTGTACTTTGAGGCCAGTCTTTGCCTGAGTCGTATAGTTCAATACTTGCCTTCTCGATTGCGGTATATTCACTCCGACTCGAGTAATCATGACTTGTTAAGATGATGCTGCGCCTCAACAGAGTATCATTCAAGAGCAGACTCAATTGATGCAGAAATACGCTCTCTCGGTTAGGCAAGGAGGTAGACTGTCAACCTGGATCTCGGAATTCAATGCATACCAAGTCCTATAACCGAGGGGCCGCCCTCCAATTTACTATAACCTGACGTACATCTCTTGAGAATCACGGATCAACGTCTTTTTTAAACGTAATAAATGCTCGTGTAACCATCCAAAGACTCGTGGCATTGTTGCCGTCATCCACGTTGGTCAAAATAAGCATCGTTCCTTGGTCAATTCTAACTCAGCCGTCAGCTTCAAGCACGTCGTGATGTGTCATGTGTTCTCAGAAGAATCAAGCTCATTCAATATCATGCCTTGAGAATCATTGTATACAAAGCCATTGACTGTCACCGTTCGGTAATTAACGGTACTAGGAAGAGCAAATAAGAAATCAGATATGCTTAAAGTTGGTGAGCTGTTAGGACTCAAGCTTAACTGCCTCATTAAAACCAGACCAATGGCTCTTATGGCACGGGCCGTTGGAATCTGAGTTCAAAACCAATTTGTCTTCATCTCAAAATAAAGTTAAGCCCATAGCCGGGTAGGATCTATCCGCAATAAACTGTGCCTCAACTCTTTCCATGGTTTACTCTCAACTCAGCAATGCAGTGCAGCTTTCAGACTTGATACTGTCTCGGCATAATACTACATCAATAGGGTTGTTTATAAATAGGCATCGGGGTAAGAGTCTTGGTCATTGGCACTTATAAGTGATCGTCAGTCATGGACGTTTGTCCAAAACCTGAATATTGATAGCAGCACCAAACATCCACGGAGACGCAGATTTCTGGAAGCTACTTTTGTCCGAGCAGGCAAGGATCAAATCGACCAAAACTGCAAGTCTCTTACTCCGTTCATATTCACGCAGGCATATCCTGCAACAAATGCAATGCACTGCGCCGCCAAGTTACTGTACGTTACCACGCATATCATCCTCGCTTACATCCAGCTCTCCTCATACCGTATAACGGATTCTGATGGGGGCGGCTGCATTCACTTAAAGCCCTATTGGGGGTATATCACATGTTACTGACGTCGCCTTTCATCGGAACAAGGAAATGTTACTTTGGAAAACATCGTCATATCTGCCGATACAATCAATAAGATTTGCCTTGATTCAAGCGATATAGAGATAACTCTAACCAAAAATCGTTCATTCGTAACCATGCCAATAGCATATGTTAGCAACGCCAACCAAAACAAAACCGACAGCCTCATGCTTGCCAGTACGCCGTATAGATGCCCAAGAAAGGAAATGTCCTTATTTTACAATAACCAAGTCGTCATCGTCATCGTCGAGCGTGATTCGCCGCTTCGCCAGCTCGTTACTGATCAGGTCGTTACCGAGACTTTCTCTCCCAGCTTCTCGAATGCCCTTGTCGGTAACGAAGCGAGTCTTTTTTCTCACTGGCGGCTGCCCATCCTTGCGTAACTTCTCCCCTTCCTTCATCTTCGAAAGCTTGTCTTTCAGACTACTTCCCCAACCAAAAGCTGACGGTCCACTACTTGTGGCCGAGCCAGCTTGTGATCCAGCTGAAGAACTGTCAGGACGTTTTCGTTTAACAGGACTCAGATGAATGTTGCTCTTCCCTAGTAGCCCAAGTGACTTTGCATCTGGCCTGAGAACTTCGTCCGCGATATTCGCTGGGCTTGGCGATGGCTCTATAGACGAGGCGGAAGCAGGCAACCTCGAAGTCCGCGAACCAGCTTGCCGCATATATTCTCTTCCCGCAGCATTACCAACTTGACCAAGCTTCTTCATCATTTCACGCTCCTTTTCCTTTGCCTCCAGAGTTCGCTTCACATGCTCTGCTCTCTCCTTTCGGTCATTTGGCGTTCGATCTTTGCCATCGATCAGGTCTGCCGTGCTCATCGTACGTGAGGCAAACCAGTGCGTTTTTGTCTCCCAGTCGTATTTCTTGGCCTCTTCTTTCTTTTGAGCGCCAAATTGATAGACTTCTCTAGAATTGTTCTTTCTGGTGCCAAAACTGCTTCCGTTGACCTCCAACCTCGTAGAGCGCTGTTTGCGGATGGCCTCGTTCGAGTGAAATTCACAGTACTGGGTTCGCTTTTTGTTTACCCAGGTGCCACAAATATCTCCGCCCTTCTTGACTGATTGGCATCCTCCCAAATCGCGAGCTGTTCCAATTTCAAGAATTGAATCATCGTCCGAGTTGATAACCAGACTGAACTTGCCAGTATCATGTCGCCCAGGCGGTGGTGGCATGAGTGTAGGGTTGAGAATTCCGATAACGGTACCCTCAGTGAGTTTCCAATATCTTGTGAACCCCGAGTTGAAGAGGAAAAGGTCCAGTTCCCATTCTAAATCAACCAGAGTCATGACCATGTATTTCCCCCGATCCTCCGTCTTCCCGTTTTTCTGTGTCGGCTTGTGGGCACGAGGTTCAGATTTCTTGGCCAAAATGCCAAATACCACAATATCCTGTTCAATATCCGGTAGCGCAAAATCTGGTGCTTTGACGTCTCTGAGTAGATCTTTGATCATGTACGCCTTTTTACCAGAAACATGTCGAGCAAGGACACTATGGGGCAGGATTCGTTTGGACAGGTGGAAACTCGAGTATGGCTCTATGCCGGCTGCTTGTTCATCGGTTACTTCCCCAGGGGGCGTATTCTTCCTTCTCGTTAGCGCCATCGAAGTAGCTGGGCGACTGATGCCGGGCGATTGGACATTGGGAACAGTGTAGCTTCGTTGCCTCTCCACAGGCTGGGGTTTGCCCATGATCTCTTCTCTTGAAAAGGACGGGGTTTTGATTGGCTCGTCTGGGATTTCGACAGCTTTCTTTTTGTATTGTTCCATCTCATCCTGGCTGATTCCGAAAGCATTCGTTCTTAACTTTTGTATGTCCTTTTGCCGCTGAGCTCTTGCAAGTTCGTCTGTCCTTACAGATGCCAACCGCTCGTTGAAGCTCAGAGGTCTGCCGTTATCGAATGAAGCCGAGGAGTTGGCGCTTCCGGTAGTCCTTGATCTCCGCAGATAACCAGATTGTCCAATATCAGTCGTTGTTTGCGAGTCTCTGTAACTAGGCGCACGCTTCAAGGAAATATCCTGAGCCTTGAGTCCTTTATCGATGCCTAGTAACACTCTGCTGGGGGAGGTCGGAAGTTGGGGCTCTTTTATCCTTCGTACTGGCGACGCAGGAACTTGGACATTGTTTTGTTGTGCGGGTAGCTCTGCCTTTGTAGGAGTTGTCGCGCGCCGTGAACGGCTTGGAGGTTGCGTTGATATCGCAAGTTCCGAGGTCGTCGCATGCAGATTTTCAACATTATCGTCCGTCTTTTTCGACTTGGCGCTCTGTAGCTTCTTCAACTTGAGCCGTGCCTGTATCTCTTGAAGTTTCAACTGCAGCGTTTCCTCATCCTCGTCGTCCTCGTCGTTTTCGATCTCGGCCATAAGGTTCATTGAAGGTAAGTTGCGACCTCTTTTTGACGGCGAAGGACTGGGCGAAGTCATCATCTGTCGGTATCGCTCCCGTCCCCGCGGCGTGCTAAGCAGAGCTTCATGCGGAGATCGTGGGGGCCATTGGGAGTCGTTTCCTTGTTTTGCTGGCGAGGCTGCGGCAAGTATGGTCAGTAGATTGTCGCATAAAAGAGCTTTGAGACCAGTATTGTGGTCTTACCAGGAGCCATGACGATACCCAGGACGGTAGGTAGGTTATAGCTCAGAAGCCGGCCCCGGTGTTATGCGATCACTAAGAAGAATTGGGTGGTGTAAGTATGCGATGAGCCTGTAGCATATTCCCAGATGGTCAGGGCGGTAGGTTGAGTTTTAGTGATGCGACAGCCATCCAGCTGGATCTGTGGACTATCGTTGGTGAAAGAAAATATATGCCCGGCGGAAAAGCTATCGATTTTGGGCTGTTGATGCAGGGAATGTTTGCTTTTCAGCGGTGCTGGTTTGGATTGGCTTGGATTGGATCGGACTGGGCTTGCATCCACAAGCCAACGCATGCCATGCCATGGGTCGGGTACTACCTACTACGTACTCACCTTAGTGCTTCAAGTTCCTGGGCGGACGGGCGCCAGCCTCTAACTGGGAAAAGTGGGGTCCACTAGAATTAAGGCCAAAGGTCTGGCGTCACCCCTGCAACCAATGGGACTGTCGCGTCAGAACGCGTCTCAATTCAATTTCAGTCCCTGGAGCGTGTTTAATTCAATATGGGTCCATTCGTCTAATAGTCTCCGTACCTAGATCCTAATCTAGATCTCTACTGCTGCTATCACAAGCCTGGTCTTCTTTGGAGAGCAACAACATTCCTTTCAATCCTTCCTTATTGCTCGATTTTCCGTTTGATTCATTCTACTATACCACTGTTTCTTCATAGGACTTATTAATTCATTAAAGACAACGGCGTCAAAATGGCGAGAACGAGAGCAACTAAAGCTGCTGCTCCAGCAGAATCGAAAGCTTCAGAGCCCAAAACTACTACCTCCAAATTTAATCTGTCGCCTCGCGCTGAAAACGCCTCTAAAGTCTTTGTACTTCCTACAAAGGCCTCATCCGAAGCGCGTATTGTCACTCTTCCACACCCCAGACATGGCCGAGCCGCGAGATACCTGGTGTGCCCTGAAACGGGCATCTACGAATTCACAAAAGTCGCGACACCGAAGACGACACCTCGCAGCTGGTTGATCGAGACTACACCAGAATCTACCTCTACAGATAGTACCAGCAACGTTGGGGTTTCAATGGGTCAGGACCTCTACCTGGCTACGTTGATCGATCCCCTATTCCTGGTCCTCCCAGCACTGGCCGAGACCCAGTCGAAAAGCTCGGAGGGCAAACGACTGTTCCTCTCGAGTGATGACCATTTCGATAAGCTACCACAGGAGTCTTCTCATCTATCAGAGATTTTGCGATGCAATAAGACACGAAAGCTCATCGAGAGCCGAATGGCCGCGATATGCGACACCGTTGATGCAGGAGACGAGAGTATGTTCAGAATAAACGAGAGCAAGCTTGCCAAGGCTGTACTGGAGAAGGCGCAGAGGATGCAGGAGGGGGGACTTGCTCCAACTTTGGAGGAGAAGTTTGTGAAGAAGGCTCTTGAAGCACCAATTCTTGTACAGACGCGAGAAACAAGAGAAACAACAATAACGAAAACAGAGTCCCCGGCACCTGCCTCAGACTCCAACGATTCTCAGTCAACGGCCGCCACAGGAGAAACCGAAGTCTCCCAAGCCTCAACGACCGCCACATCTTTAACAGAAGAGACTACCACAGAGAACATAGTCAGCGCCATTGAGGCTTCTGCCGATGTTGTGTCTCTCCAGAGATTGCGAGTTGCGTTCAGTTTCATCTGCTCGGGTTATATTTCCCAGGCTCTTTCTAATCAGCTGGAGGAGCTTCTGAAGAAGGAGGAATTGGTGGATTTCGCTCCCCTGGATGATTACCTGGCTAAATTGGCCAAGTTGCGCGCTGAAGCCATGGCTGCGCACTCTATCGATTACTCGCGCAAGCGTGGGTTGGATGAGGAGGAAGACGAAGCTTTCGTCAAGAAGAGAAAGATGGAGGAGGAAAAGAAGAAGAAATCGCTGGAGAGCCGTGGCGTCCGGAATCTCAAGAAAGTCAACACCACAGGCATGAAAAAGATGAGTGACTTTTTCAAGAAGAAGTAATAATAAGAAGATCTATTGGGTATATGTCATTAAAACGTGAGTGTCCAGACTTGGCCTCATTATGCCCCTCGAGCTCGACGCGCACCAAACCCTCGGCCGATGTTAGAGGTTCCGCGACTTGGTATGCCCGTCGTTCTGCTTGTAGATGTGGCAGTTGAGCTCCCAGCTCTTGCAGTCCCTCGCGCCCGGGTTGCGCCTCTAACTCCCCGGGTTGTTCGAGTTCCTCGTGTTCCTCGGGCGGGCGCAGCTGCTGCCAGTCTTCGTCTCTCCTCTTCTTCTTCACGACGCTGTCGCAATTGCTCACGTCTTTCTTCTTCTTCCGCGGCTTTTCGTTCAGCGGCCTGCTGTCTTTGAATAGCTTCCGCTTCTTGCTCGGCCATGTCTTCCGTTGCACCTTTCCATTCTGGGTCTAAGATCAATCGCTGATTATGCTCGGTCTGGGATAATATCCGGGTCCAAGTATTGAGGAGAACAGAGGCGTTGTTAACAGTGCTCAAAACGGTCTGCCGGTGGTCAGTAGATATTTAGTGGCACCTGGTATGGTAAACATACGTTCATGTTACCACCTGCGCGCTCCAGGGATGAGATGACGCCTTCAATGGATTCATTTATACTCCGAACACCTTCAAGTTCCTTGCGCAGTGCCGCTTCATGATCTATGGGCTCTGGGCGCTCTTGTGTCGGTGTCTTAGGGGTCTTGGGGGTTCTAGGAGTTCTTGGACGAGATGTCGGTGGGCCATCTTCCTGTGAGGGGGATTCCCAAATGTTCGACTCTGTAAATTCTGTAGTATCGTCGGCCATGGTGGCGGACTGCTAGGATGTAGGTGGATGCGGGGCCCTTTCTGTTGGAGATAGCCTCAGCTGGAAGCGCTGATCTAAGGTCGCAGCAAGGTCGTATGTTTCGGATAGCACAGGTTTCGAAAGTCGTGTTGAAAATGCTGTGGCGCATGCAGGGTCAGGGCCGGCGCTTGTTGACTTGATAGCAATGTGTTGCCATACACCGACAGCTATGGATACTGTATTGTTTAATTCATGAGTGGAGGGGCAGCACTCTATTGTCCCCATATTTCGCTTTAATTCATTGCTCGTTAGGACATGTTAATTGGCTGTTGTCCGTCGCGTGGCCAACGCGTCCGGGCGGGGTTGCTCACCCGACGGACGCGTTCAGGTTGCAACGGCCCTGTCGTTTTAGTGGGTAAACCTTGTCGCACAACCAAGAATAGGGAGGCTGGGAGGCTGGCGCACGCTCCAGGGTAGAGTCTGTCCCAGCCACTTCACTCGTTTTGATTGTTCTCGTTATTCAAATGTAAACATCTTACCCTACAAACATTCATCTCTAAATCTACCATCTCCAACTATTAGCAAGCGCCTTTCATCACTGTCGATTCTCATTCATATCATCCAAGACTTTATACCCCTTTTGCAGCTAATCACTGCAATCCATCCAGTCAACTGCGTTGTTTATCACGTCAGCCCATAACCTCAATTCGACGTAATCCTTTCGGGTCGATCTGGCAGCCATCGAGGACGCACTTTACGTCTTAAGTTGATACAATCTCTTGAAGGTAGTACTCCATAGTACAGCAAACAATCTCCTTAAGGCCGCAATTGTTTTTGGCACTGCCGCCTACCTGTCAAGATGGCCGACGCACACGGCTCTACCACTCCTCCACCGCCATCCCGCATCCGCACTCCGCCAACTCCTCGCCTTGGTTACCAAGACCACTGGGAACCCTTTTCACCTCGCAAGTCTGCACGAATTTCATCACAACGAACAAGGACTCCATCACCCGGCGCATCAAATCGTCAACCTCAATCACCTCAAACTAGCAAAAAGTCTACCAAGCATTCGAACACCTCTATCGCCTCTCCTATGACGCATAAGAAGCGCATGCCCGCCAACGATTTTGTTCGCCGCGCAACGGAAAACATGCAAGCTGAAACTTCTCGAGATGGCGCCAGCCGTCGTACTCATGAGCGATCCGGCTCTTCCGTCATCGGTGCCGCTGGCATGCTTCCTACACCATCAAAAACTCCTCAAAAGCCACCCACTGAGAAGAAAACCGCCCACATCAAATCAGTTGCTCGTAACCTCTTCGGCTCTGACGCCGATGAAGCAACCTTAACTCCTAAGAAGCGATCTGCTAAGAAGTACAGCGGTATTTCGATGGAAAGCTTTGCTGTGGAGGAGGTCGAGGATCCCATTGAGATATTCACTGATACTCGGGATCGAGTTCCTGTTCGCGATGAGCGAGAAGACAATCCTTTCCTCAGCTCAGAAAACCCCTTCTACAGCGAAGCACCCCGTGCTGCGCCTAGCAAACGTCACGACAGGCGCAAGGTCAAGGTTCCTGGTGAGGGTCTGAGGACTGTGGATGAGCTCGCCGACCGTAAGGATGGTATGGTGTACACATTGTAAGTTCCGCGCCAAAACTCAATCACTTTCAAAAAATTCAATTGCTAATTCAAAACAGCCGTGGAAAGAGATTCTTCCGCAAGTGGTCTGAACATGAGACTGAAGATCTGGATGAGCTTGAAACTGTTGAAGAAGACCCAGAAGCTCATCTCAGCCGTCCTTTGACACGAGCTTCAATCAAACCTTGTCTCCTTTTCCAAAGTGTCAAGACAGATGAGCAGATTGAAGAGGAAGAAGCCGTTACGGACGTTGAGGAAAACGAGGAAGAACCGGCTTGCCCAGCGACACCATCGGTATCCAAGAAGGAGCGCGCATCTACACCTGAAGCGCCTAAATTTGCACCAGCTTCACCTCCCTCCACTCGACGAGTGACTCGATCTACCAACAAGTTGGAAGACGAGAGCACGCCTATCAAGCCGCCCAGCAAGCGAAGCCCCTTTGCTTCTTGGCGACGAACAAAGGAAAGCGTGCCCAAATCACTGTCACGCAAACGATCAGCAGAAAGCATTGACACTAGGGAGACCAAGCGTAGCCGCGTTTAGGTCAACGCTTTCGGCTTACAGATGTTGCATTTGCTTTTGATTATCACATTCTCGCATCACAGTCAAGTGGCTGTTCCACGACAATTCATAATTCTGCATACGGGGGTCCCCCTTACCTTTCGCCTTATAATGGAAATTAGTACTGGCTTTTATCACGGCGTTGGATGGAATTTAGAGCGTCAAAAGGATTAGCAAGTTGCTAAGGACGACGGAATGTATCGCATAGGAAGACAACGTGTTGATTGATTGATTGGTTGGCTGGTTGATTGATACCTGGAGGACCTCAACTCAGCAGTGGAAGAGAGGAGGAAAGCAAGCCCGAGTCTGTTCGGTTTATTCTATTCTATTTGGGTTTCGGTCTCGGCTGGTCTGGTCTGGTCTGGTTTGATTTGTTAAGGAATTTTTCCTTAGGCACATCTTCGATTCTGTGAGACCCGGTTTTTAGGTAGTCCTTTTTTTCATGATCGAGTCGATCGAATAAAGAAATCAGACAAGTTCATGATAATAACATGAGTTCCTCTGCCTCTCCGCTTGTGCCCGTACTTGCCCATTCTAATCGCCAATTGGAAGTGATTCTGTGACGTGCTTACTTGCCTAGCGCTCCTGCCCCACGTGCATGCCCCTCATTGATTCCCTTCTGCCCAACGTCCATCCGTCAAATACTCTGCGAAGGTTCTGTATAACAGGCATTGATTGCTAGTGAGTAGAATTTCTCTTCTCTTCTCTGTTTTGTTTTGTTTTCTATATCCAGAAAAGACTGTACTGACACTTGAGACAGCTTATACTAATCGTCTGCCTTCTCTTCGCAGCTAAAGATGCATATCCTCGTTACCAATGATGATGGCCCGCCATCACCACACTCTTCTCCTTACGTCCACTGTCTAATCCAGCAGCTTCAGCAGGCGGGCCACACTGTTTCCGTATGTCTTCCTCACACACAGAGGTCATGGATTGGAAAGGCACACATGATTGGTCAAACTCTTAAGCCGCTGTACTACCGTCCTTCATCTGTTGTCCACGGTGAGGATTCTCCAGGTTCCACTCATCATCGACCCTCTCCTTCAGGAGATGTCGAAGAATGGATCTTGATCGATGGAACTCCGGCTTCGTGCGTTCAAATTGGTCTTCACCACTTCTTTCAGGAACGAGGACCTATCGATCTTGTCGTTAGTGGACCCAACTACGGTAGAAACACAACTGCCGTGTTTGCTCTCAGCTCGGGAACGCTAGGTGCCGCTCTGGAAGCTGCTGTTTGCCAGAAGAAATCCATTGCTCTGAGCTTTGCCTTCTTTACCAGGAACCATGACCCGGTTATCATTGAGGCCGCTTGCCGTCGCAGCGTCAAGGTTATTGATGCTCTTTACAAGCAGTGGCCTACAGACGGAAGTGCCGATCTCTATAGTGTCAACGTTCCTCTGGTAGAAGGCCTTGAAAATAACAAGGCTATCTGGACCAATGTTCTGCAAAACTACTGGAGAGAAGGTGGTTGCTTCCAAGAGATTGAAGGTGAGGCAGGAGATGAGAATGAGGAAGAGGAGAGGATACGCGAAGGCGTTGGTGGTGAGGTGGATGATGCAGCTCGACCAAGTTCACGCAAGGGGCATACCCACAAGCACTTCAAGTGGGCGCCAAAGTTCACAGATGTGTACAAGAGCGTAGAAGAGTCCGAGCCTGGCAACGATGGATGGACCGTCAAGGAGGGACTGACAAGGTATGTTTGTTCATTGCAACAAGCCAACATTACTGACATGTTCAGCATCACCCCTCTCAAGGCCAACTTTATGCATGGTCCTGGAGAATTCAACCAGAAAGAGCTTGAACTGTAAGTACCCTTGATCAAGTGATATGTGACGGGCAGGGCTAGGAGAGAAGCACGATGCCTGTATTCTACCAAGACTACCAATAGATACATTCTTACTTTTTTATAAAGGGATTCGGGTTCAGTGGCAAACCAGAACAAGCAAGAGTTGGCATTGAGACCAAAGGGCCCTTCGGTCCAAGCCGTCATCTCATACGAAGATTCTTACGTTCAACCACTTATTCTTGACGCCTTGAACTCTCTTTTCCCTCAGGGAGTTTTCAACGTAATCACTGAAGTACCGGAATCTGATGAGCCAGCCCTTGCGAAGATTGTCCCATCGGAGGACAACATTCTGCAGATCACCTCGTACGAAACTATCGACTTTGAGTACGCTGCCAGCCATGAGCGTACAACCCTGATCAACAGCTACATGATTCGAAAAGCCCTTATTCGAAAGCATTTCTTGTCGAACACAGTGGATCACTGGGTTGCAAAGCACCCTGAATCTGTTCTGAAGAAGCACATCAAGCGCAGCGAAGCTTTCGAGGTCGACTTTGCCGAGTTCCTGGACGATGCCCTGGTTGAGGCTTTTGATCTTCGAGAAAGCATGGACCGTAATGAGGAGCAGACAGACCCTAACGCTAAGGAGTGGTGGATTCTGAAGCCAGGCATGAGTGACAGAGGTCAGGGCATCAAACTCTTCAGCACGATGGACGAACTTCAGAACATCTTCGATATCTGGGAGGAGGATCAGCCTGACACTGATGATGAAGAGGAGGTCGCTGATAAGGACGACGACGGAGATTACATCACAACCTCTCACTTGAGACACTTTGTTGCGCAGCCGTATATTCACCCACCTCTACTGGTTGATGGCGAAAAGCGCAAGTTCCATATCCGCACATATGTGATGTGCACTGGAAGCCTTGATGTCTGGGTCTACAAGCACATGCTTGCGCTCTTCGCTGGCAAGCCTTACACTGCACCTGCAGATGCACCAGAGGATATCGAGTCTTTCCTCACCAACACTTGTCTCCAGGATTCACCAAACGAGAACACTGTTCGCCGCTTCTGGGATCTGCCTCTATCAAGCGACATGCGAGATGACATCTTCCGTCAGATCTGCGACGTGACTGGCGAGATCTTTGAAGCTGCCGCGAAGGCCATGCCAATTCATTTCCAGACAATGCCCAATGCTTTCGAAGTCTACGGCCTGGATTTCCTAGTGGATGCCCAGGGCACTGCTTATTTACTCGAGGTGAACGCTTTCCCCGACTTCAAACAGACTGGAGGAGATCTCAAGGAAATTGTGTCTGGATTCTGGAAGGGCGTAATGAGACACAGTGTTGCGCCATTCTTCGGTCTCGGGGGCTCAATTAAGGACCAGGATGGTGCCGAGGATATGGTTCCTGTCCGTAAGGTGGATTTGGGACGACGATAAGGCAGCATTCGATGATAGTAAAGTGTCAAAAGGGGTAGTTGGTCGGGCAGTCACCGCAATCTCGCCATGGCTATACTAGGGCGTTCAAAAGTTCTTTATTTTATATACACACCGTACACTTTTCGCTCAACTTTGTTACTCTGTGAGAGCCCATTGCACGGGGTTAGTTTGTGTAGAGGAGGCTACAGGGCAGAATGTGCAGAGCATCGCCTGACTCCATGTCCAATTTTCAATATCTTAACTTCCGTGTTACCCGTTACGGTTTCCAAGAAGGTTGGTATCCAAGTCTCGGGGTGGGAAGAATAAACAACCAAACCATCTCGCTCCAATGGCACTTTCCATTATGTCTCTTCAAAGTCAATCTTTTTCAGTCAATACCAAGTTCGCGCAACGTACAAGTAACCAGAACAAAGCAAAATGCAACATACTCACCAGATTCGGCACATAAACCCCTCATGATATGAGGATCTGCTGATCGAGTGAAGGATAGCAACTCCCCGATTGGGACTGAGCACTTACACAGCCACGATGTGGTGGAGTTGGAAGCGGGATAAACCTTACATGCCATTTCGTTTTGACAGACGACCGTAATAATCGCCAGATAAAAGACTTTCCTGGCAGTTCATCATTGAGGTAGTACAAAGTCTGCTGTGCCGTACGGAAGCAGGGAACTTTTAGATGAGGGGGAGGCTGTGTTGCGAATGTCAAACACAATACGTTGATCAATCAAGATAAGGCATGTTTCGTCTACAGTACAGAGTTTGTGATTGTGAATTGCATGTCACTGCGGAGATTTTTGATGTAATATCGATTCAGGGGATTCTTTCGCGGTGCACCAGGGCGTACTGTTCCCTTATGTGAGAGTGAGATCGAATCCATCGTGTTAGTGAGAAATGACAAACAGCCCACCACCAACCCGAGACTATAAGCTCATTTAGGAAGCATATAGGCATGTTGCACATTGATTAGGAAGTTGGATATTGCTTACCTGGTCGATATATGGCTTGTCAGCCTTTGGGCGTTAGCTCCAATTTCATGATCTCAGAACTATAGGGTAATCTCCGTTCGCTATAACAACCCGTCTGCAATCAGCCTTTCGGGCCATACAAACGGTGTTTGTAAGGTTGAATCTGTTCTCTGTTTCGAGCATTCCCATTTTAATAGTTAATTTCCGAATTTTCGAAATTTGAAATACGTCAAGTCGCGCTTGTTAAACATGCTTCCGGTATTTGGCTCCTTTCCCGGATTTACTTCTGTCCACTGTGAACAATGGACCTGGCCACTACGAACCAGTCATTTTGCTAAGCAAATATTAAGAGAAGCTATTACTGCCCCCATCAGACGAGAAAAAGCATCCTACCCAATTTCAATAGGAGGCGAAGTGTTTGTGCATTGCTCGTCCGGAACTGTGGCTATCCGGGTATAATCATTATGCCTTAGCCTAAGGATCAGCTAACTACCTGAAGTAGTTTTATACGAAACTATCATGGTTTTAAGAAGATATTATTACAAGCCAAGTGGTATCTAGTACCGTGAACTTGACGCCATTCATGTCGATGCATTGATAGAGTAATGACGATTTCCACGTGCAAAACCTGTACAAGTTCATCGTGCTCCGCAGGTCGTACAGCTTCTGCATGATATGACACCGTATACACCCCATTGGCCACTGATCCGGAAGCTACGGATGGTCAAATGGGTTTTATCGTAGGATTGGATTTCGGATGCGTTTTCGGCCAACTGGTGAGGCGAAGCAACAAAGCCCTTACCGAAAGTTCAAGATGCTGCTTGGTAACATGTGAGGCAGAAAGAACCACGATACCACGTGCGCTATTTCTCAAGCTAGATTGACATGATTACAGATAACTTTTAAGCCACCGCGTGTTTCGCTTATAATGGCTCCTAATGGAAACAACCGACTGAGGCTGAGCAGTGCCACCAAGTTGGACGGACGTATCTCCTCTGAGTTTACGGATATATGGCTTCCAACGAAAAATTGGAGGTTTCATAAACTTAATCAGCTTGTCTTGGCTCAACTCGGCTTGGTTGGTCTTGGCTTTTCGATACTCAGACCCTGGCTGCATAAAGTGGCAGCTGAAGGATTGTAATCCCCAGAACTAAATCTGATTGGTCAGCCAATTCGATATTTGCTACCAGAATGGGATGAGAACAACTCTTTTTCAACGACAACTGCCAGGTCAGAAGATACAAAGTCTAAGCCTCGAAGACTGAGTCAAAATGGGTCGAATGACCATATCGTTGAAGTTTTTGTTGAGCTCATGTCGTATTTTGACTCGATCTTCTCAGCTCAACACGATCCGAGGTTAAGGAATTGGCCGACTGACCTGACTTGAGCGAAATGTGGCTGTGTGGCTGTGCAGCTCTAAGCGCCACTTCTGTCCGCCTCAAAGGCCTCCTACCAAGGCCTCCCGTTACTGTCCATTCAATTACGCCTTGATAGTGACAGCAAGATATTCTCCGTCTCCATCAGAAAGTCTGCTGATGGGCCAGTGCATGTTTGACCGTTTGCAGGTGGAGAGGCTCTGGTCACGCCAAGCTCTTTATTCGTTCATGATCGACAACACGACGGGCATAAAGGGGAGATGCCCGGGATTGAAGTGACTCTTTTTACGCTGCCAAGCATGAATTTATGCTTTAATTGGTATATCACTAAGCGCTTCTCTACATCAATGCATTTTTGGAGCACAAATGTCTGTCATTGAGCTCGCCCAGTTGGCTCTTCTCATGTTGACAGACTCACTTGCCTGATTAATCGCGGCTGTTTCTCAATAAACAAGGCTCAAGACCGGGATCGGACAACCTCATCTTCTATAACCTGCTTATTCTGAAGAAACTGACAGATGAAGCTTGAGTGGTGGAGTCTTGCTGGGTTTGCGATTGGACGATCCCTAAATAGCGTTATGGAGCTCATCAATGATTGTCACAAAGGCTCTTGGATAGGATCCAACCCGAGTTTTAATCCTGGTATTACAATCCCCTGAATACGACTTTGCTGGCTGAGTTGTTTTTTGTTCAAAAATATCCACAAGGGCAATGGCTCTTGACTGTTTTAGGTGGTATCGACAGCGAGGCATTCCTAGGAAACATCACCGGGACCAGAAAACATGTTAGAAAGGAAGCTATGGGCTAAGCTATCTTACAGCTACGGAATGCACGGTGAAGCAATCTAAAGGAATAATTAAGCTCATCAGCCGTGTGACTACCAAAGAACCCGCGGCTAAGAAACAAGGATTAAGAGGCTCCAATTTACAAGGAGATTACCCATAGAATTCAGGTACAGTGCAGTGTCCCATACGGACTAAGTTGCGGGTCTATCCCTCCGTATATGTCTTTCAGGTCCGGAAGGATTCGCCTTTGGTGAGAAACTTAACTGGGGAAGAGATGAATGACTAAATGTGAAAACCCAGTGACAGTCTAGACGGGCAGAAAGGGCAAGGTTGAAGACAAAACTAGAGTCACTGTCAAGACATAACCCACTGTTAACAAGAATAGTAACGCGTCGTCACATCGACCGCTAAATGTTCATACCAGCGCGTGTTATCAACCGGCACTTGGTTCGAGTTGGAAGCGGACCAGGGCACGTCCAAGCTATCACTTTTGCCCATTTCGCTTAACAAGTTGACAAACATGCGAAGCATTATCTAGACGTCATTTGTCTGTGCTTGGAAGGTTGATGCAAATGACAACAGATTAGGAATGTCGCACGCAAAGATTTGCATAGCACAACCTGACCGAGTCGAGAATGTGAAGTAATATAACAGTTCAATGGCTTATCAAAGAAAACAATGGTAACAATGTTTAATCGCCAATCATGACTCTTTGCTTACTTTTGCGACATACAAGACGTTTCACAGAACTTGTTAGCTTGGCGCCAAGTCATCGTATTGGACGATTTAGAGCAAATCATCCAACCCTGATCTAGGAACGTAGCGAACAGCTAGATTCTAGGGCCTTGGCTCTGGACCTTCTAGACAGGCCGCCAAGACGGGATCTTCGCATAATTCTGCACTGTGGCGACATGGGGGGACCCGGGAACATCATGAACATGAGCATGAGCGTGAGCTGCCTCAATTGGACTTTGTTGAGGAAGAACAATGAAAGCTGAAATGCGTCATCCTTTCGCCGTTGACAGTGTTCGTGGACATTCTGGATCGGGTCAAAACTTAACCTAATCATCACACAGCCTCTTCTTGCAAGCGTAAAGATGTAGAGAGGCCGCCTGTAAAGCTTGTGTACCTAATGATAGGAGGCAAACTATGCAGCATGGAACTTGACAGAGGAAAAGGGTTGGCCATGTAAGTGATCGTACCAACTATATGGAAACTGATATATCGATCGAATCTCGATGCTGAATTCAAAGTCCAATCGAAGAAAGTACAGTACCTAGTCAGTGAGAGCAAGAAGCACAGTGCATGTCACTTAAGAAACAGACAGTCAAGGAACCTTGTCCGTATAGATACTGTAAATCCTTATGGAAAGTCACAATGGGACTTTCTAGCCTGCCAAATATGTCCATGGAGATTATCTTACCTACGGACCTGATATGTTCAGCGCCTATTGCTGATTCCACGGTCCTTTCGTCTCTACTCTATCCAAAGAAAGAAGAACATCCGTCAATTTAGCGCTTGTCCGGCCCCTGCCCCGGGCTTAAGCGGATCCAGTTTTTATGCCGTTTGGTTAGGTATTTTCTTCTATCTGCACCCCAGAGTGAAGACCAAGAGCCAATCACGAGCTTCGTTTGGCTTGCACTGCCTCAATTGCTTTCAAGAAGGAAGGAAGCTCGCTCGAGGCGAAAACAAGTCCTCCACCTGCCTCTCGATTGCATTTCTCCTCAGTCTTCAACTGAACCTTGGGTGCGTTGGCGATGTTAAACTAACTCCGCCTTTCTTCACGACCGACTTGGTCGTCTAAATTCAACTCTATTGCCCGTCTTTGCCTACTTTTTTAATTCTAGTTGCCTCTTACTTCAATCCTTCCTCCCTTCTACACTACTATACTTAAAGAACATCGGCCCATGCGCTCTTGGCTCCACGCCCTCTGCTCAGTCTGCCCTTGAACTGAAGCTCCCTTTTACTCAACATAATATCCATTACTTTCCACTAAGACATTCGCCGCTGCATAGCCTCAACTCGGCTTGCCGTCATTTCCACAACTGCAAGTCTAGGCTGTCGCTGATCGCGGCACTGCCCGGCTCAACATGTCTGATCATGATGACCCTCCGCCCATGCGGCCTCGCGCGTACGTGACTGTCACTGAGGCTCCTTGGGGCCTCCCGAGATCCAAATCTTTATCAACCTCTTGAATGCTGATCAATTTTCTAGTCCAACCATCACTATTGATACCACTGCTGTCAACTCTAATACTTCTACCGACGCTCCCCAAGAATCACATCCTTCCAACCTACAAGACGACGCAGTCAGCCCGACAGCAACAGCTGATCCTGCAACAAGCGCCGGCATGTCGCAACGACCTTCGCGACCCGAAATCAACACTTCTATGAACTTCGAAAATAGGGATAGCAGACCAACAAGTCCTCACAATGTTTCCAGTCCGGTAACATCAAGATCAGGCGACATGAGTGCTGCATACTTGTCTGTACCTATGAACCACCGATCACGACAGAACTCCGTCGATTCTGATGATGGAACACGATCTGTTTCCTCACATGGCGATACCACTGTTGTGGCGTCCAACTCAACGCAACATGAGACGCTTAAAGGTTCCGAACATGATCATAACAAGATTATCAACGACGAGACAGCCTTGAAGCCAGACGCTGGCACTGAGCAGGATTTCGAGGTGGAAAACAACCCTTTCGCTTTCACGCCTGGTCAGCTCAACAAAATGTTCAACCCCAAAAGCCTTTCTGCCTTTTATAAGTTAGGTGGCATTGATGGTTTGGAAAAGGGTTTACGATCCAACCGAAAGGCCGGTTTGAGTCTGGAAGAGAAAAGCCTGCCTGGACATGTATCATTTGAGGACGCAACATCTAAGAAGCAGACCGCCCCCGATGATCACACCGATGCGCAATCAGGCGATAGCTATGCCGACCGACTCCGTGTGTACAAGGACAACCGTCTACCCGAGAAGAAGGGCAAGAGTCTTTTGCAGCTTATGTGGATCACATATAACGACAAGGTCCTGATCCTGCTGTCAATTGCCGCTGTCGTCAGTCTCGCAGTGGGTCTGTACCAAACCTTTGGCGGAGAGCATAAGGATGGCGAACCAAGGGTCGAATGGGTCGAAGGTGTTGCGATTATTGTCGCCATCGCCATCGTCGTTATCGTCGGATCCTTGAATGATTACCAGAAGGAACGACAGTTTACGAAACTGAACAAGAAGAAACAGGACCGTACGGTGAAGGCCATTCGCTCGGGAAAGACGATTGAGATATCAGTTTTTGAAATTCTCGTCGGCGATGTGATCCACATTGAGCCTGGTGACCTTGTACCAGTCGACGGAATTCTTATTGAAGGGTTCAATGTCAAGTGCGATGAGTCGCAGGCCACTGGAGAGTCCGACATTATTCGAAAACAATCCGCCGAAGCCGTCTACAACGCTATCCAGAACGGCGATAATCTTAAGAAGATGGACCCTTTCATCCAATCTGGAGCCCGTATAATGGAAGGCGTTGGAACTTATATGGCGACTTCCGTTGGCGTTTACTCTTCTTACGGCAAAACTCTCATGTCATTGAACGAAGACCCTGAGATGACTCCTCTGCAAGCGAAGCTGAATGTCATTGCCACTTACATTGCCAAGCTCGGAAGTGCCGCTGGTCTTGTACTTTTCATCGTTCTCTTCATCAAATTCCTTGCTAGCTTGCCTAAGATGCCGGACTCTATTTCACCCGCACAGAAAGGACAGCAATTTCTTAACATTTTCATTGTTGTCGTTACTATCATTGTTGTTGCTGTCCCTGAAGGACTGCCTCTTGCTGTTACACTGGCCCTGGCTTTTGCAACAACTCGTATGCTTCGAGATGCCAATTTGGTGCGACACCTCAAGGCTTGCGAAGTCATGGGCAATGCGTCAACAATCTGCTCCGACAAGACTGGTACTCTGACCCAGAACAAGATGCAAGTGGTATCTGGAACCATCGGAACAAGTCTGCGATTTGGTGGCTCACAGCGCGGAGACGAGAGCGGCGCCTCTACTCCCGTGGATACAAGTGGTGATATTAGCGTCGGTGAATTTGCTAAGATGCTCAGCAAACCGGTCAAGGATATTCTCCTCAAGTCTATTGCCCTCAACTCGACTGCTTTCGAAGGTGAGGTTGATGGCGAGAAGACCTTCATTGGCTCCAAGACTGAGACAGCTTTGCTCATCCTTGCCAAGAACCATCTCGGCATGGGACCTGTGAGTGAGGAGCGTGAGAACGCCAAGGTCTTGCAGCTTATTCCTTTCGATTCTGGCCGCAAGTGCATGGGTATTGTTGTCCAGAACCCTGACGGCAGTGTCCGCCTTTATATCAAGGGTGCCTCCGAAATTCTCCTCACCAAGTGCACACAGATTCTCAGCGACCCTTCCAACGACGCTTCTCTCGCTCCTCTGTCTGAAGATAATATCGAAACTATCAAGCAGCTCATTGAGAGCTACGCGAAAAGGTCTCTTCGAACCATTGGCATCAGCTACAAGGACTTCCCCTCTTGGCCACCCAAGAATGTCAACCATGTCGATGGCGGTAAGGAGGTTGTTTTTGAGGATATTTTCACGGAAACAGTATTCCTTGGCGTTGTCGGTATTCAAGATCCTCTCCGAGAGGGAGTTAGGGAAGCTGTGAAGCTCTGCCAGCAGGCCGGCGTCACCGTTCGCATGGTTACTGGTGACAACAAGATTACAGCTGAAGCCATTGCTAAGGAGTGTGGTATCGTTCAACCTAACTCTATCGTTATGGAGGGACCTGAGTTTCGAAACCTCACCAAGCTCCAGCAAGAGGAAATCATCCCTCGCCTGCACGTTCTGGCACGATCCTCACCCGAAGACAAGCGAATCCTTGTTAAGAGACTCAAGGACAAGAACGAGACTGTTGCAGTTACCGGTGATGGCACCAACGATGCGCCTGCTCTCAAGATGGCCGATGTTGGTTTCTCAATGGGCATCGCCGGTACCGAGGTCGCGAAGGAAGCTTCAGCTATCATTCTTATGGACGACAACTTCACGAGTATTGTCAAGGCCTTGAAATGGGGTCGTGCGGTCAATGATGCAGTCAAGCGATTCCTGCAATTCCAGCTTACAGTCAATGTCACCGCGGTTATTCTCACCTTTGTTACTGCTGTGTCCAACGATGAAGAGTCTTCGGTCCTGACGGCCGTGCAACTTCTCTGGGTTAACCTCATTATGGACACACTTGCTGCTCTTGCTCTTGCTACTGATCCTCCTCACGACAGTGTGCTGGACCGAAAGCCTGAGCCCAAGGGATCAAGCATCATTTCCGTTACCATGTGGAAGATGATCCTTGGACAATCAGTGTACCAGCTTGCCATTACATTCCTCCTTTACTATGGTGGCCCCAAGGGTATTCTGCCAACAAGCGAAACTCCTTCGGCCGATGAGATCAAGACACTTGTTTTCAACACTTTTGTCTGGATGCAGATCTTCAACCAATGGAAGTAAGTTTCAACTCTATGAACCCCCAACGGGAATTCGTACTAACATGTATAGTAACCGCCGTCTGGACAACAAGTTCAACATTTTTGAGGGCCTCACCAAGAACTGGTTCTTCATCAGCATCAGTGCCATTATGTGTGGTGGACAAGTCCTTATCATCTTTGTCGGTGGCGCAGCTTTCCAAATCGCCAAGGAGAAGCAAAGCGGAACTCTCTGGGCCATTGCCCTTGTGCTTGGCTTCCTTTCCATTCCTGTTGGTGTCATCATTCGCTTGATTCCTGATCATTTAATGCTGGCTTTGATCCCCGAGTTTCTGAGGGAACGAGCCAAGAAGGTGCCTGGCCTCACAATTTCTGATGAAGAGATGAGCATGTATCCGGAGCCGTTGGCGGACGTTCGTGACGAGCTCAACTTTATGCGCCGCATGAAGGGAGGACGCCTGAACAACCTCAAGTTTGCGATCCAGCATCCCAAGGAGGCGGTTGAGATGGTCAGGTCTAGAAGTCCTTCACATTCTCGATCCAACTCAGTTAATCCGCCACAAACACCAACGCAGGAGAACCCCTTCGAAGGGTCACCGATCGGAACACCCAGTTCAGCGAGAACTCGATCTGTGAGATCGCGTTCCAACTCTGCGCTCGGAGCACCGACAGTAATGGCGGGTATCGTGGCAGCAGGTGTAGCAGCCGGCTGGCAACCGAAAATGCGGCCAGAGGAGAATGGAGATCACCAAGACGTGCATAAATAGGGGTTGATACCTGGTTCGGTTTGTGTTTGGCGCGTGCGTGGTATTGTTTATTAGTATTACTTTGGGTACGGATAGAACTGGTTAACATGGAATAATGAAAGTGTTTGAATGATTCAAGGCAACTTTTGCAGGTCTCGTGCTGCCGTGTCATGAAGGTGCTGTGAGGAAGATGGTCCATTAACTGTGGATATATTCGGGCGCCCAGTTGCTGCCAACATGGATCTGTAGATGTTTATGCCTCTGTTATAGAGAGCAGTTCGGACCAGAGAAAAGGCTACCCAGTAAGTACATATCGGAAATATACCTTTTAGCCGACAAGTGTCCTTGAATCCCGACTATCCGTCGTCGTTGTACGCGGGAGTGTTTCCATAGCCATAGCGGCAAGTCGAGCTTTTCTGATCCTCTCGTCTTTCCTATTACATCTACAGCAGCACCAAATGCATAATCCAAAAAGGAAGACGGAAATAATAGGAACCCCGATCACCATAAACTTGAATGCAGGATCCTCCCAAACTACTCCGTAGTCTTGTCTGGAGTCTTCATCTCTTTCCATAATGGCTGGGCCTGCCTGAGTATTCTACGTGAATAGCTAATAGGATGGATGGTTAGTTATCTGAATCTGCGCTGTGAATCTAGGTGGGAGAGCACATACCTACTGCAAGGCAAGAATAGCAGAACAGAATCGGCATTCTAGATGATGAAACTTGAAGCAGAGAATGAATGCTGTGAGAGGGATGGACCGTCTTTTAACAGGGCAGAAGGCTCCTACAGCATGGGTGTTGAAGATGCACAGCCAACAACCAACACCCCAACGAATCAAATTATGTAGACATTGCAGCCCCTGGCAATTAAGCTTAATCTGTAGAGGGCCTGCTTTATTAGGTAGTTGTTCATGACATGAGGCTATTTTCTGTGCCTCAATGGATCAGAACGTCGTCTTCCTACTGGTTGCGTGCATCTCGACATGCAGTCCTAGGATCTGCAAGATTAATTTGCTTTAAAATCTTATCAGAGTCAAAGTCAGAGAAGGCACATATTATCGGCTAAATGTAGTCAATTTGTGTACAATTTGTGAATTATAGCAGGACAGAATTACCATTAAAGGCCATTCTCAGCTATTCACTCACTTCCCCTGTAAACGAAAGCAGATTGGCAAGCATAATTGCTAAAAGAAAACAATTGTGATATATATAAGAGTCAATTCATTATCTTGCCCAACGAAAGTCATATATCATACCTGGCTGTATTGTATCATTAAGCTTTAACCTAGGGCGTAGTGGCGGGCAAAGGTACTATGGTGGGTGTATTTATGTACTATTCTCATCTCTTAGTCTAATTAACAAACTACTACTTGCCCCTGCCGTCCTGTGCTCACCGTCCATCATTGCATTCCAACAGTGTATTCGTACAGTAGATCGATAATCTAGATTTTCTTCTTCTGTCTTTTCCCTTTCCTCTTTCCTCTCACTATATCCTCTTGTTTCGCACTCTACTTGGCGAATCGGTCAAGCTAGTAGACTAAAAAGAGACGCGATAATATTTACATGGAATCACATCACACTACTTTTATTAGTTTCGATCGGATCATGATATATTATTTTTCTCTTGCTTTGAGATAGGAGCAATACAAGATTCTCTCATCTTCTTTTCGGTTCTTGGTTGCATCCTCATATTTGACTCATCACTATTGGTTTCCTTTCCTTGGAAATCCTCGGCTCTTTTCTCTGAATGAGTCCCGTCTTCCCTTCTCTTTTACATTACACAAAGCATCGCATCGAATCAACCCACTTTGGTATCCGTAGATCGATCAGCAATCATCCATCGTTCTGACCTCCACTATTCAACCTGAAACCCTTTTGTCCCCTTTCTCTACAACAACAACAGTCTCCGAATTTCTTTCTCTATTCTTTAGTTTTGGATATTATTGAGATTGTCCATCTACTAGAATAATAGTGAACCACTGTAGCTTAGAGAGACGAACAGAGAGAAGCAAAGCAAAGTCAAGCCAAGCCCGAGCGAATCAACCCAACCAAAGACGCGGTACTCGATCTGGGGTTAATAATAGATCCCACCCTCTCTCTTCCCGTCCTATTCCTCTTCCTGACCCGCTTTCTTCCTCACCTTCTACACCTTTTATTACTTACTCACCTTCTTTACTTCCTTACTTCTATCACTGTCAACCTTTGATAACCAACCAAAAAAAAGTTCAACTCTCACCTTTTAATTTCCTCTTCTTTTCTTCTCTTCTCGTCTTCACACCACATACATAAATAATTCCATCCAACCATGAACCCGAAAAAGAATTCTGGGAGAAGCGTCGCCATCTCCAAGAGAAAGGCTCAACCAAATGCTCTCGACACTCTGGGCGATAACCCAACAGAAGAGGAAATTAAGACGGCCGCCGCCAACGTTGCCCTCGCTGATCTAGAGGAGAGAGTTAACGATGTTCGAGAATCATGGGAGACGGATTCTCTCTTCGAGGACGCTTTTGAAGAGTTGAGCGGTGATAACACGGTAGCTCTTGATGGTGAGTTTAGTTGTCTACTATTAATTCCAAGTCTATTCAGTTGAATTTTTGCTAACATACTTTCTCCAACAAAAAAAGACCCCAAGTTGTGTACACCAGAGGAAGCTAGCAGACTTCGTCGGGAACTCCGAGAGTATGGTCCTGCTGTATTTTGCCAACGCACTGTCGATGCTGGTCATTATACCGCTAGAAAGCTTCTCAGCGCTTTCGGTATTCGTCCTCCCGCTTTCCTCGAAGGCGAGAATGATGATGCCTACTTCCATCTCTTGTCTTTGGCCATTACGCGCGAATTAGGCAAGCGCGCCAAGCTCTTGCGTTACAACACGGTGGATGATGCAGTTGACTTGATTGCTAAGAGCAAGAATATTGTTCTTATCACCGGTGCCGGTATTTCTACATCGTTGGGCATCCCTGATTTCCGTTCAAAGGGGACTGGTCTCTACTCCAAGCTAGAGCATCTTGGCCTTAGTGATCCGCAGGAGGTCTTCGATATTGGTGTCTTCAAACAGGATCCTACTATTTTCTACTCTGTGGCCAAGGACATTTTGCCGAGCACAGACCGATACACGCCAACTCACAAATTCATCGCTATGCTCCACGAGAAGGGCAAGCTGTTGACAAACTACTCTCAGAACATTGACAACCTCGAGGTCAAGGCCGGTGTTCCCAAGGACAAGCTCATTCAGTGCCACGGTTCTTTCGGAACTGCTACCTGTGTCCAGTGCGGTTACAAGTGCGAAGGAGAGAAGATTTTCCCAGAGATCAAGGCCGATAAGATTCCTCGATGCCCACGCTGCGTTCAGACTCTGCGCCCTGCTGGCCCGCCCAAGCGCAAGCGATCAGCGGGTAGTGAAAAGAAGCGACGACGATGGGATGCCGATAGTTCCGACGAATCTGAGTACGACATTCCTGAAGCTGGTGTTATGAAGCCCGACATCACCTTCTTTGGCGAGGCTCTTCCTGACGAGTTCTCTCGTCGATTGACTGAGCATGACCGCGACAAGGTCGATCTCGTCATTGTCATCGGCACGTCTCTCAAGGTCACTCCCGTGTCTGAGATCGTGTCTTGGCTAGACGGCGACATCCCTCAGATCTACGTGTCTCGCCAGGCCGTCAACCACATCAATTTCGACATTGACCTCTTGGGCGACTGTGACGTCGTCGTTGCTGAATTGTGTCGCCGTCTCGGATGGCCCATGGTACACGAAATGGTTCCCAAGGACCAAAAGGTTGAAGTACGTACCGAGCCTGGCTACAAGAGTCGACACGTCTTTGAGGAGAAGAAGACCAAGACGAAGAACAAGAAATGAGACCTTTTGCTTCTTTTTTGGACTGGGAGTTTCTGATACATTACGGGCGACTGGCATGCAAGTACTTTCTTTTCATTTTTTGCTTGTTCTACATATTTGCTATTGCTTTTCTTCTGCTGCAAGCGGATGGCAAGGCGTCTGGAGGAAATGATATGCCAACTAAAAAAATGGAATGGAATGGAAGGGAAAGATGGATACGGATGGAGTAAAAAGGTGTTTAACGCGGCAATGTTTGTCAAAGTTCTTACCACAAAATTGTTGTCTTTCTTTATTTTGTTGTTTTCCCATTAATTAGACCCTCACGACTTTACGGATGTGCTTTACCACCCCCACATACACAAAAGAGAAATCATGATTCAATACAGAGTACCTCCTGGAGCGGGGCTTCAAGATTCGCTGGCAACCGAACCGAGATTGTGGCGTGAGGACGGAAAAGTAGGGCGTCGAAAATGATATGATGTGTGGTTCGGTTCAACTTAGACAGAAGGACAAATGTTTTGTTAGAACAGACAGTCGAGTTACAGAATGAACAATGAAGTTAATGTACCTGACAGTCACTTCTGTCGACAGACCATCCTGATTCAGCATGCAGTACAAGACAACTCGAATATAACAAACAATAACAATTGCTAGGTGTCTATCCTATGATATAAACAAGTCAAAGTTGCTGATCGACTTTTGTCTTTTTCACTACGCTAACTACGCTTCGATACTCATGATATCCACGAGCTAGACCAACTGTATCCGTATTCAAACCAAAAATTCTATGCCAGCCGTGTATACCAACGCTTTAACGACCAAGTTCCCATCCAAAAACCCCAAATTTAAATCAGACTCTCATATTTATCTAATCCAGACTTTTGCCCGGTGCTGTTCTGCGATGTGTTCGACATTGAGTTGCCCATGGAAGTGGAACTCATACTACCCCAATTATTCGTCGGCGGGGGCATTGTGAACGAAGATGCAGGAGGAGTAGATGTGTTGCCTGGCGGAGGAGGAAGTGTAAAGGATGATTGGCGCGAACCCGAGTTCATGGACATGCCTGCCATAGAAGAGTTAAGATTGCCAGTAGATGCGCTGCCTCCGAACCCAGAAGAGCTTCCCCACGGGTTCGACGTAGCTTGAGTAGCAGCAGACCAGTTGATAGAAGTTCCGGAATTTGACGTAGACAGGGGTGTCTGCGCCGCCATAGGCTGCATTGACTGCATCGATTGCATTGACTGCATTGGCTGTGATTGCGGTGGTGCTTGGAAAGGCTGGCTCGGTGTGGGCTGCAGTGGTTGACTGAACTGCGTAGTTGATGGAGCGAGAGCCTCAAACCGACCGAGATCTGGTGTCACAGTTCTGAAAGACGGTGTCTTTTGGGGTGCGAGCTTTGGTATAGTGTTGGTCGCAGGAGGGGGAGGTGTAGACCACGAGAACGTAGGCGCTGGCGTGCTCGATTTCGATTTCGCTGGGTCATCCCAGCTGGGAGTTGCCGTACTCGACCTGGGGCTGGCCATACGACCCTTGACAAGGCTCTCAAAGTCGTCTTCCGTAGCTCCATTACTCTGGTCAAAAGTAGTGCCAGTGACTCCGCCAAAGGCCATGAAATCCTCGGCTGGTGCAGCCGTGCTGCTAGAGCCACCACCAAGTTCTTGCAGTTTTCTTGTTTGCTCATCTTCAACCCTTCGCGACAAACTCTTGATAAGATCCATGAAGCTTTGGAACTGCTTCAGATTGAGAAGTGGACCTAAACTCATGCTCCAGAGGATGGGGAGGATTTCCATCGCCACGAAGTCTGCGTCAGCGACCGAACCCACAACCTTCATAACACTCAAGGCTGCCATCATGACAGCAGGTTCCTTTGTCTTGATGACCCTGATCAGTGGCACGATCTTTTCCTGCATGGTATATTTGTCCAAGGCACTTGATGAAGATGTCTTCTTGTTCTCCAGGCCGTTGAGTCCATCGTCTTCGCCATTGTCGTTGGTTCCGCCACAAAGTATCACGAATGCTCGTAGACCGCGGACTTTGATCGCAAGACTGTTTGTTTTACTGAAGACAGCTGCGATCACTGGGAAAAGCTCGTTCTTAATAGTGCTAAAGTCGAGCACCGGTAGCACGACTGGCAAGCTACGAAGAGCAGCATCGACGATCGAGTGCGTTGGGCATTCAATCGCTGCCAATATGACGGGGAGCATATCTGACAGAAATTAGTATCAAGTCGATATGTTTACCGGAGAAAACTTACCATCTTTGAACTCTTTTCCAGAGCAATTGCTTGATACAGAGGAGATGTGCTCCAGAACAACCATGAGACCAGCGTCTCTAGCGGGATCTTTCTCTTGTGTTTGCTTGGCATTGACAACAAAGATTTCCCTTAGAGATGGTCGAACCTTCTCACTGAAAGCCCTCTTAGCTGATGGGAGTAGGTCGAGGATTTTGAAAACATTTTGAAGGATGAGTGATAAGAGGTCCCGATCCTTCAGCTCTTCGATCAACGCCGGTAGAATCTTCTTCTCCATTACCGACTTGGGGAACGACGGCAACACCTTGTTGAGACCTCGCATGAAGGAAGCCTTCTCATTTGCAGTCTTGGCAGGGAACGAATCAAGGAATCGAATTGTCGACACCAAAACATTATCGAAATACTCGCTTTGCTGAAACTCGCGCGCCGTCATTCGCTGAGCAGGTCGCCTTGTGATCAATCTAGGCAGAACATCATGGGCAAGTTCCCTGGGGAGGGGGCGTGAGGAAAGGTAGTTGTTGCTGGCAGAAGGAACGTTGGAAGAACTCGAAAACAATCGCTTGTATGTAGATAAACTGCCGTGGCTTTCTAAAGGAGACTTGTGAGGTGAGTTGTACAGAGCAACTGACATGAGTCCAAGAGAGAACATATCAGCGGAGGGGTTGAGGTTGTTGTCGACTACAAAGTCAGGCGATGTGAAATCGAGGTTGAGCTGAACCGTCTTTGGTAATCGGGGATCCATGTTCAGAACTTCGTATAAGTTAATCCCTTGGATAGAGGTCGGTTTATCGGATCCTTCAGGAGGACTGGCAAATGCTAGACCACTAATCTTCCAGTCAGACTGCAGTGTGTTAGCTGAGTTGTCATGATACATGTCCAGAATCACATGCCTTCGAGTTGATGAGAACCGAATCGGGTGTGAGGTTGCCATGTACGATACCGGCATTCTCATGCAAGAATTCAAGCGCCTTGCTGACTTGAAGCAGCCCCTTTTGGATTTCCAACTCGTCAATCTCCAGTTCCCTTCGTCTCTTTGTTCCATCCGCATCCTCGGTCACGAATCGACTCGACCTTCCACCTGGTCCTCCGGCGCGTTCCTGTTCGTCCTTTTCCTGCAACAGACTGGACAGTGAAGCTGTAACGGATTCTGTAACGAACTGCAAGCCTCCACCCCTTGTCTCCTCCACAGGTTCTACCAACTCCAGAATACTAGGGTGTCGTAGCTTCGCAAGACTCGATGCCTCTTTCTTCAATCGCTCGACAACCTCCTCGACCGTCTTCTTGAACGAGGCCGCGCCGGAACGGCCCAACGAGTTGCCATGGCTGTCCAATGACTTCCTGTCAAAGACAAAGACGCTGTAGGGTTTTCCAGTTGATTTCTTCTTCGCATCGTAGATCTTCCAGGGGCCAGCCGTCGAAGTCGGTGCGGAGGAGATGGAGTAGTTGCCGGTGATGTTGGTGGCAGAGATGGACTTAAAGGCCGAGGAGAACATGGTGGCAGCTCTCCATGAATTGGGTCGCGAATATCGGGTCGGGTTGAAAGGGGAGAGGGAGAGCTATTCGTGGCCGCCGCAAGCTTCAGAGTCGCAATGAAAAGAGTAGCGTGTGTAGAGATGAACGATAGAAGACTGATTGATCGTCGCTTAAGCTGTAAGAGGAATGGGAATGACGTTGGTCGCGATGCGCATTCCCCATAAGCGTAGGGGTACTCTAAAGTTGACAAATGTATCCTTACCTCTTTCTTACCTTGCCCTGGTTCTGGCCTTGCCTTAGCTCTGGCACTTTCCCCACGATAAGCTGATAACGCTTGGGCCTAGCCTCCGTGGAACTTCTAAGCGGGCACTTAGCTGTCTGCTGTGCATACTGCAAGCTGCCCGGGCCCTGGGCTTCTAGCCCGTCCATCAGCTCAGCCCCCACCAAGTCCCCTGTTGTCGCTAAACTGTTAGGGCGTTTATAGCTGCGTTCACGGAACTTTATGTGACTTTCAAGGACGACTCATATACGGCCCGAGACGGCTGACAACGCCTGGAAACGGCTGTCCCTGCAAAGTACCTCGGGCTCACTTTGCAGCGAACCTGTTAAGTCGGTCAATTTCAAATATACTGGCATCATCGAGCTCCGATACAACTCCGATCATAGACAAATGCTGCTAGTACTTAAGTTGATATCCCACCTCGCCTGAAGCCCCTAAGTTAGATTATCGCACTTTCATCATAAAACCTTTGTCTTTTTGAACCTTTGTCTGCTTCCCTTGTTTATTTCCACAGCCAATTGACTCTCAAAAGCGCATCGATGATGAGACCTATGCTTGTTCGCTCCGCTCTACGGAGCGCTCGCATTTCGAGCTTCAGACCGTTATGCCAAGCGCAACGCTTCAGCATTAAGGCTGAGGCAGCCTCTGCCGCGAAGCCTCTGGGCCTTGATGCTACAAAACTCACCATTGAGAGAACGGGGAAGCCCAAGGGACTCAGCAAGAACGAGGACCTGGTGTTTGGAAGAGAGTTCACAGGTAAATTTGACCCCTCCGAAGTGCGCCCGCTACACTTGCTAAAACTTTGCCAGACCACATGCTTGCGATCGAATGGAATCAAGACGAAGGATGGCTGGAGCCCAAGATCACACCATACCAGAACCTGTCTCTCGACCCTGCGACATGTGTCTTTCACTACGCCTTCGAGTGTTTTGAGGGTATGAAGGCCTACAAGGACAAGAACGGCAAAGTGCGACTCTTCCGACCCGATATGAACATGGCCCGACTCAACAAATCAGCCGCCCGTATTGCGCTTCCTACTTTTGAGCCTCATGATTTCACCAAGCTCGTCTCCACGCTCGCCAACCTTGACTCTCGCTTCATCCCTGACCAGCGAGGATACTCCCTCTACCTGCGCCCTACCATGATTGGAACTCAGAAGACACTCGGCGTTGGTCCTCCCGGATCTGCTCTTCTCTACTGCATTGCCTCGCCTGTCGGTCCTTACTACCCCACAGGCTTCAAGGCTGTTTCTCTCGAGGCCACTGACTACGCTGTCCGTGCCTGGCCCGGTGGTGTTGGTGACAAGAAGCTGGGTGCCAACTATGCGCCTTGCATTGTTCCTCAGCTCCAGGCTGCCAGCCGCGGTTTCCAGCAGAACCTTTGGCTCTTTGGTGAGGAGGAGTACGTCACTGAGGTCGGCACCATGAACATGTTCGTCGCTCTTAAGAACAAGGAGACTGGCCAGAAGGAGCTCATTACCGCTCCCCTCGATGGTACCATCCTTGAGGGTGTCACTCGTGACTCTGTCCTGGCTCTTGCTCGCGAGCGCCTTGTCCCTGAGGGCTGGAAGGTTGACGAGCGCAAGTACACCATGAAGGAGCTTGCTGAGGCTGCCGAAGAGGGCCGTCTGCTTGAGGCTTTCGGTACCGGAACTGCTGCCATTGTCAGCCCTGTCCGATCCATCTCATGGAGAGGCAAGCTCGTCGACTGCGGTCTTTCCGAGGTCGAGGAGTCCGGTGAGATTGCTCTCAAGATGAAGGAGTGGATCGAAGCTATCCAATATGGTGACGAGGAGCACGAGTGGAGCTTCGCTATCTAGGGTGGTTATGTGTATGGCGTTATATAGCGGTTGGGAATAGATAGACAAATCGGAATCAAAATAATTACGCTCACAAAGAAACATCAAGATATTTGCTTTGCCACAATTGCTTGTTAAGGCTCACAATCAGCGATGCTAGCGAAGGTCGGAGGTTATGTCACAGTCCCGGTTGGACGGCAATACCCCAGTACGTCTAGCAATACCATTCTTCAAATGCAAATAACATGTACAATTGACCAGCTTTCCCTCTCTGTATGTTCAAAACCACCGCTTAGTTCTTCTTCTCCTGCTTGGAGGGGTCAGGCAGAACACCCTCCTCTTCTAACCTTCTTCGTGCTTCCTCGAGAGCCCAGGTAGAGACACTGTATAACCGTTAGCACAATCCCTGTATCACATCCCGGCCAGAATTCCGCGGTTAAGAGAATGCGGCTCTCCAATTGCGATATATATCCTCCGAGTGCAAATCACTCACGTAGTATCGGGCTTGAAGGCGAGCGCAACAGCGGTGGCGGCAATGCTTCCGAGGAAGATATAGGTAGGCCACTCCCAACCCTCAGGCTCAGGCTTCTCGCCAGGCTTGACACCCCAGAGCCAGCCGGTAGGAGGATCGAATTGGTGCTCGCCGCCACCTCCTTGTCGCCGGGCGGACACGGCGAAGCCTCTGGAGGAGAGGGGTTGTCGGATGCAGCGTGCGGCGCGCAGGGGCGCGACAGCAGCGCGGATGAGGGCCATGGTATATCGTCGAGGTATGGAGATCGGTTCAGCGATGGGATGGCGGAGGGAGGTTCAATGGCCGGGTGACGTTGTTGAGCTTGACGCTGGCTTGTTTGCTCTGAACGGATGCGTACAGCACCTAGGTAATTGCTGGAGTCCGATTTGATAGGCTCACGTGACGCGAATCACAACACCCCTGTTAAATTAGTTTGTACTTTTGCCATCTCAAGTCTAACGGACAAATGGAGAAATGATGTGCTGAACATGATTAATTGTTGTCACTGGCATCATGTGTTTTGTCTTTACTCATTGGAGTTAGAGACTTGTTATTCTTGTTTCATGCATTAATTTGATTGGGGTTCAATTGGTGAGAGGAATATATCAGCAACTCTCCAAGGTACTTCTGTATACATCCCACTTTGCTTCAGGTGGATAATCCTCAAATAATAAAGGACTTTATTGAAAGTAAAATATGTGCCTTAAATGATCTGGATATTCCATTCTGATGTCTTTACCTAATCAACCAACTTCGTCCTTTGCTTGGCAATTGGTAGTCGTGATGCACGTCCTTGTCCTTGGCTGGTGCCCAAAAAAACATCTATCCATGGATGTATCCGCTTCAGTTGCTTCCTGCATCATTCAAACGCTCAACTTCATCACTTCACATGTCTTGATTCATTCTCAGACTCATTTTCTTGTCTAGCATAAATTTTGAAGCGTTCTCGTCTTTCCTCTTCATGTCTAGTCTGCCTTCACTCGCGACTTTGTGACATCTCATAGTCAAGACTGGTGACGAAATCAGTCATTTATAGAATCGTCAAGACGCATATCCGTGCATATCAACGACATTCATTGATAGCTTCAGCTGGCTGGCTATATCGCCAGGTCACTCTTATCAAATGCTTTGGCCCAGAAACTATTCATTCGCGAGAGTATTCAATGGATGAGTTGGACAAAACAGTTCCTTCAACCAAGATATTGAACAACGACTGAGATCAATTCAACTATCAACTTCACCACCATGGAACAAAACCGTCGACCTTGCCCGATCACGGGATCCCATTCCAATGATAGTCAAAGAACTGCCGAATCATCCGTGGCTGATAACCCAAGTCTAGACCCGAGCGGGCTAGACGAGACATTAGATTATGAACCAAGAATATCGCCTTGTCCATCTGGTCAAGGGCCATATCAACATCGATATCAAGATATAGATAACGAAAAAGATCAGAACTCAGACGATGATCAATACCAAGCCCATCTTTCACAGCCAAGCTTCGATTCTAGGAGAGGCTCCTCATCCTTCAGCATCATGCAGATTGATGAAATAATTTCCGATGATCGCATTAATATGGAGACGTATGGTGTCCAAGAGCTTCGCGATGGCTTCTTCGACGCTCTGTTCTTGGCGCCAAAACCGCTAGATCCCGATCTTGTTGCTGAGATCGCAAAGGCGACTCTTCCAAAAGAATTTGATAAGAGCCATCCCTTGTCAGCAAAGCATTTCCTACCAAGGCAATTTCATGAAATGGTATCAGTTGCACACAAGATTGCAACTACAAGAGCTGGCATTAGACTTATAAAGTCTTTCCTCTCCTTCTTTATTGCATATGTGCTATGTCTTGTCCAGCCAGTCCAAAACTGGCTTGGTCGATATGACTATATCATGGCAATATCTGTCATCATTAACCATTCAGATCGGAGCTTTGGTTCTCAACTAGATGGCGCGGTACTGACCATCATCGGCACTGCCGTTGGCCTTGGTTGGGGTACTGTTGGTCTTTTGTTGTCTATATCAACTGACGAAGCTCAAGGAGGTTATGGAGGAATTCTAGCAGCGTTTTCAATTGTTCTTTTTGCTAGTCTTGCGTTCATGAGAGCATTCTTCATTCGTCTTTACCAACCCACTCTCGCTGCAGGCATAGCCCTCGCCTTCACAACGCTGGCTGAGACGAGAAGTGGTGGAATAGAATGGCAGAAGCTTCAGAGCTACGCAGTACCTTGGGCTTTGGGCCAAGCAATTTCTTTGGCCGTCAATTGTATTGTCTTTCCGGATGCTGGTAACCACTCCTTGGCCATTGCTTTCAACAAATCGTTCAAAACCATACAGGTGAAGCGCCGCAACTGTCCCCTATCTTTCTTCTCATGACCATTAGCTGATCTTCTTTCAACAGGAATCCCTTATCATACCTCGGCCAAGGGATATAAGAGCAAAAAGACGTCTTGCAAAAGCTTTTATGGACATTTCTCTCGCATATCGCGACATGAGGATTGACCTCACTATTACTCGTTTCCGCCCTATGGATGTTCGAGAGTTGCGTAATGCCGTCCAGGGTGTCGTTCGAGCTCTTTTCTCTATGAAAACGGATACGGATCTCTTCGAGGAATGGGACAGCCCTCTAGAGATTACCATTGCAGATAGCTCAGGGGGCAAATCACCTTACGAAGAGTCTGGACGTAAAGTGGCTCAGGCCCTTTCAGGCCCTACCAAGGAGGTTATTGCTTGCATGGCAGAGGCTGTAAGTAGATGCCATGCTACGCTAATGGACCTAACTGGCTGGCGCAAACAAATCGGCCCTCCTAAAGATGTCTCTTCAGACATTGTCCCCATCCAACTGCGCATGAAAGACGCCCTTGAAGCCTTTGACGCGGCAGAAAAGCGGCTTCTAACATCCAAGGATAGACCTGATACATATGCAGAACACGGGCAGGCCGTGGAGCTTTTTGTCTTCGCGAGACATACCCGAGAGGCGGCAGCAACTGTCGTTCATCTCATGACTCATATTCATAATATGCAGTCTCACTCCAGCCGTATCCGTCTCAACCTTCCAACTTATCCTCCTGCCAAAGCTTTATACAGAACAAACGCCCAGGTTAGGCACGATCGTGGCGGAGTTACAGCTGGTATGTACAAGTCAACGTTTAAAGAGATTAGGAAACTTATCACCTTGACGAATTTGCACGAGGGGGACCAACACGACACAAACTTCCGCTCACTGCTTGAATGGAACAACTATGATAATGTCTTTGACATACCTGGCAAGAAGAAGCTACGTTACAGAATCTACATGGTCCTTCACCGTTTACAGGACATCGAGAGCAAATATGCACTGAAGGTCGCCCTCCTGACTTCAGTTCTAGCTCTTCCGGGATGGTTGGGCACCGAGACAACGTGGTGGAACACTTATGAAGCTTGGTGGGCTGCTTGTGTGGGCTGGATTATGATGCATCCCCGTGTTGGCGGCAACATCCAGGATTTCTTTACTCGTGCTTTTGCGGCTATTTTGGGCGCTTTATGGAGCGGTGCAGCTCACGCCGCCAGTCGTGAGAACCCATATGTATTGGCCGTATTCGCTGCCGTCTTCATGATTCCAATGATGTATCGCTTTACTCAAAGCAAACATCCGGTATGTTGATAACCACAGTTGAGGAACTCTGCTAATCATGTTACCAGCGTTCTGGTCTCGTTGGATGTCTTTCGTTTACAGTTATATCGCTTAGCTTGCGGAACAATTCGGCTGAAGCATCCGTAACACTGTTAGGAGTTCATAAGGGCATCGCCTTCTTAGTAGGGACTATAGCACCAATAGTTGTGAACTGGGTGCTCTGGCCCTTTGTCGCTCGGCACGAACTTCGAGGGGCACTATCATCGATGCTGTTCTTCATGAGTATAATGTACCGAAGTAAGTTTAGTCCAGTTCATCACCCGACTCCGCTGACCGTCAAGATGTCGTTGCAAATTATGTCTACTTTGACGAGGGAAAGAACCCAACCCCTGAAGACATAAGACGATCTGAGATGCTTGAGAGTCGAATGCGAGAAGGGTTTGTTAGAATTCGACAGCTCCTCGTCATGACACGCCACGAAATTCGCCTTCGTGGGCCCTTCGACCCTGTTCCTTACTCATGTCTGGCCGCTTCCTGCGAGCGTTTCTTTGAATATCTCATTGCCGTCCGGCAGTCTGCTCTGTTCTATAACCCAGATTACATCCGCGATAACCCTATCGCTGCAGAAAAGCTTCTGAGTTACAGGCGAGATGCGGTTGCCTCCATTCTCAGCAACTTGTACACACTCGCTGGTGCTTTGAAAGACCAAAGGAAGGTTCCTGTAAGTAGTCGAGCACACTGTTGGTAACACTGCTAACGAAAATCTCAGCGCTATCTTCCCAGCGCCGCCGCAGCGAGAAAGAAACTCCTTCACAAGACTGCAGAGGTTGTCAGAGAAATGGAAGAGAACGCTGAATTGCCCGAACTCGAGAGGCAAAAGACATGGAGTGATATATATAGCTATTCATACAACGAGAGTCTAACAGGCTGCGTTGCACAATTGGAAGAACTGGAACAGTTTACAAAGTTAATAGTAGGGGAGAAACGGTAAGTTAAATTCCCATAAAGTCGAGGTCACTACTAACAAGAAACAGGTTCGAGGGCAAAAAGCACCTGAATTACTATGATGAAGATGAAGATGCATCTTCTGGGCGGCTTAATTGATCCTGTCTTACTCTTATCCTATTCATGCAATGCTATACCAGTTCGCTAATCAAACATATGCGCCATTGGTCATTTCGTTCAAAATATCCCTCGTGATGTGTTTATCCTTTAGTAACGCCTTGTCGCCAATCCTGGCCGTTCTTGGTGAATGTCTGCGATTCTCCTTTCCAACGGCTTTCCTTCGTGGCGACTTTGTCTTTTGTGTCGCACCCGCAGTTGTAATCTGTGTGCCAAAGTCTTCAAAATAATGATTCTCCAATGCATTCGCGGGCATTTCATAAATCCAATCTCGTTCCTCCATTAAAGAGATGAATTGGCTCAGCATGCTGTCGCTCCCGCTGCCCTTGAGCGTCGATTTGCTTCCCACAACGAGCAGCTTCGTCTTCGCTCGCGTGAAAGCGACATTAATTCGTCTCCAGTCCTTCAATAAATCTCCAATATTACACGCTTCATTGCTTCGTACCAGACTAAGGACTATGACCTCCTTGTCTCGTCCTTGAAAGCGATCTGTGGTGTGCATCTCTACCCCAGAGAATGCTTTGAGCTTGTCTTTCAGCATGAATAGCTGCGCTCGATAATGCGTCATGACACCAATCTCCGTGTCTGGCACTCCAACTGTCAACAAACTGTCAACGAGCTGAGAGACAATGCGAACTTCAGCTGAGTTGACAATTCGTTTGCCTTGAGCTTCTTCACGTACAGGTGGCTGGATGGTGTCAGTGTTAATGAAACGCACCCGAGCTTCACTGTCGAGAAGGTCATATAGCCAGCAGCGACTGGGGCCTGGCGCAGTACAGAATGACCGAGGCGTTGCTGCATGGATAGTTGACGCGTCGTAATGACGTTGCATTAAAGCTTCCATTCGGGGAACGTGGAGCTTCTTCTTTTTGAGCTGCTCCGTGCCACAACGAAGCTTCCCGTCATAAATCAATGTGTTACTCAGAGTCATGATATCCTCGCACATTCTGTATTGGTGTTCCAAATTGACAACTGAGTCAGGATGGGTGTCTGATAAAAGCTTGAACAGACTGACATCAAGGCCGCCTTCGCGCGCTTCTTCATTCCTCACCACAGGGGGCAGCTGGTTGTGGTCACCAACAAGAACGAAGGTGCGAGACATCCTAATGGGACCAGCGCAAATAGGGAGGGTGATTTGAGATGCTTCGTCCACAATACAGTAGTCGAATGTGCGTTCATGAAAGACGGGATGATTGATGCCGAGACATGTTGTAGCAACAATCGGGGTTCCATGCCAGGCCTCCTTGATCTCGTCAAATGACTTCATTGGAATGCCAGCAAGCGTAGCAAACTCCTGAACTTCGGGGTGCACCTTGGCAGGAGCACCGAGACGAAGAATAGATATCTTATCCGCCCTAAGCTTGAGAAGAATGTTGTCGACAGCTGTATGGGTATGCGAGGTAAGGAGCACACTTTTGCCCTGGGAGGTCAGAGCCCGGATAATGTGGGCGATAGTCGTTGTTTTTCCAGTACCCGGCATTCCAAGAACGAGTGCATAATCCTGAGCACTCATGACCTTCTCGATTGCTCGATGTTGGTCAACATTGAGGTTGTCTCGGTCTGACACGGTGTACTGCGTGGGAGCTGCCTTGAATCTGGGGGCTTCCAAATCAACAATTAGTCGTCGAATTTGCCTCGCTCCGAAGACGTCGTCTGCCATCGTTTGTACGAGGTTATTTCGGACAGTCGCCATTCCGTTACTGAACTCATCCTGATCGAGCCGGTATCTGATAGGGGCCTCTTTGATCTTGCCAGTGGTTTCATCCTGAGTTGCGCCCTCATGAGCGACATCCATGATACTAGCGAAGACCTGGTTGTCAATCTCATCGAATCCAGGCTGCCGAATTCGAGCATTATGTAGACGCCTGTCAACCGCCACACTGATTCGCTGCCTCTTGACTGCTGTGACATAGCCAATGGCCAAAGCGAAGTGGCCTTCCTCGTCAGAAACCACGATTGGCTCTCCCACATTCAACTCAGACTCGAGGAATGAGAAGCCCGCAACCCGGTTCCGTTTGATAAAGGTGTAGTGATAACGATTGATTCTGGGGTTGTCTGTGTCGACTGACGCCGAACCCTCTTCAATAATGACATCTGCAAAGCACCGCGACTTCTTTTCTCGCTCGGCACTAGTCATCGTCCATAATTCTCTCTTGGTCTTTTGGCTCTCTTTCTCTTCTTTGGTGAGCAAGTTCTCCCATTTGATAAAGAATTGCTGATGATGAGGAGTCAAGTGTTTGACAAGCTCATCAAATTTCTCATTCATTCCACTTGATTCGCCGTCTCCATCGTCAGCGAGTCGGTGATAGATAAAACAAGATGTCTTTGCGTAGCATTTGCCACACATATGTTTGCTCTTGAGCATCGGCGGCAATTGAACGCTACGCTCACGGACGTAGCATGCTAGCTGGTTTCGCTGCATAACCATATGTCGAAGCTCATGGCGAATTGCGGGAATGCGCATCGTTTTGGATGTTTCCATATAGTAGAGAATGCCATAAGCAATCTCAATGTCGTATCGATCCGACAGGAGTAGTGTATATAGTGCGGTCTGTGCCATGTGGTTACTGTTTGCATGCTTGCCAGTTTTGACTTCAAATGGGACGGTCAAGGTGCGAAGGTCTTTTCCGTCTTGCATTGAAACTTCAACGGTCGCATCGATGTTGCCTTTCAATCCGTACATCGGGGACCAGACATGTTCCTCGACGTCTAGAAGCTTTGTAACAGCCATGTTGGCCTTCTTGCCATTTCGGTCTTCGACAACTGCATCAGCCTTGGCTTGTGAAGATACAAAAGCGCCAGCCCAGTAGCTCAGTTCGGTCATCTTGGATTGTAGGTGCTCGCGTGCTGACGGTATACCAACTTTAATGGTATAAAGATCTTCAACATGCTTCTCTGTGATCCGATCAATGACGGTGGTTAAAAATGGCAAGTCCCACTTGTTCGCAAGGAGCGCCTCTTGGAAGATTTCGTGCAACATGGTTCCGTAAACAAGGGGCGGTGTTGGTGGACTGGTAGCCTTGACTCGATCTTGGAGCACGGCACGACGCATGCATCCGAAAGAATCAGCAACCACAGTTGCGGATATAAGTTGATCGGGATGTAAAATAAGGAGATTTTGCGCGTCATCAATGACACACTGACCCCGTGCAGTAAAATCGCCTATGATGTGGACATAGGCCTCTGCATGAGCTGGTGTATCAAACCATGACCCCCTTAAGTGGACAGTCTTGATATCCTTCGAGTTGTCCGCCTGAATGACAAGAATCTGAAGTCGAGGTCAGTAGGGCTCGAACATAAACGTCGAGTGACCTACCTTTTCTGGTCGTCCGTTCCCATATTGATCTGTGTACTCGCCGTCTAGAACGTTCGTCACCAGATATCGTTGAATTGTCTTGGGTTTCTGGCTCTACCTGTCACTTAGCATATGGCGGGCCCTCCTAGGTTGTTCGACGTACGTCTCCGGTGCAATTCTGAGCTGCTTGGGTTGCTGCCAATTCCACGGCTTCGAAATCAAAGTCTCCTTCAAAGGCATCCCCGAAGTCCTCGTCCAGATCATCAACTTTTGTTGTTCCAGGGGCTTGGGGGACCGATTGGGAGTTGGCTGTAATGAGTTCCTCCGCCTCATCGAAGATATCTTCATCCAGGTCCTCGAATTCATCCAGCAGCTTGTCATCGAACTCGTCCGGCAATGTGATTTTAGTTGTCGTCGTTGTTGCTGCTGTCTCTGGTCGAGGACCTATTTCCGATTGGGTTGCGGTCATGCTCGCCTCAAGCTGCAATATTGTATCGTCGTCAAATTCGTCGAAATCGTCATCCCCGTAGTCTGAGAATGCGGGCTCCGGAGCCTTGGTCGCGGCCAGTGGTCTGATTACATCCTGCATGGGGGCTTGCGCTGGTGGCTGTATCTGGGGTTGAGGTCTGGGTTGGGGTTTTAGCTGGACTGGAGAACCACTACTAGTAGCACCTATCCTTCTCTTCTTAGGGGAAGGAGATTCTGGTGTATCTTGAGGCTCTTCGCTCTGCCCGTTGATGCTACTAGTCACCGTATCGAGTAGCGCTGTTACCATTGAAGATTTTGAAGCCTCCATCTCTTCCTTCTCGAAGCTTAATCGACTGGCCGAGGTTGATCTTTCAACCCTTCTCCTTTTAGGCCAGTTCAAGCCACAACTTATCGCTCGTCGTAGACTGGACTCGCCGGGCGCTTGTTTCGTGGGTCTTGGCGAAGAAGATGCCATCAGCTGCGCCAACGCTGGGTTTGCTAATCCCAAAGGGCTGTCTGCACTATCGGGTCCATTTAGCGAGTATCTATCCCAGAGTTCCAATGTCGGATCGGCGTGTGGCGACTTGAGGGCCTGTGCTAGCTTTTTGACGTTGACCGAGGGTGTATTTGGCTTTTCCGCGATTGGCGATGACACAGGTGACGAGCTTCTGGCACGTTTTCTCCCTTTTCGAGATAACATGGGAGATATTGCGTTCATGTAAAGATTATCCTGTCTATTATCCCAGAGTAGTCGATCATTCGGCGAAGTGTTCTCGTCGTCAGCGCCTTCACCAGTCTCGAGTAGGTCTCGCCAAGTCAATCGTGTGGCAGGCGTAGTCGTCGCATCGTCCTTGGGTCGACCCTTGGATGTGTTTTGTTCGTTTTCCAGGTCTTCTGGAACCGACTCGCCGACTTTAGGGTGATATTGAAATTTATTGAGTTTATTCTTGGTCATCTCCGACACTGGCTGGAGCGGGCGAGGCCTGGGCGTTTGCTGCACGGGGTTGCTCCTCGAACGCTGCCATGGCGAGCGCTACAACTATTAGTGGTGGTCAAATGATGGCTTTTATATCGTACCTTGTTTCGGCCCACCTGATCCGAATAAGATTTCTGGAAAGTCATTATACTTTACAGAGCTTGAACATTCCAAATTTCAAACTCCTCATGTATGATGATAGTGGGACATTTGAATTGGGAGCAGTCGGCACGCGTTTAATGACCTGAACGCGACGCGATCGCGACCCCCTTGCAACAATTGTTACCAAATCACGTGTTTTGGTGAAACAGCTCCACTAGCTCCTGGTCCCCCAAGGTGAGGTGCAGCTGCTGCTACCCCACAATCGAAGCTTCGAACGGCATGTGCGTCAGTGGACCGAGCTTCTCAGCGTCACCATTTTTGGTCCCGCCAATTCCGTCATTCGACGATCTTCCACTGCCATTGAATCTTCAATTCGCAACGTTCGCCCAAAGTTTGGCTATCTGTAGCTTGAACTCATACTTACAACGGCGATGAATCCTCAACCTAATGGCCCTGGGCCAGCTCAATCCCGCGAAAACTACAGACACTCCATGGAAGAATGGCGCCAAGCTGCCCTCGCTCAGCGCAATCAATATGAACCCCGCGTAAAAGAGCAGGTTACTCGATCGTTCCACGAATATTCTCCTCCATTTTACGCCTCAATCATCGGATATCGTCGCGAATGGAACCTCCTGGTTGCGACTTCTCGTGTCTCTGGCTTTGCTGCTACGCTCGGTAGAGATCTCGAGGACGAAGAAGCCAAGGCCATCGCCGAATACACCCTCAGCAACATCCATACCAATGCCAGTCTGAAGTGGCTGAGCCTCGCAATCGCCGGATATATGACCTACCGTGGTCGCCACACCTGGCAATTCCCCTTTTATAAACCAAAGCTCGGTGGCCGATTCAATCCTAATGAGGCCACCAGCATATTCACCAACAAGAAGATCAGGGGCTCCTACCCTCGTGCGACATGGCATACGCTTCGATTTACTGCATATGCCGGCGTCACTATGTTCATGGTTGAGCCAGCTTTCCGAGCTGTCAACTTTATCAGAACCGAAGCTGCCATGACCAACGATCCGAGGTTAAAGCAATTCACCAAAGATGCAAGTCAGCGTGTTGAGCAAGTCATGTCAAATCCTACTATTTCAAAGACCGCTTTCACAGGCAAGGATGCGCACAGGGGGGGAGAGGACAATCCATGGGCCAACAACGATACCAATAGCGCCAGCTCCGAGAGCAGCTATCAGTCATATCAATCCACTCCCACCCAATACTGGGACAAATCCCAATCCTCTACCGCTACACAGCAAAGTCAGCAGCCGCCTAAGGATGATTGGAGTGTCCTAGACGATGACGATGATGCTTCCCCCATCGCAGCCTCTGCTCGCAAACAGCCAGCCGCTGCTCCTGCAGGCTCTGCATGGGATCGTATTCGACAACAATCACAGGGTGCTTCACAACAACAACAATCTGACTATCAGTCTCGAGCTTGGGCTGCTCGTTCTCAGACTGAGTCACAGCCACAATCACAGTCTGGTTGGGGCAGCCAGGCTGCCGGTAGCTCGAGCGAGAGCTTCTCCTTCAGTAAATCGGACGAGGAAAGAGCCATTGCCAAGGAACAGGCACAAAACGAGTTTGACCGACTTGTCGAAAGCGAAAGGAATAACACAGATCAGGGGAACTCCTGGGGTCGCAAGTAGGGCAAGTGGTTTGTTTGTATGACGCTGTATTGCTATGAGCCCTGGGAGTTATATATTGTATAAAATGGACTAAGTACCTATTACTACCGCTTTATTTGATTTCAATTGCTTTGACGCTAGACATATTTTCAGTCGTGATTATTGCCGGCCAAGCCGTCTACGATGTTCCTATGTGCTACCAAAATCGACTTTACTGCTTAACTTCATCAGACACCCCAACAGGCTCAATAGTGTCACCTCCATCCTTCTTATCCACGATAGTCTCCAAGATACTCTCGCCAGCAGTGTTGGTAACAAGGCTCTTTTCGATCGAAACGGGCTCTTGCTCCTGCTGGGGTTCCTGTGCTGGCGCCTCATGGACAGATGCTTCCTGGACAGGCTCCAGGGAAGGTTCAACAGCGGGCTGCTGCGCAGGAAGTGTGGGCTCGGCCTCTTGGGGAAGTTTTCCAGCAGCAGGTTCAGGATCCCTGTGCACTGGAACAGATTCCGATTCAGGCTCGCCACGTAGTTCGGGCTTGGGCTCCAGATTAGGCTCTGACTTGGGCAACGCTTCTTGAGGTGCTGTAGGTGCATCAACTATGTCTTCCTTCTTCTCCTCAGCTGGCTCGGGTTGCGAAATTAACTCCGGCTCAGGAACTGAAGTGGGCTGAGGCTCGGGCGCAGAGACAGGTTCAGATGCTGACACAGGCCCTGGTGCTGATACGGGCTCAGATGCTGACACAGGCTCCGATACAGGAGTTTGCTCGCCAGAAACAGATAAAGAGCCTTCAGGGCTAATAGACCAGAGAGTCTGAGGAACGGAGAATGTCAAAGAGGGGGTTGAAGGCTGAGCAGCGGGTGCAGAGGTGGTATTTGCAGCAACTGCAGCCGGGCTTCTTGCCGGAGCTCGGCGTTGTGGGCCACGGGCCCGGCCCTTGCGGGCATCCGAGAGCGGAGCCTTCTCCTTCTCTTGCGTCAGATCCTCCTCCGCCTTAGGTTCCTCCTTCTTGGGCGGTACATGAGGACCCAGCTTCAGACGCTTGTTTAGGTCACTCATGAAGCCAGCCTGAAGTGCAGCAATCTTATTACCAGCAGGTCTGCTAGGTACAGGAGGCTTCTGCTTTGTCTCTATCGAGTCTCCAGATGAAGACTTGGTAGGACGAGGAGGGATACTGGGTTTCGGCTTTTCAGACACAGGAGGTTTCGACTTTCCATCGTCGCTCCCGGTTTGCTTAGGCTTGGGTCGCTCAGGGATCGACGGACGATCTTCAGACGCCTTCTTGACTGGTCGTTCCGGGATGGCAGGCTTGCTCTGCTCCTTGGGCTCTTCCTTTGCCTCAGCCTGAGGCTGGGGAGAGTCGACAGTAGTCTCATAGAGCTGACTTTCGGGTGCATCTTCCCAGATATCTCGGCTGGGGAATCGCTGGCCGGCAGAAGGCCTCTTACCCTGGTTCAGGAAAGAATCCGAGTCCTTTGATTCGTACCAAATAGGCTTCTCATGGTTCTTGGGAGGCTGGATATCTACGGGGCCACTCACTTCCCGCTCTGCAAGCTCTTCTTGTCTCTGAGCAAAGAGGTGAGCAGGGGTCTTGGGACGGTCCATAGCAGACGATCGTCGTCGCTCTTCGACTTGCTCTGCCTGCTCTCCTGGGTCTGGTGTTGAAACCTCGACGGTGTAGTGCACGCTTTCAGGGGCATCTTCCCAAATGTCCTTGCTGGGGAAATGATGTCTGGCCTTGTTGCCGGGTGTTGCCTTCTGGGCGTCCTTCTTGCCGTCTTCAGGGAAGAGAGGCTCATACTCTTCAACGTCATCCAGAGATGTGGGAGCAAACTCCTGAGAGTCGTTGTTCTTGTAGATACTAGTGGGTCTACTCTTGGGTCGGTTGGTCCTGCTTTGAGGGCGGCTTGTAGGCTCCTCCAAATCGCCACTGTCTCGGCGGTGATGGTGGACAGCAGGTAGCTGAGTGTAAGGGTGGTCGTCGTTCTTGACTTCGTCCTCAGCTAGAATTGGTGCAGTGTACTCATGTTCCTCTTCATCCACAGCGGCATCGCCGTCACCATATGACCGATACTCTGGGTGCTTGGGATCATCAACATGCACTGTGTGTTCACCCTCAGGGCTTGTAATCTCCGACTTAAACGAAATAGGCTGGACCTTGCCTTCGCTTGTAGAGGCAGGGCGGGGAGAAAGTCGAGAAGTATACTCTTCGGTGGCTTGGAAACCAACCTCATCGGTGGGTGTAGATTGGTAACCCGCGGTACCTGTAGTTATTAGTTACCGTTTTTCCAAGCTGTCGTGATACTTACCCAAACCAGAGCCACGAGATCGGGTATCCCTGACCAGCTTGTTCAGGTCATCCTTGCTCATGGCAAAGTCATTCTGACGGTCATGTAGAGGGGTCTGATGCTCCCGCTTAAGGGCCTCAGGGTGCTTCTCGTAGTATTCCTTTTCAAGCTTGTCTTGAGGGGCAACACCATGGCCATGGAGGCCATAGCTGCCAGGGGGTCCACCACGAGAGCTGTGCTTGCGGTGGTGGTGCTTCTTGAATTCCTCGGAGCCAGGACCAGGCGAAGGGGCCTGAACATCGCCCAAATGAGGGTTCATGGGCACACGCTGACCGATTTCGGGGATGCCATGATCATCTTCAACTTCTTGGCGGCCATCGCTAACCGAGACATTGGTACTTGATTGCTTTGTGGCTTGGGTAGATCCAGGTCGGCCAATGCCGAATTGTGCTGCCTTATCAGAGTCGGTGCGGGTAACAGCTTGAACACGTTGTTTGGCGCTATGAGCTGGCAGAGAAGGCTTAGGAGCATGGAGCTTAAGATCCTCGGCGATAGTACGTGTCTGTTCGGGAGAGGTATCTTGTTCCTCCTCTGGGGCCTGAACCTCTTCGGGCTTGATCTCATGGGTCACGGCGCTGTACTCAGCACCCTCCTGGCCAATCGAAGGCATGGAGACGCTGGTAGGGCGGTTGATTGGCTCCTGTTGAGCATCACCGGGGTTGAATCGGGCAGAAATAGGGCTCTTCTGGGGAATGCCCTCGTTGAAGGGAGAAGGAGCAAACCGAGCTGGGTTAGGAGATATCGAGCGGTCGGATCGTTTCGTAGGGCGAGGCGGGATCTTGGGGGCGCTGGCAGCAGAGTCGTTGCTGTCCTGACCTTTAGCCGGGCGAGGCGGGATAACGGGAGGTTGTTGCATGGCGGCGGCGGTCATTGCTTGTGTTTAGATGCTCGAGGGGAGCGAGAAAGAAAAAAGCAGAAACAAAATAAGAGAGGTAGTCGAGTTGCGTGCGTGTAAGACGATGGATGGCTACGAGATGGGACCTAGAACAACCAACAATGGGTCAGGACTAAGCGATTAGTATGAAGATCAAAGAACAAGTGCGGAACCAAAGCAAAGCAATTGGAGAGCATAAGTAGCATGGGTTTGTTGGCGCTTTTAGCGACAGGGGAAAAGACTGGTATTTAAAGACTTTTGGTGGTCTCCAAATACACCAGACCAGCTTCCGTCACATCAGATCCCATCCCATCCATGTGCCTGTGCCTGGCCTGGCCTGGCCTGGCTTGAGCCGGTTACAAGTCCCAGTACAATACAGTACTGGCCCCTGTCGTGTGCTTGCGCAGTGCTTATCGGATCCACGGTTTACACAAGTTGGGTGTAGCGCCTGTGAATGGATCGGATCCGTTGCATTGCTATCAGAGTTGGTTGGGAGGTATTGGATTGAGAAATGCCCGCCATGGCGCTCCCTGCTGGCTGCTGCGCCCACCAAAGTTGCGCCCGTCGCACACCGATACGATTTGATCTTTTGATCAGGGACAGAAACTTACCAATGGGAGAGCCGTGATTGGTATGGATATAGTTTCGAGATTAGTTAGAGAAGTAGTTAAGTCAAGTAGGTGACGAATTCGGTAGGAGTTTAGGAACAGATAAGACACGATATATAAGAGCTACTGTACGACAACGGGGGACTCGATGACTTAATAGTTGATTTATATACTCGACTCTGGAAGAAGAATTGAGCATGCAGGTGACATATTTCGTTAGGAAGGGATCCAGTGCCACCAGAGCTGGGTGACTTTGTCCGTCGTCACTGGTTGTGAAAACAGGGATTGACGATGGCGCCAAGTGAGACTGTGCGAGACGTATCTGATCAGTACTGTGACTAGGTGTTGGGTTGTTTCTGACGAGTTGAAGAGATCGTGGGATGTTTTACCAATGCTTCTAGATGATGATCTTGCTGCAAAGCTCATCAACCAAGTTTCAGCTATTTATTGTCGAGGCTCATCGCTCTCAAATACGAATTGAGTACTTTTCATGGTCTCACCCCATCGTCGACCTCTGTATTGAAGCTTACCTCAGAGCTCTCAATGAAAGCATTTTCGTCACTTGCATGAGACTTGGCTACAGTGCACCCCGCATCCAATGATGCCACAGTCTTTGGACGGAAACAGTCTTTGTTCAGTTTAATTCAGTTCCACGAGTCTTTGATTATCTCACCCCTAAAGTAATCTAAACAATGGGCTAAAGCTTGAGACGCTTTGTGCAACATAACAATCAATGCAGAGTCCATATCTTACTGTAGCACGTCTGTCAACAAGTCATCTAATGGCTTCACACGACTGTCAATGAGCTTGCTCATAGCTATCATAGTATGTAGATATACTCAACACTTTGTTCCCGCTGACCCGCCGTAGTTCATCATGGCGGGGATCTCCTGCAGCATATTCTCCACTAAGTGATCGATGAATGGAAACCACAACCGGCCATACTTTGCTTTGCTTTCGATACCTAGCTATTTGCGCCGTCCATAAGAGGTCAAGAGAATGACGCTTACTCGACGGCGTTTTACTGGATATTACAGTGAGTAAACTTGACGGTCGCCTGACCAGCTGGAACGGAGCTATCAAAACATGCATTGCAAGTGAAAACGTTGTTGGTACGAGACCACGAATAGGGTACATGAGTCTTGGGAACGAACTCCAAGTAGCTACAATATCTCTATAAAGTCTCGACTCGGCCAAGGTCGAGCCCGACGCTGATCGCCGGTGTCGATAGAATTCTAGACTTCTCCAAGAGATCTTCGTAACAACCAGCTACAACGCAATGTGTTGGACTCTTAGTCTAACGTATACAAACAAGAATCAGCTCTTGATGGTTGTCAACGTTCTCACGAGGAACTTTGATCCCCTGGGCATCTCACAATCACGATCCTTAGATCAAATCACATCCCGTCCACACCCTCCATTCTCCAATTAATACCAACCAAACAGAGAAGTTTTCCGCAGCTATCCGAAATAGGATCGTTCTGACGCCATGTTTTCGTACCTTGTTGGTACCAAAACCTCCAGCTGTCCGAGGAGCTGGAGTCGAGCCGGTCCGGTTACCCTATATCTTCACCAATCAATTGCCGGGAAAAAGCAATGTTCCCTCGCCAATGAAAGAACATATCTTATACGGGTTAGCATTCTCTACTGCCCATGAGTATTTTGAACAAGCGTCATTCAATGCCATGATACGACTCCTCCAGGTCAGTGGCATTTCATGGAACTTCCATCTGTTTTGAGAAGGTCTCGAATTGATCGTTGCCCACTCCTATTAAACGTCAACCACTTTCAACCTAGCGGCAAAACGGCAAGCCCGCAGACCCTTGATTCAACATCACGAGGCAGGTAGAGCTTTCATCAAAGATACCAGCATCGGATGTTGTTCTATTTTTGGTAGATAGGCTCAATCGAGCAGGTTGTAGATCGCATTATGTACTGGGTATGATACACAATCGCACTTCAGCAGCGGCACCAAGTCTTCAGCAACTGATAAAAGACTGATAAGAGACTGAGAGGTTTGAAGCTCGAAGCAACCAGACTATATCGTCGGCAAATGGACAGCATACCTACAAATGATAGGAAATCTGGCACAGCAGCACGACACGGCAGGGAGTACAGCAGATATAATCAATTTTGAAAACGTAACTCGGATAACGCAGTCGTCAAAACTCGTTTACTAAAACAGCAACTTCAATCAAAACATGAGCCGTTCCTCATCCCAGACGCCAAATCCAGCTGGGTATACAGACCGCTGCCCTTGGCAGGATCCTCACTCGTCGAGATAAGCGGATTTTTTTTCACATCAGCATCCTCCCTCCTCGCTCCCCGCGACTATCGAAAGCTTCCTTCACCTCATCCACATGGCGAACTCCGTATGATGCTTAATCGTAAAGATGGTGTTATATTCGGACCGCCACCACGCAATTGATCGAGCAGGTGCATGGTGCGCCTACACGATCATCTGCGCAACACCCTGTCCACCAAGAGTCTTGCTGCCGACAAAGGCCTGTCCCTTGACACCAGCAAGGAGGTAGCATAGTGCAGTCAACATCAGGAACACAGCAGCAGCGATCAAACTACTTGCGCCGCTGACAATGCTGATGTACTGCAGAGCGGACATGACACCGTAGGCCGCCGCGCGCATATAGTTGGTCGAAATCTTGCGAATGAGCTCATCGAACTTGGACGAGGTTGGGCAGATTCGGAGGAGAAGAGGAACCTCGATAAACAAGATGATGAAGGCCGATGCACTGCATATGGTCAGTCTGGTTGGCTATGTGGAAATGTGCAGAGAAACCCTTACATAGCAAAAGCGCAGAAGATGATTCGAACAACAAAGGTGATATGGAATGTAAAGATGTTGGCGATTCCAACAGCTAGACAAATGATCATGGAAAGGATTCCAAGCCTATACGCCGACGATGTTAGTCCCTTGTTGACGGCGCATTTCGTTCGATGTGGATCAAGTCGCAAAGAGGGACTTGATAGCTAACGAGCTACGATTGAAGCTGTAAACAGCTGAAGATCGGTGGCTTACCATTGTCCATAGATGCCTACATCATGGTTAGTACCAACAATAACCAGCGCAGTGCGTTGGGAGCAACATACTGAAGTTTCGCGTTTGGAACTCCTCCTTGAGCGTCATCTTGCCAGCTTACGTCGAATGTTCGTATTCGGGGTTAGAGCAACCGAGGGAAATTGTAGAAGCCGAGAGAATCAATGCGGGTTCGAATTGAGGGAGATCAAGATCGTGTGTTGTAGAAGATGGCGACAGCAATGAAGAGTCAAGTCGACAAGACGGAGAGGTTGGTCGCGTGGTTACGATGGATTGTTTCGGTTGTGTTGGGAAAGTCTGAAATGAGGCACGTAGCCTTTCCGCAAATGACGGATCGGAGAGGATGGGATGGTTGCTGAGAGGCGGTCCCCAGTTTTGATTGAGGCTGGCGCAGGGCTTGGCTCTTGTGTCAATACGGTTCAGCCCAGACAAGGCCTGGAAGGGGCAGGTGAGGTGAGTGGAGGGAGCTGGAGGTCCCAGCGCCTAGGTGGTCGTTATTGTAGGGGAAGGGTCCCTGCAAGGAGGATGGATGGTGCGCTATTGATAGTGGAGAGGTCAATGTGAGACGTTGAAAGGTTGGAGGTTCCAGTTCGGGTCTTTGATGAAACACAACAACAGGCACATGTGGTTCCGTTTCGCTATTATGTTCCTTTCTCTTTCTTTGTACGCTCTTTCATATGTATACTCGTTTTCCCGTTAGGCAACCTCATTTTCTATTCAGTCAAGTGACGTACGTTGACTACGCGGCACTGCCAAGCCTCGCCCAGAACTGAGTGATGCGGAGTTGTTCGCTTACAAGTCCAACGTTTTTCAGAGACACTTGACTGCCTATTCTGCCAAGACTGATCACTGTCAAATCCATAAAGTGCTTGGCATCTCCATAATTGCAACGGATATGACCGTCCAGGTATAAGTCTATCAAACATGAAGCTATTCGGACTTGCGATGTCAACACCAGGCATCAGTTTATGATGGTGGCTCCACGAATCAGCACTAGAGACGTCTTGAAATAGCTACAAACAGTAGCATCCATGTCGACTACTGGTTGTCGAATATTGATTGGCACGGGCATTCGGCGATATGAACAAGATACGGCCATTGGAATCCGGTCTGCATCTCTCGACCCGGACTTTGGAAACACTTGATCATAGTCATTCAGCCCTGTCACTGACATGCCATCGTCTTTGACGATCGTATCCCAACAACGTGGTTAGTGGGGTGGTTCTTGCTGCAAGTGCGAACTGCCGCCAATATAAACATTGCACTTGCCTCTACACCATTACATCATCTTCAACACACTTATCCTCTTCTTCTCATGGTAGCTTAGAAAGCAACAATCTTCGGCTTTCGGACTTATTCAACGTCCAACTCATTGTCCCCGACAGGTGTTTAAATAGCTCTACTGTTTATTCCGGCCATTCCCTCGAAACACAACCATTAAATGAAATTGAAAGGACAATGACTTATACTGTCCTCTCGAATGACCAGGTCAACTCCATATTGGAGGGCCTGAATATCGAGGAGCTTGAAGAATTCCGACATGTGCTTGCCTCATCTCTTCACGAGTTCTCTACCGGAATACCAGCTTTGGAGGAAGCCTTCCAGGAACCAGAGCGCACCTCGACACTGCATCCAGAAACAATGGCTGAAACCCTTTATGTACCCTCATGTGCTCCATGCGGGATGGGCTGCAAAGGTAAGTAACTTCAATTGCAATGAAAGAGCCAATCTGACTTTAACAGTGATATCTTCAATTAGCCCGGAAGCTCCTCAATACCCCGACAACACTGAGCAGCTTAGTCCAGTAGGCGTCGTCAACTTATTTAGACCAGATGGGACACCACTCGGCATCATCAATGCAACTGCTTTGACAGCCTTTCGAACCGCTCTGGCTTCAACCTGTCTTTTGGCACGCCGTAATCACGTCAAGACGCTGACCGTATTCGGTAGTGGCTTACAAGCTTACTGGCATATTCGACTGGCTCTCATGATGCGCGGGAGCACAATCAAGAAAATACACGTTATTAACCACAGATGGAGTGAAACGGCAACTGGGCTACTAAAACGATTCGCTAACATCGATCCTGAGATCAAGCAACGAGAAGGCTGGTACGACACCAAGTTTGGACTTCTGATCCCCGCATTCCACGAGTATAAGCGTTTGATCAAAGAGCAGATAAGAGAAGCGGATGTGATCTATTGCTGTACTCCATCGCAAGACGACCTATTCGATGGGTCCATCTTAACGTCTCATGAGGGCCGCAAAAAGGGAAGACTTATCATCGCCGTAGGAAGCCTTACACCAAGGCACCGAGAGTTGCCAGAAGATCTTTTACATCTGGCGGCCAAGAGAGAGGACAAGCCACATCGACACTTCCACAAGCATGCTGTTGAAGGGGGAGTGATCGTCGTCGATAATATCCGAGGCGTACTCAAAGATGCAGGCGAAATTATAGCGGCCAATATTGGCCCCCACCAAATGGTTGAGTAAGTACTCTTGGTGACTTCGCAAACATAACTAACATGGCACTGCAGACTGGGAGAGCTGGTGATGCTTCACCGTCTAGCTATAGAAGAATCTGATGATTTTGGTAGCAGTGAAGTTTCTTTAGCTTCCGACATGGACAAGATGGATATCCATAGCCGGAGCTCTATGTCATCCGTGTACGGCAACGAAACACCAACCAGCCCTACCGGCTCAGTCGACTCTGGAAGGCGGAGATCCAGCTCTATTTTCCACTCGAGAAAGAGTTCCAGCAGCTCTATGGATAAAGAAAAGAAAAAGTCAGAAGACCACCTTTGTCGATGGTTACGAGACGGCACTGTGGTGTATAAGAGTGTCGGACTCGGACTGATGGATCTGGTGGTCGGGACACATTTAATCGAGGTTGCACAAGAGAAGAACGTAGGAACTAGGATAGAAGGCTTTTAAATAAGATATCAAGATTACGGATAAATACAAAAGTGCTTCATACATGCTGTTTATACTTGTACATTCTTACTCGGCCACCCAGATGGCAGCCATACCCATACCGGTTCCTACACACATAGATGTCGCGCCGACCTTTTGGCCAGTTCGCTTCAACTCATATAGCAAGGTAGAAACTTGTCGGGCACCAGTGCAGCCCAGAGGGTGACCAAAGGCGATAGCACCTCCCTTGGGGTTGATCTTCTCTTGAGGGATACCGAGCTCGTTGGCGCACCACAAGCACTGGCTGGCAAAAGCCTCGTTAATCTCCCAGATATCGACATCGTCCTTGGAGATGCCAGCAAGGTCAAGAGCCTTGGGGATAGCCTTCCAGGGACCCTGACCCATGAGAAGAGGCTTGACACCGACGATTGAGGCGCAAACGTACTTGCCAAGGATCTTCTGTCCGAGCTTCTCAGCGGTAGATCGCTTCATGAGAAGAACAGCCGCGGCACCGTCAGAGATTTGACTGGCGTTACCAGCGTGGATAGATCCGTCCTTGGAGAAGGCAGGGCGGATCTTGCCGAGGGACTCGACGGTGATGCCCTCTCGGACACCGTCATCCTTGGAGACGGTGATCTCTTTGGTGTTGCCCTCCTTGTCCTCGAACTTGACAGTGAGAGGGGCAATCTCCTCGTCGAAAAGACCCTCCTTTTGGGCCTTGAGAGCCTTCTGGTATGATGCGGCGGCAAAGGTATCTTGGGCCTGTCGAGAGATGTTGAGGTCCTTGGCCATCTGCTCGGACAGAACACCCATGGGAACCTTGCAATTCGCAGCCTCGGGGACCTTCTCAAAGTCTTCTGAGAACTCGGAGACAGCGTTGGGGCCGTAGTTGATAGACATGCTCTCGACACCAGCACCGATACCAATATCGATCATGCCGGTCTTGATCTGATTAGCCACATCGACGGTAGCTTGGAGACCGGAGGAGCACTGTCGGTTGAGAGTTCGGACGGCGATGGATTCAGGGAAACCGGCGACCAAGCTGGCAGCTCGCATCTCAGTAGCACCACCGCCGGGGGCAAGCACGGTTCCGACACACAGGTCCTCGACGAGCGCAGGGTTGATTTTTGAACGGTCGAGGACGGCCTTGAGGACTCCGGCCATGAGGTCAGCAGCGTGGGTATCCTTGAAACCACCACGGCCTCCCTTGGTGAAAGCGCTTCGGCATGCGGCAGTGACGACGATCTGTTGACAGTTAGCGACTGGTTCTGGCGCATAAGATAGCTATCTCTAGATTGCGTACGTACATCATCAGGGTTCTTCTGGAGGATTTTCTCACGACCGCCAGCGGTCGGGTTGCCAGAGATCTGGCCTCCAATCTGGATAATACGGTCGGTGACTGAAGACGAAGTTAGCTTGCGACCGCAATAAGCGCAGAAGGCGGCGACTAGACATACCGCCCATTTTTGCTATGATGTAACTGAGAGTAATGTAGTAAAGAAGTTGAGGGCTGGGTATAATGCGCAAGACAAAGACAGAGATGGGATGAGATGAAATGGTCAGCAAGTTATCAGGGAGGAGATTATTATACAGAGAAACTCTCGGTAGACCTCGGATGTTTGTGTAAGAAAAGAGTTGGGAAGCTATGTCTGTCACAGGAGAGGCATTCAAGACCGAAGACCGACGCCCGGGGACGGGATTCCATAGCAGAAAAACCGGGGAACCGAGGCATCTCTTTGCCCCATGCTTGGCGGTAGTTTAGCGTCTCTTTCTCTTTTTTTAGCGCCGGATCACATGCTAGTTGCTATCGAGGTTCCTTGTTCCCCAGCTTTTCGAGGCACAACGCGGGGGAGAATCTCCAATTGCTTATTAGAGGTCTGGTCTTTACTTTTTTGTTGCGTCACGAGGTGGCTAAGAGATACTCCAAAAAATGACGATTTGACGGGGAATGTGAGACTGTAAGCACGTGGACCCCCTACTATCACAAGCCAATATTTCATATTTGTCCTTGACCTGATTCATGCCACCACTCAACTGATTGACTATACTACCTGCTTTATTCCCAGAATGGTATCTTCCAGAATGGGTATCTTGTAAAAAGGAAAAAGAAAAAGAAGAATAAGAATTTGGAAACAAATAAACCCCAACTATCCCCAACGAAAAGAAATAAAGACCATCTATAAGAAGAAACAGAAAAGGTACAGTATCATCAGTCTGACTCATCATTTCATACAGGTATCGTAAGAAGAGGAAATACCACATTCAGAAATAGCTGGGCTCCAGACGTTGACATTGTCATCTTGATATGACTGAGAATTTAGCGACATGGTCTCCCATGGTGAGCTGGAGTCTTCACCAGATCCCGAGTCGCCAAGAGACATAGGCACTGATAGTGAATTTTCAAACATCGTGTGACTCGTGTCTATTCTGATTACTGGTATCGTAGGCGCCGTCACTGCGCGGTTGCGGCCAGCATGGGGTGGCTGTTGTGTTGGTAGTGTAAATGGGTATCCAAAGATATCCTGAGGTTGTTGTTGCGGCATGTGAGAAGAAGTGAACTCGGACCACGACGGATATTGGCTGGGAGGTGCAGATATAGAATGAGGCGAGATTGCTTCTGTATGGGGTTAGCAATCTTTGTACCTGAGCTAATTGGTACTGCATGCATAAATGCATGCTCATGCTACTATATGTACTCACCAGTTTCATCAATTAGACGGAGAGCCTTGAGGGCATCAACACCCAGCTCGATACTGAACCGCCGGTCTGGAAGCTTGCCCAGTCGGATTTGCAATTGCTTCTGAATATCTCCAATTGTTTCCACATTGATTGCGTCTAGCACGCACCAGTGTCTTGCATCCTTCCATCGCGGCTTAGGAACAGGATGTATCTTGATGTTCCAGCTGCGAGCAAATTCGTTATCAACGACACTCTGTGCACGGCCGAGGTAGCATTTCGCAATGCAGGGTACCTCCGTCGTCGGAGTCTTGAGAGTGATACGGATCATTTGGCCGTCCTTGACTTTAGACGACTGAGCTCTTGCTTGGAGGGGCTGTGCTGTGAATTGCCAATTTAAGTTATCCCCGGAAGGCGGCTGTGCAACAGGAGACTGGCCCTGACTCGGCGGCTCATCATCTGGGAAGACTGACTCTCGGAGTGAAAACTGAGGAAATGGTGAAGTTTGCTGCTGTGAATCCAAAGGCGAAAATGCTGGGGAAGTTTGGGTTTGGGTTGGCATCGACTGGTCTGAGAACGAAGTATCCAGCCGAGGCCTACTTCTGCTACGCCGACCAGATAGCCCATTAACATGAGAAGTAGTAGATCCACTACTTCCACGTCTTGATCGAGGCTTGCAGATAGGACTGAGGTTTGTGGGCGAACGCGAACGGGTTGCTTGTCTGATAGTATTCTCAAGTGTACTTAGTTTTGAGTAACTAGGCTGAGAAGCAAGAGCCGGGTTGCGTTGACGATTCGATTGTGGCATAACTTGCAGTATTCTCTGAAATGGATAATAGGCAAAGAATTAAAGTGCCTGGTTATAATGTTGAACGTTGTTAAAAGGATAGAAGTGGAAGTTGGAAGAACCACCAGAACTGAAGGTTGAACTTGAAACGGTGTGATACTGTAGGTAGTTTGGATGAGCCGCGACCCGGACTAGAGAAGTATATCAATAGTTAGTCCGTATACTTATGCGTCAAGTTAGTAGGAAAAACAAAACAGCCAGGGGTCTTTAAACATCGCATCGTGACGGTCATGGCAGCCAATATGCAAGTATCAACGTCAAGTCATTGGGTGATCATTGGGTGACATGCTTCTCGAACTCGAGGCATATCGGTCTAGATGTCAGCCCAAGTCAAAATGCCTGCAGAATATGCCGAAACAAGGCTCTCGAGTGGTTCCTGATGCATGTCGAATTGCACAGCCTCTGTCTACCGAGTATGAAGGCGGCTGTGCTGCGTTACGGTGAAATAAAGAGCCGCCTGTCATGACTTGTGCAATCTGGACTGGCTACGCATGATTGAAACTGCGCTTTATCACATTTGATGTGAGGCGCTGTATTGAATCACAGTTACATTTAATATCTTTGAAATTGACATCTTTATTGAAATATTTCAGTCGAGATAGTTTCAACCTCATTTTATAAGGCGACTGCATATCGGGTTGACTAACGAGTTAGACTGGTTGCTGCGCCTCTCAACAGCATATCGCTCGGGCGCCAGGCTCCGATATCGAAAGACTCCCAATGATGAATTATTGTGAGAATCGCTCAGAATGTGTGTGATACGCCTCAATTACCAACACATTCGTCTTACTATCGTCAAGAGCCGCAAGCTCAAGTGACACGAATGCAGACCATCTCTTTGCCGCCTCACAATTCGAGGACATAAAACGTCCATCTATGCCCCAAAATGGACTCGAAATAAGTCTTTTAAGCCATTGGAGCTCCTGAAAAAGGCCACTAGGTATATCAATCACGATTGCATCTCACTGCATTCTGACCTACATCATAATTTCTAGACAGTGGTTTTTCACGGAACTCACAGAAATACCAACAACGCCTCAGGAACAAATACAGTCATACACAAGAAAACCAACCGGGTCCTTCAATCCAATGGCTATCAAGATCATCCCCAAAGCCACATCTCCAGGCGGTTCAGTGCAGAAGAACAAAGTTCTGGAAAACAGCGGACAAGGCTGCTGCGAGGCAGTGTACCAGGTATCGTCGACCGAAGCTTGGTAGCATCATATGATACTGACACTCTATAGATCCCTCTCCTAGGCCAATTTAATACCACACGTGGAATTGTGCTCTCGATAACCCGCTCGCTGGAAGCCTCATTGAGAGCACGATGTCGTCGAAGACAGTTGTACCACCAGCGGAAGCCCGACTGTGGAAAAGGTCAAGTGACCAAGAACGACAATCCAACTTGTCATAAACATTCGTGTTCAGTATGTGTGTCTCCGGAAGACCAGGGGAGAGACTTCTCAGCCAAGAACGACAGTACTTGCCCCGAACCTGCGAGGAATAGATACCGGAAACCCATCAAAACCGTGGAGCCATTGAGGATACAAGGCTTAGAGGACAAATTAGAATGCTTAGCTCTTTGTGCAGAGAACAAACCACTGGGAAATGTCAGCAAAGATTTTGAGGAAGCCTATATGCGAGGAGAACCCCTGACTCCCCCCGAGATCGAGTTCGCCGAACAGAGTGATCTGGAGGATGATTATTGGAAATGGGATCAGGACACACAACAGTTCAGACACTGGGATGAGGACTCAGGAGAGTTGGTTTGCTTTCCCGAGAGGTTCGACTGATGTAACTGATGAACTAGAGATGAGGTGGAATTCCTATACCATAGCAATACGGCGTAGTAAAAGTGTCAACTCGGGCCTATGTAAGGTCGGTCACTTTGAACCGAAACACTTTCATTAATCAATCTCATTGGTCATTCAACTCTTCTAATGATACAACTGCTTTCTCTGCGTCAAATACACCCCGTTCATTCAAGCAACCGTTCGTATCCTCATTGTCTCATTAACCGCCTTCCTAAGCTCCCAAGCCTCAGAATTAAGCCTTGCTTTCAGGCTTGTCCTTGACAACCTTGTCATTGGGTGAAAAGCTGAGACTGACGCTGTTCACACAATGACGCTCATCAGTGGGTGTATCGTAGCCCTCACCCTTGAACACATGTCCTAAGTGACCACCACAGTTGGAGCAGACAATCTCAGTTCGTGCCATGCCAAAGGTGCGATCCTCATGACGAACGACAGCACCAGGAATGCTGTCGAAGTAAGCTGGCCAACCGCACCCGGACTTGAACTTGTGGGTAGCCTTGTAGAGAGGCGCTTCACAGCCTGCGCAAGTGTAGACGCCCTCCTCAGGATAGTGCTTATCGAACTTTCCTGAACCGGGAGGCTCGGTGCCCTTCTCACGGAGAATACGGAATTGCTCTGCTTTGGTCAATTATTGTACAGAGATAATTGAGTAAGTCTTAACTCACCCTTGTTGAGAACGGCTCGCCACTCGTCGTTTGAACGGTTATCGGGGTAAGACATTTTGGAGCTGTTGCTGGATGAAGTGCCAAATAGAGCGCCCAAGATAGGAATTCCAGACATAGATCGAAGAGGAAGAGGTCGATAAGCCAAGTGTGAAGTCAGTGGAGGTCTCACACGAGTAATGTTTGAGAAAGTGAAGAGAATGTTTGATAAGAATGGAGAGAAGCGCATTTGGATGAGAGGATTGATGCGTATATTTATATCTTGTTCTAAAGATGGGTTTCCATTCTCATACAAAAGATAGACGTTATAAATCCAGGGTCTTGATTAGTGGCAATCTGTGGAATCATTTGCATCATCGAGTTGCTAAGCAGGAGCACAGCCACAGCTGAGAGTATGAACCGGGCAGTTATACGCTGCAAATGTGGCTCTTTACTTTCGTTTTCGGGCTTGAATACGCTGATGGTATTCCAAACACGGCAGTGTCTAGTTCCTGACAAGCAATTATCTGGCGACGATTATTCAACAGTATTTCCTCAAAACGCTCAAGTCAGACTTGAAGCCAGAGGCTGTTTCCCTTTGTTTCAGCCCCAATGTATCGCAACGTGGCTTAAAAGGAATGCAGCTCATTACATGATACAAAGTCAATTAAAGAGAATGTAACAAATTGATATTAAATTATTTAGTGTTTCAGAGTGTTTATGATAGTTTCCCCGGTCCTCTCAAGAATTGATACTGCAATCACCAGAGTTAAAGGAGCAGGTGTCATGTAATGCAAGGTAGAAGCTTCGACCTCAACTTGTAGCATCCCCGCCAAATCCAGGGGCCAGGTACCTACCTACCATCAAAGAGTCCAGGCCCGTGCATCAATTCCGCTGGGCTCCAACTGCTAATGATAACTAAAACATCACCGACCTGACCACCTTGGCACCTCCCTATCGACCTTCATCCACCTCAATTCCAGGCACCTCTTTTAAACTCTAGGCTGCCATTTTGCAGCAACGCTCTTTAAGAGTGAACTCTGCAAAAATCTCATTCCGAATCCTGCGACACCTCAATCTGACCTCGCCGTCCTTTCTCGTCACAACATCATCATGTCCAGGAGAGCCCCGAACCCCGCCGCCGAGCGGGCGGCGCAAAACCAAGCTACCATCAAGAGTCTTCTCAAGTTGGAAGCCAATAAGGTCTGCTCTGATTGCAAAAGGAACAAGCGTACGATATAATTCTTAACTTTTCTATTGTATCCCTACTGACTTGACCAGATCCTCGATGGGCCAGCTGGAACCTTGGCGTCTTTATCTGTATCCGATGCTCAGGCATCCACCGTGGCATGGGCACTCATATTAGCCGTGTCAAGTCTGTCGACCTCGATTCCTGGACCGACGAACAACTGCAAAGCGTTCTGAACTGGGGCAATGCCCGCGCCAACAAGTACTGGGAGGCCAAGCTCGCCGCTGGTCACGCCCCCTCCGAAGCCAAGATCGAAAACTTTATCCGAACAAAGTACGAACTCAAGCGATGGGTAATGGACGGTCCCATGCCCGACCCTGCGACCCTCGATGCCGACGGCGATGATGATGTGCCGCTCAGCATTGTCAAGGAGAAGCAGACCATAGAGCGCAAGGAATCCATCAGGAAGGCATCTCTGGGCAACTCATCAGCACCAAAGCCTATGTCTCCGCCTCAGGGGGATCTCATCGGCGGAGATCCTGTTCCTGTACGATCAAGCAGCGCTGCTCCTCATGCGGCCAAGGTCCCTCCCAAGGGCGAGCCTGCTCCCCCAAGAGCGACAAGCGGAAAGGATTCTCTACTCGGACTCGACTTCTTCGGCGAACCTCAGGCTCCTCCACGACCAGCCAGTACAACCGGCACCGCCCCCAGTGGTCAGTCGCGACCTGATTTGAAGCAGTCTATCCTCTCTCTATACGCATCCGCACCTCGACCGCAAGCCCAGGCTCAGCCGCAGCAGCCTTCATCTGCTGGAGGATTCGGTGGTCTCGCTTCTCCCACTTTCAGCCACCAGTCCCAAGGCTCAATGGGCGGCGGTTTCAACGATGCTTTCAGCAACCTCAGCGTTTCCTCGAACGCACCCAAGCCTGCTGCCCCCGATCCGTTTGCCAGCCTGGGTACTGCTGGCCGTACTACATCTAGCAGCAGTAATGCTTTTGGTGGTCTGGGAGGTGGCAGTTTCTTTGACAGCAAGCCCTCGCAGCCTGCTGCTCCCACTCATCAGCACCAATCCTCAAACTTCTCCAACTTTGGCGGCTTTTCCTCTCCTGCACCTGCGCCTGCTGCAGCTCCCGCACCAGCCGCACCCAAACCTGCACAGTCATCTGCTATGGGGGATCTCTTTGACCTTTCTGCACCCGTCACTACATCGGCTCCTCCACCACAGCCCGCAGCTGCTTCTACTAGCTCCGTCTTCAACCTCTCATCCCCTCAAAGCCCGCCCGCCGCTGCACCCGCCACTACCACTACCAGCTCTATGGGTGGTTTCTCTGGCGCCGACGTATGGGGTGGAAGCGAATGGGGTGCTCCTGCAGCTGCCCCCGCCCCTATACAGAAGGCCCCTGAACCACCAAAGCCTGCCGCTAACGACTTCGGATGGGGCAACACAGGAGGCGCTTTCGCCAACACTCCTATAGTTCCCGGAGCCTCTGGAGGCTTGACATCTGGTGGTTTCAACCCTATCTCATCACCCAAGGTTTCAGCCGACGAGGAATTCGGAGGATGGGCCAGCAGCGGCCCTGCTGCCACTGGCAGCACCAGTCAAACAAAGTCCAGTGGTGGGTTCGGTGGAGATGATGACTTGTTCTCTAATGTGTGGCAGTAAGTGGTGTGCTTTTGGAAACATTTAGATGGTTTATTGGCGGGAAGTCTCTATAAAACGGTTGCAAGCATGTTTGGGCGTTTGCATGTTAGGTGTCATGTAAATGCGAAAGGGGATGACTTAAATTGTACGACCGTTACGATTTCGGCACAAGTGATGAAGCGATGTGAAATGTATTCAAGTAACGCCGGCCCAACGCTGTCAAAACAGTGAACTTCCTGGGGATAACTCTAGCCTTCTGGTTGTGGACATTCGAATGTCTGGGATCCTCCATATTTTTCTGGCTGGACATAGCACAGATAATGGATATCCCATCTCCCCTTACAGTATAATAGCATTTCCCAATTCATCTTAGACGCCTGCGCTCCCAAGTCTTAGAAAAATAGTTTTGCGCCGTAGAACAACACCAAGAAAACGCCAATCACAATTCCTGAAAGTTTGAGGATCGCAACACGGTTTCCAGATGCAGCCATGCGAGTTAGACGACCGGCGGAACCCTTCATCTGTGTGGTCATGGAGGAGAAAGTATCGGACTGTTAAGACGTCAGCTGCCAAGTAGTTGTAGCAGATGGGCGAGGTAGACGGACGGTGTTGTCAATAACATCCTGGGCTCGTGCGTTATCGTAGATGTCGACTGTTATGCCGCGAAGGGCGGAGACTTTGGAGGATAGTTCATCGAGGCGCGCATTGTTCTGGCGCTCTCGCTCGTAGGCTTCGGACATGGTGGGTGAGGTTGTCGTCGAATTAAGGGAGTTAGTTGCCGATGAACAGGGGCGGTCGGTGGTTGATGCGCTCAATCAGGCCGGAATACGTGGGTTATGTGGTTGTTTTTCGTTTCTGTGTGGTAGAGGATAGCTTTCGGTTGCCGTAAATCAGTCACCTTTCTCAAAGTCAAATGCCAAGTTATGAAAGGGGTCCGATTTCCAACTCAACCCCGGCGGTCATGACGCTCCCGCTTTGGGTTCCAGAGTCCGCCACGGCCACGCGCTGGCCGGACGTTGAACAGTACGTACCTACGCTGTAGATCGCACCGCCACACCTCGAATTTACGAGCCACTCTTCACTCCTCCCTCCACAGCGAAACTGGAGATTTCTCCGCCGAAATGCAGCTGTACCTTGACATCCGAGGCGGGCAGGCGGGTGTCAGAAGAAATGTCCCCCAAGACTTAGGCTACAGAAATAAAGTAGCCTAAATGCTGGCCTAAGCTGGCATAAGGTGATCAAATTATTTCGTCTCTTATGCTCCGGGGGCCAATTCTTATGACACCCTGAGGCCGGGGCAGCGTGTTACAAGCAAGGCATGACGAGAGGATATGGTTGGGCAGTAGTGCCGCTATAATTTCAGTCGAGGATCTTCTTGTTATGATTCACAGGTGAATTCTAGTTAGGTACCTGCGCCACATGAATTGGGATGCTTTAGGTGCCGTGTCGTTGCGTCGAGCTTAACTAAAAGTGAACCCAACGTCTGCACCTAATCATCAACTACCTCTACTATATACTTTCTCAGATATCGGTCGATCCGCCAGTATCTTTGTATTATATATATCGCCGTATTATTTTACGACAGTCACTCGCTTACAGCCAATGCTTGGCCGGGGAATCGTCGAGGCGCAGCAATAACTTGTCCGGTGACGACGCAAGCCGGACAAGCTACTACCTACCTATACCTATCAACCCCACTCATTCGCCCTCTCGTACAGTGAGAACAGCTTCTTGGCTCATCTCTTTCAACAACAGTTTTTAAACCGCACATAGTTATACCCTTCTCATTCAACTTATACCCCTTGCATCGCTCGGAACTCCTTCGATTGTACCGAGATGGGCATCAACAATCCCCTCCCGTCGTCTATGGCGTGTAAGTCGAAACCCTTGATTGTCTACTCATGATCGCGCATCATGAGCCCCTCCCAACGAACCATGTAGCTTAAGACTCGGACCGTTGCGAGACATAGCTAACACAACTCTTCACCACAGCGGAATGCAAGAAATGCGGCAAGATTCTAACCTCTTTTATCAACCCTCGCCAGTCTTTCGGCCCCGACAAAGTCATTCCTCCTTCCATTCTCGAAAACGCGAAAGGCCTCGCCGTCATCACTGTTCTCAAGGCCGGCTTCCTCGGCTCAGGCCGCTTCGGTAGTGGTCTCGTTGTCGCCCGACTTCCCGACGGTAGTTGGAGTGCCCCAAGTGCTATTGCGACCGCGGGTGCCGGCTTTGGTGGTCAGATTGGTTTCGAATTGACCGATTTTGTCTTCATTCTCAACGATGCGAGCGCTGTCAGGACATTTGCCCAGGCTGGCTCTTTGACTCTTGGTGGCAATGTCTCCCTAGCAGCTGGTCCTGTAGGTCGCAATGCCGAGGCGGCTGGTGCTGCTTCACTTAAGGGTGTCGCCGGCATTTTCAGTTATTCCAAGACCAAGGGTCTCTTTGCTGGTGTCTCCCTGGAGGGGTCCGCCATTATCGAGCGTCGCGATGCCAACGAAAAGATGTACGGCCAGCGCTACACAGCACAGCAGCTACTCACCGGTTCTGTGCGACCGCCTCCTCAGGCTGCCCCCCTCATGAACATTTTGAACTCGCGCGTATTCAGCGGCATGCGCGGCGGCAGCGACGACGCTATGTATAACGATGTCCCTGTTTACGATGAATCACACGACGATGTTGTTTGGAATGGCCGTCGCGGGTCCGCAATGGGCGAGGGCGTGCAGCGCGATCGCACAGGCTCATATGACAATGGTTTCGGAATACCAAGCCGGTCGAACACATGGCAGGACGATGTGTATGACAGACAAAATAGTTTTGGTGGGCCTCAACGTTCCAACACAGTTACCAGTAGTGTTGGTGGTGGCGCAGGCAACGACTATGTTTACCGCGACAACCCTTCAGGAGGTTTTGGCGCCGATAAGAAGGCTGGCCCTGGACGTCCGGCAGCTCCCAAGCCCAACTTTGGCGCTAAGCAAGCACTGCTTAAGAAGAATGAGGCTGTCGCCGTGTACAACTTTGACGCGGACCAGCCAGGTGATTTGGGCTTCAAAAAGGGTGAGGTCATCACCGTCCTGAAGCGAACTGAGAGCGAGAATGATTGGTGGTACGTATTTGAAACCTGCTTGAATTACGATTCAACACAACTAACATCGTATAGGACTGGACAAATTGGCACAAGAACAGGCATTTTCCCCAGCAACTATGTCAAGATGAAGGAGTAACGGCTGTCTTTGTATCGATTTAAATACCCTTAGGCACTTTTTGGAATGGATATCCATGGATACATACGATGGGTGTTTTGACTTTTTGTTTTATTCCCGTTGGTAGTTTTCAAAAGACTGTTTTACATTGCTACATTCTTACATTTCGTGATTTTTAGCTTTCTAAGTTTCGGGTCCCTTAGCTTACTCCATGCACTTTGACGGGTTTCTTCCCATGCCGTGTAATGGGGGGCTTGCTGTGTTCCCGAAGTTCGCTGCCACAGTAGTCGACGTTCGAATGCCAGGGGAACGTCCAACACATGCGTATGTAGGTAGGTAGTCATGTTGTCGCTCTAGTTCGGTCGGCACTTTCCTCGTGAAGTGGTAACGGTACTTCTCTACTTTCGACAGCACAATCTAAAAGATGTAGGAAATTCCTTTCTTTGAGTGGGTTCATTCTCTATCGATGATATCTGGGCGTATTTGGTACAGTGGCTGAGAGTCTAAGTCTCGATGTTTCAAACAGCGGTATCCAGTGGTGAAAGGATTTCGTCTGCCTGGCAGTAACATTGCACATCCTTACTGTCCTGAAGCCGTTTCAACCAAAAGTCCCTCCTCTTCTCCCAAATCCGTTCCAAGTATAGTTCTGCATGCCGGGTGTGGTCCTTACAGCTGGCAAGCTCTGTCTCGTACTCTTCGAATAAAGTTACAGTCGCTTCATGTAAGGCCTTCAAAGCGTCGGGATCAGTAACAACAAGTAGAGGCGAGATATCATGCCCTGGAGACTGTCTGTCCAAGTTGGCAGTTTCTAGAGAGCCTTCCAAGACATTCGGTCCCGAGGGAATTTCTGTCTGGCACTGGATGTCTTTGTATGCATTTCGTTTGGGGTTTCTTTTGGAACGCTTAACCTCTGGAATAGAGATCGTAGCGTCATCACTTTGTCTTTGGTCTGCATCCGACAGAACATCAGGCTCTTCTATTACTACGCCCTGCAAGATTGACTGGCGGTTCTCACCCTTTGCTCTCTTGCGAGACCCGATTGTAGTTTGGGCTTTCCTCCTGTCGCCAGTTATCCTTCCTGAGGAACCAGCTGGTGCTCCGATCTTTCTGGTTCTGGGACCTTTACCAGCCTCGACCGGGGTGGTATCCTGCGGCCCAAACTTTCCGCTTGCCTTATTGTCCTTTTTCCTGGACTCAAAGGGGAGCTTTCTTGGTTGGGGCATCAAATTCCGGTATTCCTGTGATTCATCTTGAGAGGACCGGTCTTGTATCAGTTCCTCTGTTGCTTCTCTCCTCAGCGACGGGATAGATCTTTGGCTGCTGGAGTTGTTGACCTGGGACTGCGTAAGGCTGCCTGGTCTGAACTCGCTATGCATCAGAGTGTTAGGCGACGACCAGGAACCTGGGGATAGCGAGTTTGGAAAAGAATGCGACTCGATACCTTGCCTGAACGATTGAGCTGACGGTGTACTGGGCACAACTGAATTTCTGAGAGGTGAGCTGATGCGAGGCATGTGCGGGTATGTGTCTCCTCCTCCAAGGAACATGTTATATGGGTTCAAGTGTACCGCAGCTGGCGGTGTGCTTACTATCCCATTAGCGGCGGAATATGGGTGAGCAGGGACCGAGACATGTCTTTGAGTATGTAAAGTCCGAGAGTTTGGAAACCCCGATATAGAAGAAGGTTGGTAGGGGGCGTTGAACATTGCAGTAAATGATGGGTCAAGTTGAGTCTCTGGCTTTCTCAGCGTATTTGACGGCAAGAGAGAGTGGGCTGCAGTCGACGATAATAGCGGACCATAGTTTGACGTAATATCAGGAATTGATTGATCTGTGAGGAGTGAAATTGGTATCGTGTCGCTAACACGGAAGCCGGCTTTCTGCAACAGGCAGACAGCAACGTTAAAGTCTCTCTTCTCCTCGAACTGCACAAGAATTGCCTGGGGCTTTCCAGGGAGGTAAATACACAGTCTACTAGCTTGATTGTTGATGGTGACCATGTCGCTGGCGGATTGCGCACCTCCTTCTGCCACAGGAAGTCGAAGGGAAACCTTGATTGTTAGCATCCTGTGGTCTCTTCACGACAAATCCATACCACTTGCTGCACATCTTTGCGAATGAGCACAATCAGCGCACCCAATTCCGTATCGATCTGCCTTTCGCCTTCGATTGTCAAGGTAAGAGCGCCGTGCGAAAAGGGGGAATTGTACGCCCTGGTAGATTCGCCATCACGTATCTCAAGATACACAAGAGGGCGGTTGAGCACGGGAGTTGGAGGTCCAGGCATAATATGCTTTTAATATCGTCATATAATGGAGCAGGCAGTAAAAAATAACTGGTATTGAAGAGGCAGGCACTTGATGAAAGCAATGCTGCTTGGTTTGCTTTGCAGGTCGCACATCCTTACCTCGGGCAGTCCCTAAAGTGCGTTCCTTCCAAGCAAGTACTCGACCAAAACCCGCTAACCACCTGCACATGAGCAGATAGACTGCGCCTTCCTCCCTAACATTCGATAACTTCATCATTCAACTCTAGGAAGGAGCAGTTGAAGTTGAAGAAGAACCACATCGATTGGCTGGTTTGTTTAGCGGGGGTCACGTGGAGATAAGCCAGCTTAATCTCAACCGAGACTTTCGACGCGCCGCGCCAGCGCAAACTATTAGCACCGACCCATGCGAATTGAATTCCAATCGTGGATCCGGCTATTCATCCACGACGTCTCCAGTATCAATCTAAACCAACAAGGAGACTTCCGTAATTTACTAGACACCGCGTGGATGCGCCTGCTTGCAGCTGATCTTTATTAACTGCGTGACGCCCAACGCAGCTCGACGACCCGTACCTCGACCCTCCGTTAGCGCGCGCGCATTCGCATCTTAGCCTCGCCTGCCCTTCAACCCTGAGACGATCTACCAAGATGGCTCCCGTACGCAACGAGGTGCCGCCGCATACGATAGATCGCACTCCCGAGTACGAGGAGTTTATGACACGACTCCGGGATTACCATGTCAAGCGAGGCACTACACTGGACCCGGAACCCAAGGTTGGCGCAACACACCTTGACTTGTTCAAGGTCTTCAACCACGTTGTTGAAAGCGGTGGTTACGACAAGATTTCAGAGGAAAAGCTGGCCTGGCGTCGCATGGCATCTGAGCTTGGTATTTATTCGAACAACGAAGCGTCAACTGCCTTTTCGCTGAAGGAGAAGTTCTACAAAAATCTTGCCGCATACGAGATCAGTACCGTGCATGGCAAGGAACCACCACCAAAGGATATTCTAGAGGATGTAACGGCCAAGGGCGCTGCCTTGTTGACACGTACCAGGGAGAACTATCGCGGTGCCAAACGGGAGAGTAATATTGGTGCCACAGACTCAGCGGCATCGGGTGATGATGGTACACCCGTCCGTGAGCGACCTGTTCCAGACGCTGCTGCTAGTGCGCGAGCATCTAGGGGTTTAAGAGAAGCACCTCCTCAGCGTGTCATTTTCCAACCAGATACTGGCCCTTCACGCACAACAAGGCACGCATCTGCCCACCATGCGAGCACTACCAACTCACCAGCCGTCAATCCTCCCCAAACTCCTTCACATCATCCGAATATGCATGTACCACAACAACAACAACACCAGCAACAACAGAACTACCAGGGAAACCGTGGGCCCTCGGTGCATCACCAACCCGCAACCCTCGAAAATACATCTAATTTAGTCACTGCGTATCAACCGCGGTTTTCTAAACCCCTGACGCTTCGTGCTGTCTCAACCCCTGGCAACGCGCCTAATGAGTTCCAAAAGCCCCGCCAGCAGACACGTCCAGATCCTCGTCAACCAATGCAGCCTGGCAGTGAGTATGCCTCATTATTGTTTAGGCAAAGACTGACATTAGTATACAGCCGGGTTTGACGGTCCTAATATTTACATGCGATGCTTGAACGCTTTACGATCAAACATTCCCGCAGAGCAGGCTTTTGCACTCAACCACTTGGTCAAGATCTCGTTTGAGCGAGGCGACAAGTACAAGTTCGATTCCTTCCCAGGTCTTGCCGAAGGGCTGGTTGACAAAGCCCTTGAGGTGGGCCAGCTGTTCTATCATGTCAACTGGACTGTATCGTGGAACATTCCTCATGACTCTAGCGACCCAAACGTTCTCGACGGAAACTATGGAACACAAGATATCTTGGAACGAATCGACAATCTCATCGAAAAGGATATGCCGGATGTTCTTCAGACCGAGTCCTTCGCAGACAACCTAGTCCTGGTAACCGAAGCTGTTCTGACGCTCCGCAACATGGTCACTCTTCCCGAGAATGCTCACAACTTGTCCGACTTTCCTCCTATTAAGGATCTTATCTGCATCGTTCTGCACCTGCCACAAAGGGATTCGCTTGTCGAGTTGAAGCACCTCACTCTGGACATTGCAGAGCAGCTGACGCCCTTCATGAGCCTAGATTCAGATGACCCCTTGTACAGAACCCTGTTGGCACAGATGACATCTGACGACCGAGGCACTATTCTGACAGCTCTCCGCGCCCTTGGCCGGATCTCAATGAACCTCGAGGCTACAAACAAGTTGGGCAATGTTCCCGGACCCGTGCTTCAGCGACTTGCTAGTTGGCTATTGCTCAACGACGATGAGCTTATTGATGCCTGCCTCGACTTCCTCTATCAGTACACCGCTGTCGTACCAAACGTAGACAACTTGATTCGTTCTTTGACGCCAGAGAACCTGGTCAACCACCTCGCTCGCTTGCTCGCTCACGGCGCACAAAAGACACAGCGCGATTTTGTTCTAGTGCCCGAGCAAAGAATCCCTGCTCGCGATCAGATCGCCCCTATGCCCGAGGACCTGTTGCAAGAGATGCTCAAGCTGGAAGAACCCGATCGCGTCCACAAATGGGTTCGATGCTTCTTTGAAGAGGATAACAACTCTTATGTAACACAGCTAGCTGCTTGGCAGGCCTACCAAACTGCCTTCGTCGGGCCCCTAAAGACCATAGGTCAGCCACTGATTACACCTGCCGACTTCATCAGGAACAGCACTTCGGTCTACAAAGATTCGAATGCGCAGGTCCTCCGGGACCCAGGTGACCCACAACAGAAGTTCATCATCCATGGCATCCGTGCCAGACCGAAACCCCTGGGTATGGACGGTTCAGAGTATGGACGGTGTCTGTGGGCCTCGAATCCTGACAACATGCTCGAGAAATGCGGTCACTTCTACATCAAGACCGAGAAGATGTGGGAACACATCCTCACAGATCATCTTCACGAGAAGCGCAATGAGGAGGGACAGTTTGACAACGTCGAGAAAGAGTTCACGTGCACATGGGACCAATGTGCTCGCTTCCAGAAGCCGACCAAGATGCGTCTTCAAGAGTTCGCTCGGCACATCAACACACATGTCTCTTTGGCTTTGCCCAATGAGGCGCACAGCCGAAAGCCAGAACGCTCATGGATTATTCCAGCCAAGACCATGACTGTGACCTTTGAGGAAACCATGACAGTACGTGATGAGCGAAATCCAAACCACCCACCCCAAGCCGCCGGTATTCCTCTCAGCGCTGCCCTTGTGCTGCGAAACATTGCTAGGAACGTGGTGAAGACTGAGGCGGAGGAAGAGATTCTTAAAAAGCAGACAGAAACCGGTGAGCGTGGAGGCTGGAATGAAATCCTTTTCAGGCCGCTCCTGCCGCGGCTATTTGAGATACTTGCGGAGAACAGAGCAATGGTATGTTTCCTTTCCCCAACCCTGACTTTTTTACATGCGGCGTATTGATTTTAATTCTATCGGCAGAGTCATTACATTTCATCATTACTCGATCTCATCCGGATTGACTACGAAAGTCAGGATCAATGATAGTTTCTCATCGAACCGAGATTGCTATTCTAGAGGACTGTTTTGTCGCTTCTTTTAGAACCATACTTGCTGTCAATTCGTAATAAGGAGAATCCTTAGGGCGCAAATTATGCAAACAAGGCGTTGAACGGAGAATTCCTGGGGTAATGTGGTGTTGAAAAGGGTATTGCACACGGATTCACGCGACAGAGTCCTTGCACGGATGGATGGATATTGAGGGTGTTTGCATGACATTATGCTGTTTTTGGAGGAAACGAATTACATTTGTAATAATACCCTGCCAGTGGCTGTTATTGGCCTGGCTATTCGTAAATATATATATCGATATACTCGAGGGCTGACGATATCGATGGCGTCTATCTGCAGGGCCTCTCTTTTTGAGATGCCTTAGTATCATTCTTGTTTTCACTTCTAGGCCATTCATTACATTGGTAGAAGCTCATTAATAGACTACCTGCACAATCTGAATCAGGCGACATGAATCGCTCAAAGATATCATTTTCGTGCCTCACTCTGAGATCAAAGGGACTGGGTTACCGGCCCGGGTACTCTCTGAGACGAAAATCATGATAATGATTTTGATACCGGGCCGGTGACCCAGGCCAAAGTCGTGGTTTTAATGTCGTCCTTGTTCGATAGCGAAGCAGCTAATGCAGTCCTCATATGAAACATGAGGGGACCGCTGCGATGCGCAAATTGAACGTTGAGTAATTCGCATGTGGCTGATCAATGTTGGCGGTTCAATCTCTCCAATTTGATGGGAACATGTTCCGTGTGTGGAGTTGGAGGACTGTGCTTTTGTCGATGTTCTGGAACCCCGGCATGTGCTTGGGCCTTTGACATCTCCCCACTAGAGTACTCTGTACACGATGCTGCAATCAATAGTCAAGGGGGGCTGCGGGTGAGGTATTGCGTGCCGTGATGGATACAGATGATAGTATGCTCGCTCCATCTTGACGGGGGAAATAAAGCTGACGACATAGTTGAAGACTCTCTGCTCTTCAGTTCGATAATGATTATATCACCTTGCGAGGTTTGACGTCAAGTCTAGTGCAAGAACCGTCGAAAGCGTCTGTTTAAGGGAATCTGTATCATCGTCATATTTTACTGCTGATTTGTTGGTGACGTTTTCTTGCACTTGAGTTCGTCTGGAAGTTGCCTCAGTGGATATTGATCAGATCCAGTTGTAAACGAGAGCCACTGTGGGTCAGAAGGAGATCCAAGTCCGCTCTATCCGTTGTTTCCTTACATTGGCGATGAGTTTTTCTTTTTTGCAGGTAGATACAAACGGAACATCGTCTGATCTTTGGACGTTCCTGAGGTGGATTAACCCGCCAGAAATATCATCAAGGGCTGGCTGCACACCGTCTTTTGAACTTCTGGTGTAAGCCAACCCGACCACCCAAAGACGAGGGGAGTTTGCCTTCAGCAATGGCTTGTCGTCATAAATGATGATCGTCACTGCTATCAACAAACTCAATCTCGTCATATCTGTGACTAGAAAGAGTTTGGGATCAAAAGCCCCCACGAAATAACTAAACACCCTTTGTCATTGTTTCTGGTATCTCTCAGGCCACGCAACCGGGCAACGGAGAGAAAAGAGATCCTCGGTCAAGGGTAAGAGTGGTGTGAACCAATAGGTAAGTTACTGTAGTGTTAAGGCTGTCTTGGCAATTCTAGGTGTAACCTAGGCTACCCAAGTAGACGGGACGACACACCGAGAGGTAAATGATGTTAACTTTGCGTCTGAATGATTGATAGGGTAAGGGGAAACTTCGTTGTCGCTCAGCTAGAGCATTACAAAAATAATATACTGGTAAGACTTTTGCTTGACACGATGATATTAGTGTTAGTTAAGCGGAGATCTAATACGTGTCATGTCTTGCGAATGGTGAACACCAGACACCCTCACCTGGAGAAACAGAAGCGGTCTCGGTGAGAGCTGGACTGAAGGTTCTGACTCGACCAAGACGAGGGGATGTGCCAGGATCCGTGTTACCCGGAATTGAAGAATGAAACCAACCGCCTGTAGTTGCTGTTGACTGCTGTCAGGGGACGCGCAATAACAGATGTCAGGTATGGTTTGGTCTGTGTTCCTCAGCTCGGATCGAAGGAATACCGTGGCATGTTTTCTATATTGGTGTAAGGTTAAAACTCTCTGGTTGGATAGCGGTGTAACAATGAATCAAGTGCCAAAGAATCTATCTGCCTAAAAAGATGGGAACAAAGCAGAATCTGTCCACCCAGAGAATGACATACCGACTACTGCAAGCCGCAGCGGGCGTGGAATGGGCCCGGCGACCATCAATTGTCGAATCACTTCGACCAGGAGATGAAATGCTTTTTCGTTCTGGTGTTGAGGCAACGACGCACTTGGAGCTAAAATTTTCTTTGCCGGGTGGCTTGACTGCCGCATATTGCATCAAACTATACCAGACCATGCCATACCATACCAAGCAAATGGAAGCCAAACAGAGAAGCCTGTGGAAGTCTAGACTAGCATCAGGCGGGGAAACTTCAAGACATGCCCCGGAACGCTCGGACTCCCAAGAGATATCATGCTGACTTTGTTTTGCAGTCTTTGAGCGTTATCGTCTTGATCTTGGCCTGCAAAGAATTGTTGGAGATCCGGGCATCCATCTCCATGTAAGCGCCCGTTGTGGGTGAGGTGGGGGCATCTAGGAATAGGTACCGAGAGAAGAGCTACCCCTGCAACGTCCCGAGAAGCTTAAGGAAGCATCGTGAACTTGGGGGCGCTTCCAGTCTCCCCGCGACCCGCCATAGCTCGTAGCTCCCAAGCTCCCCACGCTTAATGATCTTCCCCCTCCACTTGGTGTGTCCAATCCCTGAAGCCCCCATGTGCCTGTTCTCAACTTTGCTCCGTACTGTAACCTAGCAAAGCTTCTATGGTTTGGAAAGCTGCCGAAGAATGGGATGTAGAGTTTTTGTCGTGTTCGCGTGGCTTCGATAACGTCAATGGCTGGTCCTTTGCGCAAAGTTGGCGTTTAACAAGGGCACGCAATGATGTCGTATCGTGTTTGTGTAGCAGGGTTCAAATTATAAGTACGAGCCGAGCGAGGTAGGCATGATATGAGATGTGGATGTGAGACGTAGTACAGTGAAAAAATAAGAAACTGCCTCTAGACTGTCACCTGAGAGAAGGGAGTGTTCTAATGTGGGCATTGACAAGCATTTCAGTAACCCCACGTTGTTATCAAAGGAAATGTCAGAGCAGATGCGGCAAGATCCGGTCGAGGTTTGCGTAGAGGAAGGTGCAAATCATGGGTGGTTGCCAGTCATGAGTTTTGGACCACAAAGGAAGGATCGATTGGGTATGCCATGCCAACATGAGGCAAGAGGAAACAACACCAACACCAACCAAGCTTCTCTCTCAATGTAAAACATGATGGAAATTTCCATCACCCGCATTCGCAGCTAAACAGAAACCCCAACCCATTCAGATCACATCATAGGCTAATGAGACGACATTTTGAACGCCATTCAATCAATCCCCCACATTGCAATGCGTGCCTGAATGCGCCTCAGCTGTGGTCTGGCCTAGGTCAACCTCTTGACTTGACGGGAAATGCAACAGCCCTGGCATCGACCCTGTCAATCGATCTTGTGACCATCACAAATCTCCATTCCGTCTCACATTAGACTGAACCCCCGGTTGATGCGACATCGGTCTCCCGTGAGTCCAGTCCAAGTTCGTTGTGCGACAGCTACGGGAGGGGACTCAGACTGCCCCCCCTTTTGACCTTTCTCACAGTTAGACCCAAGCTAATAAGCTTCTAATTCAGGCACATAGCATGAGTAAGTACGTGCCTTGTACTTTCTTGTTGCTACAAACATGAGTTCATCTTACCGTCTTACACCGAAGTCGGTCAAGAATGCTCCTCCCTTGCTTTTGTTTGCTTGCTCGTTCTAGGTCCCAGGAGGACACCAGAAGGCGTGCCGGCCGTTGCTCCACCTACGCCTGCGTACAGTAGGTACGTATGGCATCCGTCATCTCTACCTAGGTAGATACCTACCTACCTATATAAATCCATAGCCGTACGGGATTAATTTCTATTAACTTTCCATCACAACCGCGCGCACCTTCACATTAACTTCACACAACCCTGAACCAAATTCTCTCCTCAAAGTGGTACGTTGGACCCAACAATCTATCTTCATCCGCTTCGCTTCCTTGATGTCGTTGTGTCAGTACCTATTTGGAGATAACGGCAACTAACAAACTTACGCCTGTATAGACACTTCCGTTATTAGCTCTCCCCACACCACCTCTAGGCGAGATATCTTTGTTGCATTTGCCACCAAGCTTGCGAGCCCCGGATCCGAAGCATCAAGGCCGCATCTCCGTCGTCCAAGGTTACCAGCATATATCAGGACAACTCCAACAATTGCCGTTCTGGAGTCGCTATTGAAGAGCCCTGAGGATAACATCGATCCTCCTGCAGCCACCTAAGCTTTCAATAACTTTTCCTCCGCCAAACACTGCCTTACACTGCCCCGTCAGTGTCGACGGAGTTTCCCTACCGCAAGATCGGCAACGCAACACCAAATCTGATACTGGTCTTCGCCTTCACTCTCACATCCGGTTCCACAGTTTTGTCAGTCCAGGCCCCCGCTGCACACCCTCCTTCGGCAAGCACTAGGAGCACCAGAGCCGCCAAAGTACAAGCAGATCCCTTTGATTCCAGCCCCAGCTGAAGTCATCTTTTACTGCACCGTACCTTATCGCTTACCTTGCTACACCACACCCTTTCGCGGACATACCGCCACACTAAACTTGCGCCTAGCAAAGTCCCTTGCTCTGCGACCCTACACGCCAACTCCTGCAAGAGAAAAAAAATTAGTTTCGCCCCAAGCCTAGAGTTTTCTCTGCATTGCTAAATCTCCACCTCCGCTTATACCTCCACCTCCACAAACACTATCCGTGATTCACTTTCGAGACCCACCTTCACTCGAGTATATATCGAGCTCCCCTGTGCCTATTCAACTGCCCTTTCATCATCCTCAGCCACCTCTCTTTCCTCTTCTTTCACTTCAAGCGATCGTGTCCTCAGGCCACCTTGAATATATAACTTCTTCTTCACCAATCCTACTATATATCCAACCCCTTCATCACAACCTCCTACTTACACCCCCGCGATAATCATCATGTCTTTCGCCGCTCGCAGCGCCCTTCGCCTCACTCGGGCTGCTGCCCCTGTTGTTCCCCGAAGCACTGCACGATGCTTCTCAGCCACGCGTGTGCTGCGTGTTAACGACACAGACATGAAGAAGAATGTCGTTCGTGAGAAGGAGGTTCCTGTCACCGTCTACGCTGCTGGACACGGCACCGGCGACAAACACACCGTCAATGTCTCCGACGCCGCTGCTCGCATCCCTAACGAGACTCCTGTACCTGCACCTGACAGCGACGCTGTTCAGCCTCTCACCCGCAAGACGTTTGAGCAGCTCCCCCAGACCATGCGCAACATGAGCGTTTACGGAAAGACAATCGTCCTTACTGGTGCTGCCCGTGGTCTTGGCAACTACATGGCTCGCGCCTGTGCTGAGGCCGGTGCCAAGAACATCATTCTCTTTGATGCCAACCAGGAACTCGGCGACCAAGCTGCAGCTGAGCTCCATGACAAGACTGGTCTCCCTGTCGCTTTCTACAAGGTTGACGTCCGTGACGGTGCTGCCATCAATGCTGCTGTCGATGAGGTTGTTGAGAACTACGGTGCCCCCGATGTTCTCGTCAACTCTGCCGGCATCGCCGACTCCAACATCAAGGCTGAGACATACGATCCCGCCATGTTCCGCCGTCTTATCGACATCAACCTCACTGGATCATTCCTCATGTCCCAGGCTATTGGCCGTGCCATGATGGCCGCTGGAAAGCCCGGTAGCATCATTCTTGTTGCATCGATGTCTGGTTCCATTGTCAACTTCCCCCAGGAGCAGAGCTGCTACAACGCCTCCAAGGCTGGTGTCATCCAACTTGGCAAATCTCTTGCTGCGGAGTGGGCCAAGTATGACATTCGAGTCAACTGCATCTCTCCCGGATACATGGACACTGCTCTCAACCGAGTGCCCGCTCTCGATGCACAGAAGAAGATCTGGAAGTCTCTTACTCCCCAGAACCGCCTCGGCAACGTCGACGAGCTCAACGGCCTTTGCATCTTCCTGGCCTCCGACTCTTCCAAGTTCATGACCGGTTCCAACTGCATCATCGACGGTGGCTACACATGCTACTAAGCAATGCTTGGATCATGATTAAGAAATGATTTCTGGGAAGGGTTTATGGGAATACCTGAGCGAGATGATGTGCTTTGCTTTGTTTGGAGTTCAGGAATGGATTGATGACCTTTTTCTCACGGGCATGGGCCAAAACAAAAGGAATGGTGTGACGATAAACTAGACACAGCTCTGGATATCATAGAGCAGAGGATTGCCTGCATTAGACGCAGAGCAACAAGATCCAAAACAAGGATCGAATTAATAGCCAATGGCATTCTAATCTTCACAAACTGTTTATTATCTTGTCGTGATTTGCAATATGAACCATGTTTAGACTTTCGGGTAGCTAACTACCTAGACTAGATCAGATCAGATCGTGAGCGCTAATAGAATGTCGCTTGTTTAGATGGACCTCAGCGGATCGTGACTCTACGATGTCAAACCACGTGCAATCCAATCTTATCAGTCCACCCATGCACGTCAATCGATCATCGCATGCTCCCGAGCAGCCAATCACGATACCACTTCCAAGTTCAAAACGGCAATACAGTCTGAGCCAATGAGTCGCTGCAGGTTATGCTCACCGCTTCAAAAGGCGATCAAAACCGGGTCGTGGATATCGACCAACCTTTTCGATTTATGCTTGCCAACACAGAAGGCGGTGGAGAACATGGTCTCATCATAACATGGGGAAATAGGGGAACAGTCACAGCCCCCCAAGTTCGATGTACCAGAGGCAGTGACTTGAGTAACGACTCGAATGATGCAGGAACCGAGACACGCATAGACATAGTCGTGCTGCAAATTCCATACCGACTTGCACGAAAAATAGCAATGTATTGAATCCAATTAGTCATATTTATCTCAGTAGCATACTTAAAGCCAACAAACCAAGGCCCTACACGTTCCAAGGATCTGACGCAAGACACCTAAACTTACAACGAATACCTGGGCCAAGTTATCACGGGGAGCCAGCCCCGAGGTGCCACCTCAGACCGCATCGTTGTTCCGGCTCATGAGACTGAGTGTTTTAGGAGGTGGGCATGGGTGTATGAGGTAATGACCCAAAAGAAGGTAAATTGTCTTAAAAGGTGCGGTCTATAACTTCTGTTTCCTTTCCACCATCACTCTCATTCATATCAACTTCAAAGCATCAGAACAAGCGCTCAACATTTTCAACTACAAACGCTCCTTTCCAACTACAATCATTTTATCAACTCTAAAGTTGAACTATCAAATCGACCTTCATCAACACTAAAGTTGAGCTATCAAATCGACCTTCATCAACTCTAAAGTCGAACCATCAAATCACCCTTCTATCAACATAACAACAACATCTGCCAACATGCAACTCGTCTGCATTCCTTCCACCGCCCTCAGTCGCGCTGCGCGGGCCCTGCGCAATCGCCTTCTCAGCTCAAAGTCTCTCCTCCCCGCCCGCGCTGCAGCTGCATCGTTTAGGAATTCAATACCACGGTCTTCGGCTTTCCACTCGCCATCCCACGGCAAACTCAAACACCAAGTGCAGCCTGCAGCGCTTGGTACGGTTGCCGTGCTTGGTAATGGACTGCCCCTAGGCAAAAACTCCCACGCAATTGCGAGGGAAAGCCAGGGTCGCTCCAGAGCTGGAAAGCAAATAAGCTCCTTCTACCAGCAATGGGAACACGGGAGCTTCATGATCAGAAAGAGCAAGGTTCTTTAAACTTTAAAGATGGCTGGGACAGCATGATTTTGCGTTATTGTGTTTGCATCAAGTGCTGGATACTTGTTGGCTGCGCTTTTTTGGCTAGGATGGTTGATGACGACGACCGTTATGATTTTTATGTTAGTACGAACATACTCCTTAGGAGTGATATCTAGAACAAAAAAAGATTGCCGCTTTTGTATGGTCACTTTAGACACACATACACATTTCCCAACATCCACGAAGTACCAAGTGAACAGAGTAGAGCAAACGATTTTTTTATGATTCAAAGCTGGTGAGGAGAGGGTCAGGTCTAGTAACGTAACAGACCAAACCGAGTGCGAACTCGATGTGCAAGAAACAGTTCGTATGCAGGGGTATATCCAGCGTGTCATTTCTATGTGCTGCCAGGCATCATCATGGTGTCCGCCTGCTGGCACCTTTTTCTGTTTTTTTCTCTTCTTGCCATGGGCCGAACTTGGCGACTCCATGTGCATAAAATAACATAGACCCAGGCCTTTATAGGCATGGTGGCAATTCCAACTTCCAGATGCAAGGCCTGCTATGATAGTTGAATGATTTGTGCAAGAAAAATGGTCATTAGATAATTGGGAATCAGAATCGTGATCAGGGACACATCAAGGTCCACTTGGTTTGTTCTCAAGTTGTCACAAGACAACGGAACACTGCCGACGTGTCGACACGTCGATCATCGTCTGAAAAACGCTGGGAATCGGTGGAATATTCTCTCCCGTTTCACCACGACAGGGGAGTACGGGGGAGGAACGGTTCGCACGGGGGGTACCTACTGCCCCTTGCGAGCCTTTTCTTGCGCCCTTTGTTCTCGAGCAGCTCGTACCAGGGGAGAAAGTTGAACGAGATCAACACAGCCCTTCATGAATTCGTGCTAGAAAAGAGTTAACAACCGCAACCAAGAATCGATGAATCAACTTACCCTTAGCAGATCATGAGCACTGGCTCGCTTCTCGGGGTCCACCTTGAGTGCAAAGTACAGGAAGTCCTTGAAAACGGGTGACAGGTCCTGCTCGTTCTTGATATGAGGAGTTCCGTTGGTGGCGATCAGCCACAGAGCACGCAGAGGAGACTCGGTCAGGTATGGCGGCTCGCCTTCTATCATTTCGATGGCCATGATACCCAAAGACCAGATATCAACCTTGCGTCCGTACTCTTTTCTTGTGACGACTTCAGGAGCCATCCAGTAAGGCGTTCCGACCATTGTCGTTCGCTTGTTTTGAGCCTCGTTAATAGTGGCACAGAATCCAAAATCGGCTGCTACAGTTAGACATGGTATCAAAACGAAAAGAATTGTGGGCACTCACTCAGCTTGATCTTGCCCTCCATGGAAAGCAAAATGTTGTCAGACTTGATATCTCGATGGATAACACCCTTGGAATGCAGGTGCTGCAGACCTAGAAGTGTCTCGCGACATACTGAAGCAATCTGACCCTCGGACATGATGTTGAAGGTGACAACATCCGTAAGGCTGCCTCCCTCCATGAACTCCATGACGACCCAAAGCTCGCCGCCGCACAGGTAGCTGTCGATAAAGTTGACGATATTGGGATGTGAGCTATCCTTCATCACAAGAATCTCGTTGATAATCAGGTCCTTCTTAGGTTGCTGCTCGAGATTCATCTGCTTGATAGCCACCAAACGGTTTGTACCACGCTCATGACCAGTAAAAACGCCTCCAGAAGCACCCTGGCCAATCTTGTTAAATCCGCGGTAAATATCTCGAGGATCACCTTCGCTACAGATACGCTTCAGGGAGGCGATAATATCGATTCCTGCGCTCTGGCGAGCTCGGTGTCGTGGTCTAGCTCCAGGCACAGCGGCCTGAGGAGCTTGCTGGCGGGAAGCACTGTGCATGCCGTTGGGCTGGCCATATCCAGGAGCAGCCTGAACATTCTGGTTTTGGTGGTGATGGTGGTTAGGAGCTCGTTTGCTGGGTGCACGGCCAATTCCGCCAGACATAGCGGCTTGAGCCTGGGCCATAGCCTGCTCTTGCTGCTGCTGCATCAGTTGTTGCTGATAGGCGGCGGCCTGAGCCTGAGCGAGTTGCGGGTTGGGTTGAGGAGCAGTAGGGGCGTATGTTGGTCCGGTAGCTCGGGAGTTGGACCTCGAACGGTGCTCTTCGGGGAGCATAGGGCCGGCATCTTTGGACGGGCCGTAGGACTCGTCGCCAGACTGTGACATACCGATGCCAGAGTCTTTGGTCGTGTAAGTGCCATGAGGCATATGTCGGTTGCCCATGCTGACGGGGGGCTTCGGGGCCGGACGGCTGGGCATCAAGTCTTTACCAACCTGACCTCGGGGTACAGGTGGTGGTGCTCGGGGATTCTCAAAACTTCCTTCATGATTGACAGTTGGAAACCTGGCGTTCGTAGGTGAAATATTGGTTGGTGACATACCCATATAGTTTGACGGGTACATGCCCGGTGATGCTGCAGCTGCCGGAGAGGTGGCATACTGGCCAGCATGATGAAATTTCTCGAGGACTTGGTCCTCCGGGGGTCTTTCTGTAGTTTCTTTGTAGAACTGTAAAATATCAACCATAGTTTGCGGGTTCTCTCGTCGTTCCTTTTCAGGAATTCCACTTTCGTTGATAAGTCGCTGCCATTCTTTCGGCAAACCCTAGACGTTGTTAATGGATAGAGTAATGAAGGCATCGAAATACTGACTGTGAACTGGCCCGTAGAGCTATCGTAGCCCACATGGGTAACGTGCACGGGATTTTCAGGCGCAGAGATAACTGGCTTCTTGGGCGAGCCTACCAGACTGTTCATGAAACCTGAAAAGCCCGACTTCTTACGTAGAACAGCAGGTTTGGAGTCTTTGCCATCGTCGGAATATCGTTTGGGGTTGACAGAGGGACCGTCGGTTGGAGCTCTGGGGCCAAGGCCCTTCTCGTTCATTGTCGAGTCCATCGCAGAGAAGCTGTTTGCTGTTCGTAGAGCAGGACTCGCAATCTTGGCGTCTGCGGGCGCCTTGACAATTTGGGGCGGGAAGTGACGGGGAGCGGGAGCTTGAGATTTTGGACTGGGAATCTTTATGGATTCAATACTGCTCAAAAGGCCGGCGCCGTCAAAAGGAGCGCCGATCAGGTCGTCGTGAATACCAGGACTATTGAGTGGGCGAAGATGAGAATCGGAAAGACGGTCGGAGTGACGAGGGACAGGCGCCCAATGATTAGCAGGGGTCAAATCGCCTTGAGGTGAGATGGGCGATGGAACGGGTCTTAGGGTGTTGTTGGCGGATAATTGAGGATGAGATCGATCAGAGTCTTGCCAGTCGGCCACGGTCGCGGGGTTGGAGCGGGCTGGGGGAGCGCTGGGGGCCCTCTTCAGGCTTTGGGAACTGCGTTTGCTCTCGAGGGACTGGGCGTCGAAGGCACCACCATCGAAGGTAGAAGAGGATCGACCGAAGTAGGAGGGAGGTTTCTTAATGAGTTTGCGACGATGTGAAGTTGCGGTATGAGCGGACGCAGACGACGCAGAGGTATATCCGGTGCTGTCCATGATCCAACAGCAGCAAGAGCAGCCTGGGCGACTGACGAGTTGGGGGGGCCCTCGGGGCTAAGAAAAAAAAGGCCTGCCTTGGACGGCTCGGGCTAAGGTACCGTGCTGTACTGTACTCCTGTTAGGTACGGATTTTTTTTTTAGGGACGGGACTGGATGGATGTGATGGGTCGAGCAGGTGGAGGAGGACTAAGCAGAAACCGAAACAGACACAGGGCAGGGTGTGGGTGCAAGGAACAGAAGTGAGAGGATAGGATGTGATGCGACGTGATGCAGTGCGGTGCGGTGCGGTGCGGTGCGCGCAGGTCCGGTTTGGGGTCTCTATTCAGAGGCCCTCGAAGGTCTTTCAGAAGGGTAACTAATCAAGGGGTGAGAACGAACCAACGATGCAGGCCAAACAATGGCAAGGCGAAGCAGCAGAGCAGATGCAAGAGTAGATGGGGGGGACTGGGGACACAACGCGGGGGTGGTTTTGTGGTGTGTGGTGTGTGTATTGTAGAGCCCAAGCCCAACGATTGTATTGTATTGCTGTACCTATTGAGCTGTAGCGTAAGGTACGTTAGGTTAGGTAGGTAGTGTTATCCGTTTGTATTGTGTATCGTGTGGTGGCGGTTAGACTGGCTCTGGAGACTGGAGTCTGGAGTCTGGGACTGGGACTGGGTGGTCCTGCAAGTGAATTCTTAAATTACTTGCTTTTGCCTTGCTTCTTTTCTGTTTCGTAGTAATGTAGCTTTTGCTTTTGGTTCTGTTCTGGGAAACCTGCCCGGTGACTTCATAAGAAAAAAAAGGGTAAGCCTGGGATAGGATAGGAATTGAATAAGTGGGTTGGGGGAAATCAAGTTCTGGGGGAGAGAGGGAAGAAGAAACATAAGAAACAGAGAACAGAACAGAGAAGCAAAGAAACGATGCGATGCAATGCTATGCTAATGTAATGTAATGAATGTATGCACACTCACACTGTGTTGTACTCTGCTCCCAATCCAATTCAAGGGGAACGAACAAGCAAACGAACAAGAAAAAGGGTGAGAGAGTGAGATGAATCGGAATGCGGGAGTGGATTGGGTTGCGGGACGAGATATTACACTGTCGCATGCATGGAGGCCCTTGGTAATGGTTCTGGTTCCATTCCCAAATATTGTGATACAAACGGCGGGGACCCTCAATTACTTACTGAACTACAGTACCTACAGTACAGTCTATGCCTTACAGTGCTGACCTTGGGTTAATTATCAGGACCTCTACTACGAACGGGGGTGACACGGTTGCATGACAAGAAAAAAAAACTCCTAAAAAGAAACGTTTATTTACTGTTGATTTCTGAATCAACAGACCTACTGTTCGGATAACTGGAATTGGGGTCCTGATTAGCGAGGTGGTTTAGAAACAACCTAGACATAGAGAAAGGCCCATGCTTAATGAAGGGTTCAACGTGGATGAATGTCTGAGCACCAGGAGAGGAAACTATTGTTTGATAAGAATAAGACTTGCCAATTCACTCTTGCCTTGAATGAACTAACAAGTTACCTATTTACAGCACATCTCTTTCACTGAAAAGACTCATATGGCTGATGCCACTCCAATTGGGTTTATGATAGGCAGGGCACCGAGTAAATGGCTTGGACCCTTGACCCCAGCGCATTGGATTGGGTTAAGGTAGGTACGACAGTAAGGTACTTACGATCTGCAGAGCGGGCCACTCAATGCAAAGGTACCGTAGCGTTCCTTGGCAGACGCTGGTCTTGGTCTTGGTCTTGGTCGACGTGCCCTGATAGTGACTTTGACTTTGCCAGACCAACTCAACTCCCGGCTTTTGGTGAAAGTCCCTTTTTTCCCCTAACTTAACCTAACGCTCCCCCACTCCACTGTCGTTGCAACGCCATTGCCATCCATTGGATCTGTTGTCCCTCGGGCCGTTGGCGCGACTCGACAGTGTGAAAGCCTCTTGCCAACACTTGGTGGTTGGACCACCAGCAATCAATCAATCAATCAACCATGGATGGGATGGGATGGTATCACTGCATCCTAACCAGTTTCCCCTGAGCGCCACGCTCCATTGACTGACTCCCTCAGAATGACGAAGCGGGGGAATTTAGATATGTTAACCTAGAATCAGCCTTCTTTGGTGTTTTGCACTGATCAAGACTTGCAATTCTGACACACGGTGGCTGCGGAAGGAAGACTGTGTTTGAGAGTGAATACCGGCAAGTTGATTTACTGCAGATAAATAAGTGGAAGGGTGTCGTCCAGTCCATCAATCTGTTTCCAGTTGAACCTTGCATGTCAGTCAGTTATCGACAGGCTCCAGTCAATCAATGACATATCTTGGCGACATGCGAAACTCAATGACACTTGCAGGTACTGCTCGTATTTCCATTGCAGAATGTAGCTATCCCTCGCGAGCAGTGATAGCATCAATATCGCGTCTTCAAGCATTGCAGGACCAATCCATGGTCAGCCGTCCAATTATCGGAAACATTATGTCATTTCATGGGAGAGCATATGAGTGCCAGGGTGCATGCGATATTGGACAGTGATTATATGACTAACCACGTAATGAACGGGACAGTGAGGATACTACACCCAGCATCTCTAACAAGCTGACCCTGGATAAGAACAGATTCTGATTCTGATACCGATGGTTCCTTCACTATACCGTACTCACTTTGCTATGCCGAGCATCGCGGTCCGTAGAGTCCACTCCGATGTAAGCGTGGTAACCAGTCAAACACGACTAGCTGGATGAGTTAGGTAGCATTTCAGCAATCAAGAGCTCATCTCATCACGATCAAGTGTGAGTGGATTTTACCAAGATGCACGTCGAGTGGAGTTTTGGCTGCTTTCTCTCACACACTCAAAGATTCACGGCATCAAGCAGAAGCTAGGGACCAAAGTTTAGCGGTCCCCAGCCAATCTCAAGCAACTGCAATGTTCTAAGAGCAGACTAGCACAGGCACAAGCTTGTCCTCGTGGGTCGGGGATGCTCGTGGCTGGTGGGGATAACCGACGGTTTTGAACAAGTCTTGTGGGAATCAAGCATTTACCCAGCCGTGGCTGGCTGGGCTTTGGACTGGGCAGACCCGTACTACTGGCTCTGATTTCTATCAGACACTATGCGTATGCCCATCGAGGACTGGCTGGTTCATTGAATGTTTAGTCGTCATTGTTTCTCAGTACAATATCTCAGCTGGAGAGAAGAAAGGGAGGGAAAAAAAAAAGAAGAAAAATGCTCAGGTGCGGGGCTCTCGAAAGAAACCGCAATGTTGCGCCCAGTAGCTTGGTACGCGGGCAAACCTTTTCAAACCCGATCCCTTCATCAACCAGTAGTTTAGGTCAGGTTGCTTATTCTTGATGCTGGACTTACTTCCCACACCCTCCCTCATCTGATTCATTGCTGAACAGAGTGAATAGAAAAAGAAAAGAAAAAGACCCCGATCTGACACTCGATATCCGGATATCCAAGACCTCTACCCTGCCTCAATGTCTAGACGAATCACACACCATAAGTTACCACTTAACCTAAACGCTAACATGTCCAATAGCCGTTGAAGCTACTATGAAGCTTCAACTATTGCTTACGCCTGATGGCGTTCTTGGTGCAAGCCACTGAGACCACCTCAATATCCATCAACTGCAAGCTATTGAAGTATGAACAGTCTTCCCCAGCTTCGCGACAAGACATTGCATTGGGCCATGCAATTGGGTTTGGCGATTGATGAGTTGCGTTGAACCGAGACATACGTGAGCTCTAGGCTGGGCGGCTGGCTGCGTTTCAGAATTAATGCTAACCTCACCATTCAACTACCGCCGACCTTGTAATCTCGATCTTGTCACAAGAGACAAAAGAAAAACCATCAATCATTTTAGCTCTGCAGGTTGCGCAAAGGATTTCAAATTACTGCACAGAATTTTCCTTCGATACAGTACTCTGTACAAAGCTGACGGCGACACAAGGGATGCAATCATCGGCCGAGTACCAGGGGCCAACCTTGTAACGAGGGTGGAATTGTTCATGCCCTCGAAGATCCGGGTCAAGTCGCCGCTTGCCCGCTTCTCACAGCAGGAGCAGGCTGGCAGACAGGATAACTCAACCCTTGGCCCATGACCCCGTCGTACAACTCATCCAGACTAAGAGCCAGCACTGATCGTAGGAATGCCCTCTTGCAGTTAACTAAAAGGGAAAAAGCGTGTACAACGCATAACCTCCATGTCAAGCCATACGAACGCCTGCGGAGTCTTTTTTCTCTCTCAGATTTGCTGTCGGTTGCATACGTGTTCGTGCCTGTTTGCATGTAATTGAGGCGATCGTCAACTAGAACTCACAGCCTGGTCAGGCTGGTGGCAAAGAGGTTCGGGTCTCTATGGAATACCGGTGTGCTCACTGGACTTGGCAACACCTCAAAGAATTAAAAAGAAGAGTCTTCAATCATCACCGCTTAATTACAGATAATCGTAAACTCTATGGAAAAGTGGCCTACCCGAGAAACATGTACAGATTGAGCTACAGGGCTGATGTATCAGCACCAGTGCTTTTCACATCTTACCTCCCGATACTCGAGAGGTGGGGGAACAGACTCGATCCAATGTCTTAGAGTTAGACTATAGACTCGAAAGTACAGTAATACATATTGCTGTTGACTCACCAGCCAGCTAAATTACTTTGTCTCTTCCGCTGTCAGCGGCCAACTTTTCGTATGTACTCATAAACCTTCAGATGGCCCAACAATAGCCATGATCTTACATGCTTTATACATATGTAGTTGAGACGACTCAACATTCTCTTGGTCGAAGATAACTTCTATATCACCTTGTCATAAGTCTGACGTTCAATTAATGCATACATATATACATCCAACCATGACCACACCGCTATACCTCAAAAGGATAGAAGGTGACATCTTCAGTACAGTACCTGCAGTAGCTGACAATGCATCGTGAGGAACGCGACATGTGCAGACTGCCTGCATCAAACTCGGTCGCAGCTGGCACGATAGTTTGACCGGAACTGCTTCGCTCCGTAGCATGCTGTACTGTGTGGGTGTGCTTTTAAAGGATGTGGATGCAGCGTCACGGTATATAAAAAAAGGTTCAGCACAGAACGAGCCGCAGGTTGACAAGTTGTAAATCCTAAACTTCTTGGCTATTTGTACCTGCACACGAAAAGACTTCTTGACAACGACACCAATAAGATCAGCTCTCATGACTGGTTACGGTTTTGACCAGACTGTCTATGACATGATGAGATACTGAGGTGACATTGACATAGCTACATAGAATGGATGCCAACGCTGCTTATTCTAAGAGCTTTTTGAGCTATGGAATACTGCCCTTAGGCAACATTGGCTATGTACGTTATGTTGGTGCTGGTGAATGAATTGAACTTCTCTACACATGCACATCTTACAGTGTATTATCAGTATAGAATCAATAGAGTCGCTTATCCTTTCTATATCATACCCGTCCATTGATTGCTGCGATAACTATTGTATGACTATGGTTGATTAGACAAACTTTTAAAATTCCCATCATTGCATCATTTGTTCACTTCTAACAATTGGTTGCTATTAAGTTTGGGAATTTCCTTTGTCAGTGACTCGGTCAATTGCAGAATTAACCTGCGGGTTCCTTGAGTTCCAAAAACCCATATCAAAGTTTAGGAACACGCTGTTAGGAAGGCAGGTGGCGTCGCCCAAAGCGTAGTGCAAAAGTCTCACTTCTCGAAATAGACACGCAGATTAAATGACAGGTATTTATTTATCAAACATTTTTGAAGACATCACCATATTAGCCTTCCTCACATGTTTCTCCCCGTGATTGTTCAACCCCCACTTCCCCTTTCTAGCTCTGCCTTTCTAGAAATCGCCTAGCGCCCGCTCACTCGGACAAGCTTCGCGTAAATTCTAGGTGAGTCTAGGTAGGTCCCCTGCAGCAAGGGAAAGGTGGCCTTCGTGGGGAGAGCTCGTCTGGAGAAACTTCCCTCACCTTCAACTTGTCCAACGACAAAACCCATCTTCACCCTTAAGCCATCTTCTTCTTTGAGTCCGTCCCGTCATCTCTTCGGTCTACGGTCTCTAGCACAGCTCTGGTTCTCCCTTCTGGTTACCGGTTTCCATCGTCTATTGTCTCTTGCACAATGTTCTAGAGACAAGACTCGCTATACATCTGATCATACCTCCTCTATCGATTCCTCAATTTTTTCTAACAACTTTACCTGGCCGCAAGCTTCATTGCTCCCGTAGCCAATCGATCTTGGTAAGTTCCATACATGCACCATTATTGCAATTGATAAGCTTTCTATTCTTTTGGGCCACTTTCTGACAGATATCATCAGCTCATCTACTATCCCTGCCGACTTTAGCTTCACCGATTCCAACACGACCTCTCGCAATGGCTTCCGAAGCTCCTACTGGCGAGCTCTCTGCTGCTCAGAAGCTTATGCAGAAGCATGCTGAGGCTCCTCACCATGTAACTGTCGAGGATGCTCCTGATGAGGATCTCCCCATCCATACTCCTGCTGAGGCCTCTAGCTCCGCCGAAGCTCCCGCTCCCAAGCCCGCTCCTAAGCCTGCTTCCAAGACTCTCGACACTCAGTCGCATGAGCTGTTCCCTGAGCTTGGTGCTCCCAAGGGCAAGGCCGCCAATGTTGCACCCATCTGGGGAGCTAAGACAGCCAACGGCGCCGCTTCCAACGGTGGCTCTCGTTCGTCTACTCCCGCCTCTGGAGCTGCCACTCCCAACAAGCCTATGGTCATCCCCGGTCGCAATGTCGAGACGGTCACTTTGGACCCTCAGTACATCATGCCTCGTGGTCAGCTGAAGAGACCTATCCCCGACATCATCAAGGATATCAACCGCAAGTCTCGTGCCAATGTCACCATGGCTACCTCTACCAACGGTCGCTACAAGTTTGATGCTACTGGTCCTCAGGATGTCGCTCAACAGGCGCTCAAGGATCTTGTTGCTCAGATCGGTACTCGAGTAAGTTTGTGTACTTCCGATCCTGCGAAATAGACTAACAATTCCCAGACTGCCATCAAAGTTCCCATTCCCCAGTCGACTCGTGCTCACATCATTGGCAAGGGTGGTTCCATGATCAAGGCCCTTCAGGAGAAGACTGGTGCCAAGATTCAGCTCCCCAAGGTCGACGAAAACAACCCCATCGATGAGGAGGATGACGATGCTACCATTGATGTCACCATTGAGGGTAATGCCCTTTCTGCTGCTTCCGCTCGTGATGAGATTCTCAAGATTGCCGGCGAGCGATCTGCCAATGTCCAGACTAAGGTTCGAGGCATTCCTACTGCTTTCTTCCCATTCATTGCTGGCCGAGAGAACGCCCTGGCTCAAGCCCTCGAAGAGGCCAACGGTGTTCAGATCCGAGTTCCTCCCATGCAGGCTTACTTCTCCGGCCAGAACCCTGTCACCGCTGTTCCCGACCAGTCTCCTGTTTTTGCCCCTGCTGGCAACGAAGACAACCACGTTCAGCTTGCTGGTGACCGTGCCGCCGTCCAGAAGGTGCGCGCTGAGATCGAGCGTCAGGTCGCCGAGCTTCACAAGCAACTTGCTGCTGAGCAACTGGCCATCCAGCGTGGTCGTCACCAGTTCATCATTGGTGACCGAGGTGTTGCAGTAGATGATTTCTTCCAACAAACTGGCTGTACCATCCTGCTGCCTAACGATAACGACGACGACGATACCGTTACCGTTATTGGACCTGCCGATCAGGTTAACGTCGGTCTGGAGAAGGCTATGGATTTGGCTATGGGTATGCAGATGTCTAACCTAGACATTGCCCGATTCCACCGCAACGCTCCTGGTGGTGCTGCCGTCCATGCTGGCAATGTCACAAGATACCTCCGCCAGCGCAAGGAGATTGAACGTCTCGAGAAGCTCTACCAAACCCACATCAACACCCCTTTCTCTGAGGGTGGTGCTCTTCCCTGGGAGCTTTACTCTCGCGAGGGTAAGAACGCTATTCGTGCTCAGTCTGAGATTACTGGTATTATCAACGCTCAGCCTCCATCTCGTATGGCTTCCATCCCGGTTGATCCCTTCTTCCACCAGCACCTTCGCAACAACATTACTCGCCAGGTCAAGAACGACTATGGTGTTCAGGTTGTTGTGCCCGAGGCCTCGGAGAGCAATGTTCCTGTCCTCCTTGTTTTCGAGGGTCCTGACCCTGCTGATGGTCCTTACCAGCTGCCTCGCACCAAGCCGTCAGATGCTGAAGTCCGAGCTTTCAAGCAGGGACTTGAAGATGCCCAGAAGCACATTCTCGACTTGATCAAGAAGCAGGAGGACATTACCAGCGCCACTCTCGATGTTCCGGCCAAGTACCATGAGAGACTTCGCCGATTCATCAAGAAGGAGCAGGAGAGCCGAAAGGCTGACCAGATCCCCGTCCGTGTTACCAAGGTCGGAACAAACATCACTCTTCGCGGTCCCACTTCCGCCGTGGAGTCTCTTGCCGCTAAGGCCAATGCTTTCGTTGAGCAAGAGAAGGAAGATGAGAAGGAGCGTGGATTCACTCTCTCCTTTGACTTCCCCCAGAAGTACGCCAACCACCTGATTGGCAAGGGTGGTAGCAACATCCGTGAGCTTCGAGACCGCTTCGATGTCGAGATCCAGGTTCAGGATGGCAAGGTGGAGTTGAAGGGTCCCAAGGCCAAGGCTGAGACTGCCCGCTCCCACATTCAGAGTCTTGCCCGCACACTGGCAGATGAGACCACCCACACTTTGAAGATTGACCCCAAGTACCACAGGGAATTGATCGGCGCCCAAGGAAGCCAGATCAACCGCCTGCAAACCCGCTACAAGGTCCACATCTTCTTCCCTCGATCTGCAAAGGCCGCGGATGAGGAGCAGTCTAATCTTGATGCTGAAGAGGGTGCTAAGCCTCGACGACAACAGCCCGCTGACGAGGTCATCATCCGAGGTCCCAAGAAGGGAGCTGATGAGGCTCGGGATGAGATTTACTCTCTCCACAAGTACCTGGAGGAGCACGGAGCCACTGCTACTGTTCCTGTTCAGCAGAAGCAGGTCGGATCTCTGATTGGCCAGGGTGGTGCTGCTCTCGACGAGCTTCGCCAGCTTACTGGAGCTAGAATCGACGTGCCCCAAGATCGGGACACTGACATTGTCGAGATCCAGATCAAGGGTACTGCTTCGCAGGTTGCCAAGGCCAAGAAGGTTCTCGAGGAGAAGCGAGCTGTGTTTGACGACACTGTTGTTCGTACTCTCGACGTCGACAAGAAGTACCACAAGGCTCTCATTGGTGCTGGTGGTATGTTTCATTCCCTTTGTGTCTACTTACTTTTACTAATTATGATCAGGTTCCAACCTCCGTGACATTGTTGTCAAGGCTGGTGGCTCTGACGACCGACGAGAGCTTGCCCGCACCATTCAGTTCCCCAAGCAGGAGGCTGATGGCAACACTATCAAGATTGAGGGCCGTACTGATGTTGTCGACAAGATTGTCCAGCGTATTCAGGAGATCGTTAGTGAGCGTGAGAACCAGGTCACAGAGGTGGTTGATGTTCCTATCGAGAACCACCGCTCACTCATTGGCCGTGGCGGTGACACCAAGCGCCAGCTTGAGTCCAAGTTTACCGTGTCGATCGATGTTCCTCGCCAAGGTGATGGCAAGACTGGTGTCAAGCTGACTGGCCGACCCGAGAATGTGGCTAAGGCAAAGGAGCACATTCAAGGACTTGTTCAGTCACAGCAAGGCGAGACCATCCAGGTTCCTCGCAACCTTCACCACTCCATTTCCAACGGTGGTCAGTTCTTCCGTCAACTCCGTAACAACTACTCAGTGACTGTTGACCACGCCGGCCAACCTCTTCCTGCTAAGCCTGACTCTTCTACCCGTTCCAATGTCGGAGCTCTGCCTCTGATCACTGACGACGACGATGCCAACTCTGAGGCTCACTCGTGGAAGGTTGTCCAGATTGATGCTGGTGATGATGGCGATTTCCCTTGGGTTCTTCGCGGTTCTCCTGAGAACGTTGGAAAGGCCAAGGATGCTATCGCCAAGGCTGTCGAGCAGGCGAAGAACAACGACGCTACCGGCTACCTTGTCCTCCCCGACCCTCGCACTTACCGACATGTCATCGGTCCCAACGGCTCCAAGGTCAACGCCATCCGCAAGGAGAGCAACTGCAAGATCCAGGTCCCCCGCGACCAGGCCAAGGATGAAGCCATTGAGATCATTGGAACCAAGGAAGGAGTTGAGATGGCCAAGGACCTTATCCTTGAAGCTGTTCGGGAAGGCAGCAGCAAGACCCGGGATTAATGGTAAACGAGTTCAATGCAATGGTATTTATTAAGGACACGACAACAGATGGAGCATTACCGGGAGAATGAATATTCATATTAAAAGCAGAGTTTGAAGATTAAAATTACTGTAATGAAATAAAAATAATGATGTCTCATGTCTCATTTTCTGCTCTTTCGCTCTGTGTAACATGCTGATGTGCAGCTCTTATTCGTGTTCTTCGTGTTCGCGACGCAGTAGAGTGGAAATTAAGCATCAATTAGATTCAATCACGTGCACGTACTGGTGCTCCCAATCTGAAGGACTGCGGAACAGTTGACATTTACACACCGCCCGTCTATATCTCTGTGTCTCTTCCGTGTTGTAGGACCTAAGTCCGTTCTTGCAAAGTCCATATTCTACGGATTGAGTACAGATCTGCCAAAATGGGTTCTCAATTGACCCCCGCGACAGCCCCCTGGGACGCAGTCTCACCCCAGGAGCAGCTCTTTGTCCTAATTACAGGCGCCAACAGGTTTGCTCTACTATCAGCCACCAAAACAAGCTTATAGCTAATAATTGTCAAGCGGAATTGGCCTCAGTATCGGAGAACGCCTCATCGACGAATTCCTCGCTACACAGTCTTTGCGATCGCACCTTATCCTCATCCCTACCACACGATCTAAATCCAAGTCCTTGCAAACGATCAAGGCTCTTCGCGACTATGCACGAAAGGCGGCGCAAACTTCTAAATCGCTACAGTCGAGGGTCGGGAGCTCGTATCGTTGGGAGGACACTGTTGCGAGGGTGCATGTGCTGAGCTTGCAGGTTGACCTTTGCGACTTGCGCGGGGTATACGCCTTTGCGAATGCGCTGGTCCATGAACCCGTGAGTAACCCTGAGGGATTGGAGGGTGAATATCTACGAAATGTGCGCATTCCAAGACTGGATACTGTGGTCTTTAACGCTGCGTACGGTGGCTGGTCAGGGGTCAATTATCCCAAGGCCATATGGGTGATCTTGACCGAGGGGTTGGTGCAGTCTGTTACTTGGCCGAGCTACAAGATGGCGCTTCCTACGGCCCGCCTGAATGACAAGTCCAACTACAACTATGTGAGTTCAAATTTGGAAATCGAGGGTTCAATTGATTGACTTTATTTAGCCTAAGGAGCCGCCACTTGGCGAAGTCTTCACGGCATGTGTTTTCGGCCACTACGTACTAGCCCACGAACTTCTTCCTCTGCTTTGCCGCCAGTCTGAAACCGAGGCACCAGGTCGCCTTGTTTGGTCCAGTAGTCTCGAAGCTATTGAACGTGTCCTGGATATGTCAGACCTTCAAGGCTTTCGATCCAACGGACCGTACGAGTCCGCAAAGCGAGTGACCGATATTCTCTCTCTCACTGCGACTCTGCCTGCCACCCTACCTTCTTCAAGCCGCTTCTTTACTCCCGACGACCCTGCTGAGGCCCGTGATAAGCCAATTCGACCGCGCATGTACTTGACCCACCCTGGTATTGTTGCTAGCACGTTGTTTCCTGTTCCCTGGTTTTTTATGTGGGCGTATGAGCTTGCGCTTCTGATCAGTCGTTGGATTGGTTCGCCCTGGCATAATACGGACAGCTATACGGGTGCCAAGTCTCCTGTCTGGATTGCCCTTCAGGAGCAATCTGCTCTTGATGAGATGGAAGCTGAGCGCATCAAGTGGGGCAGTAGCTCAAACCGTCACATGCAAGTCGAAGTGAAGAAGACAGAAGTTGAAGGATGGGGCTGGGAAGGCAAGGTCGAAGATGCAGCGGCACTGGAGGCCGATACCGCTGTTGGTGTTTTCAAAAAGACTGCTGGACGAAAAAGGGGAGCTCGCGACGTGACCAAGGAAGATATTGTCAAGTTCGAGGAACTGGGCGCTGAGTCTTGGAAGAGGATGGAGGACATGCGATATGAATGGGAAAATATTCTGGGCGTCAAAAAGGCATAGGTTGGTTTCGGCAGCATAAGGTATAATCACTCAGGGCAAAGGACTATTGGCGTTGAATTAGAAAGGGGACGGGTATTGCGACAACAACGCAAAGATAATTGCTTTGTAAACAACATTGGTATGATGAGCTTCCAAATCCAATTCCCTAGACGCCTGTAACCGTTATCACGGTGTATCTGCTCATGAAACTGAACCCTCAGGGGTTAGTAGTGATGGTTGTGTTTGAGCGGTTCTGCTCATCAGAACGGATGCGACGAAGTGCTGTCTTGCTCTCCCGCCCAAAAAGACCCAGACACAATGGCAAGGGTACTACAGCAAGTGCCAGTACCGCTTGAAAAATCAACGCGTTCTTCATGTTCTTCGGAGGGTTTGCGTCCTTGCCCGCTGCAAGCGCATCACTGATAATGATGAATATAGCACCAAAGAGCTGGCCGCCAGCCCAGGCAATCGTCGAGGTCACCTCAGGGCTGAGTGGGTGACTCAATTCGATAAGAAACTCGAGTGCGACAGGGACCAGAGAAAATGATGAGGCACCCAAAATGGCAAGGACCACGTAGGGTCCAGCAACGTCCTTGGTTTCCGGCATCCAAACAAAGATCAAGTAGCTGATGCCAACGAGAGGTACGAGGATCTTCAGTGTCAGAAGGAAACTCTTTGTGCGATCTATGATCGGGGAGGACACGGCGGATGCGACAAGACCAACAACAATCAGGACTGCACCACCAATACCAGCCTCGTCATCACTAATGCCGTAGGGCTTGAGCATCTGGTTGAGGAGAGAAGAGACCGAGTTGAAGAAGCCGACATAGACAGCAAACGGAATGAGAATCAACCAAACCTCCAGAGAACTGCTCAAAACACCAATCGACTCGCGGAGACTGAGCTTAGGGGTCTCGGAAGCGGGACCAACTGGTGAAGGGGGTTTCGCAGGAATAACGAAAGCTGGGAGGGCGCAGACAGATGACTACAGCTGTTAGTTGGGCATATTTACAAACATGAGAAGAACCTACAATTATGGAGATGTAGAGTACCATGCTGGAAACATCGCCGGCTTTCTGAACCATAAGTGGTGTGATGAGTTGTCCAATCGCCGCGCCAAATGGATTGGCGAGACTTGCCAGAGCTGTTGCGGCAACACGGCCACGGTCAGTGAACCACAAATCCGAGTATCGAGTTGGTGCCGCAAGAATGAACGGTTGGGCAAAGCCGATGACAATCTCCCCAGCCATTGCACAAGCGAGGCTTCCCCCACTAGCCTTGGTAGAACCAGCATATCGAATCCAGTTACCGATGAGAATGAGAACAGCAGATGTCATAAAGGCCAACTTGGGGCCTCGATGAAGAATGGCAATACTGATGGGGAAGACAGCCACAAATGCGAGAAAGAAAGCAGTGCTGATCCAGTTAATGGTTGATTCGCGAACATTGTAGTACTCGGCAGCGTGTGATGCTACTGGTGCATATGTCATCCACTACGGACTTCCTGTCAGCATACATCTCGAATCGTTTAGCGGCTGGAACTTTAAACTTACATCCCACGACACAATAATGTTCATAAGGGTAAGCTGGATAAGACCAAACCAGCGTCGTTTGTAAGTGCGGTACTCGGTTGAGGCTCCTTGGCGAATGCTACCATCTCTCTCACCCTCGCCTTCGCCCTCGATCTCGCCTGTTTCCCGAGGCTCGTTGAGAGTGAAGTCGCGGGAACCCAGCTTCTGTTTGCGCCAGAAGCGAACACCCGGGCCGTCGCCACTCATGATAGGTTATACGAGGATGTTTTGTGTTCGATTGTTTTCTTCTGGTGTATGCTGGTTTTGAGTCCACAGCGAAGTTGTCAGAGCGTGGAGTTGGAAGATCGTGTGGGAGGAATGTGGGTTGAACAATTGGAAATGTTGATCAGTGGTAAATAGATGTGGTAACAGGGACAAGGTTGCAATATGCAATCCGGATGACTGTGTCAATCAGTGTCAGTATCAATCCCGGTGCCAGTGCAGTGCTGGTGCAGTTGCAAGTTTTGAACCGAGACCGGCAAGCAAGGGCGGGCGCATATAATATCCGATTAAGACGACATATGAGAAGAGGTCGCGATTCGGTATTGGCGGAGAGGTAGAGGGATATCAAGATAGGTGGCAGTTATTGAAAGAAAAAGGAGATCCAGCAGATGATCGAAGATTAGTGTCGAAAACTGCTGTATCACATCATGGGATTCAAAGTCGCCTCACGGTAGTATCTTCTCCCCGAGTAGATTTTTCGGCTGTTGGTTCGACGTTGTAGTTATTGCTTGATGTTTGCTAGGGATCCTCGTCTCGGCCGGAACTTCCACTCGTGTACAACAAATTACCTAATTAAAGATACTTTGACTGACGTGATGGGTCGATCGCGAGTCGTTTCAGCTTGGCGATCCTAGTGGATTCAGAATAGAAGGAAGCATTGAATATGGAGTCGACGGGTAGATGATGAAGAAATAAGGATCTTATTCTTGATCTTGACCCAGATTGAAAAGAGGGGGGATATTCATTCTAATCTATATTGGAAGGAACTACTCGGATCTCAACTGCCATTCCATGTAAAGAGCCAGATTCTCGCTCTTCCACAAAAGGAAGCCGTGTGGCACCTTTGCTATCACCTGCACTTTCCCTGAATCTCGTTCGAGTACAACAAGCGACGCTAACGGTTGCGGCTTGGGCTGAGGGTGCTCATAGGCTCTTTCAGACCGGGGATTGGCAATCCCTAGCTGCAACATCTCTAACCTTCAACCAACCGAGCGCAGATTAATTACTAACTTGATATAGCCTTGGCCGACACCATTCTAGGTAATTCATGTTTAATGGCGATACGAGTAGAAGAGAATTCTCGCTATTCATTCTCTGCATGCCCCTGAATGCCGAGTTGTTTGATCTCGGCAGGTCTTGAGCCTCAATGTGGCTTTCCATACTACGAATCAGAGCATTCCAGTTCTTCAGTTGCCAGACGTTTCAATTACAACAGTCGCGGATAACGGACTTCAATAGCAAACCTTAAAATTGAGGGGAAGCGAGATTCCAGTGTAGGATTCTTGTTCAAGGTCGGTTAAGTTTCCATGCAATGGTACATGCATCTGACTCAACTTGGCAAGCTATCTTGTTTAACCGAGTTCAGTCTATGTATGGCACGGTTATCAAATGGTGCAAATCCCAGACTTACCAGGGTCAAGAAGGTAGATCAAACATGTAAAGGATTAGATTGATATTATCCCCTATCGTGTATATACAGTAAGTACTACAAGGTTATCCCAAGAGTATACCAAGCATCATGCTGTATACCTGAATTTGGCAAATACAACCGACTCGAACCCATGATTGACAAGAGAAATCAGTTAAGCAATGACCAATTGTCAGAACTTAAGCCGAAACAAAGTTCTTCAACGTCTAACCCTGCAAAGACTGTAATATGCTTTAACTCAACCCTGTCCGAAACCCATCCCTCCCAGTGAACTTGAGCACCCAACCAGGACTGTGCCGTAGTTCCGATGTACAAACCAATTCATCCTATCTCGTTGATCACCGAGGTCTCACATGTGTGATATATATGGTTATGAATTCGACTGGTTCATGAAGTCTTACAAGAAAATATGAGACAAGGATGCTTGCTTCGGCAAATGAATAAATACCAGGAACTGGCCAATCTTTTCTTCAAGAAAAGTTCCGAAACATGTACCTTGAGACTTCCACCATCTCAGTCCAATTCCATGATCATCGTGTTCCGGGTCATGGTTTTTAATTTCTTCATTAAGCTTGCCAGGAAATACTCGGGATTGGGTGGGCTATATCCTTCGATATCGCAAAGGTCGCAGCATTCTGACTATTGTCAATCCTGCCAGGGACAGGCCTGATAAGTACAACCGCAAGGGTCGACGTAATATCCAGCAGCAATGAAGGTCTTGTTATGACATACACTTATCCGAAAGGTAAAGCATTCGGCACCCATGAACGTAACAAACTTTCATCTGGGAGAAGAGAACTGGATAACGAGAAGGGCAACGTCCCTACCCTTAAGACACCAGGGCAATTCAGATTGTCATACATCAGAGTTCACAGTCTTCGCTAGGTCAAATATGGCGCAAAGTCAATCCATGGTCTAGGTATAAAGTGCAAGAAATCTATTCAGGCGTAAGAGCGTATGGTACAGAGAGAGCCGGCATCAGAGTAATTTCTGGCCGACTTGACACCCAACAGATGAGCATTCGTACAAGGGAACAGCCTTCCGTAGTGGGCAGCATTACCTCGTTCCGGCTCCAGGCATCTTTTCGACGTGTATGTAACCATTGCGTCGTCGTAGTAACCGATAACCAATGTTGTGAGTTTACTTGAGCTGAGACCAAAGCTTGGGAGCGGCGCAAGCGGTCGCACAGTGGGCAAGGTGGAAGACTAAATGCATGTTAGTAATTGAGGTGACAAGTGAAATAGTCAGGGTCCAAAGGATCCATGACGCAGTTGGGCTCGGGTTGACATACACTCCTCGACACAGTCCTCCTTGGCACCACCCTCGCTCTCCTGCTGCTGAACACGCTCAACACACTCGTCGAAGTGGTGCTTGGCGGGGGCACATTGGGGAGCGTTCTTGCACTCTGTAGATGCGTTAGTATATACGTATTGCGGCTTATTATCGCGGTTGAATGGAAAGCAATAGGTAAATCGCTCGTCGCTTCTGGGACCGGATATTGGCGTAAGTGATTGACGAACCTTCCTCGAGAGTCTCCTTGGGGTCGACGAGCTCCTCCTCATCATCCTCATCCTCCTCTTCTTCCTCTTCCTCCTCCTCCTCCTCCTCCTCCTCGGGCTCGTTCTTAGACTCGGTCTTGGACTCGTTCTCCTCCTGCAATATGGTCAGTACTAGATCAATCAACCCCGCAAGACATTATATGCGCTGTCCGAGACGTCGCATCACAATTGATCAACGTCATGACCAGAGACAAAAAATGCCTTGCTCAGAAAAATCCCGTACCTGGGGCTCCTCAGCAGGAGCCTCGGCCTCAACGACGCTCCATGGCGTCACAGCCTCGACAATATCGGTGAAAGCGTCCCAGATACCCATTGCGACAGGTGGAAAGATTCACAATGGCGAGTGGTGGTTTCGATTGAGGTGTCGTTCGTCGATTCGTCGTTCCTAATCGTAAGAGGTCGGAAGCTCTCGGCCAAAGTCACGAAATGAAAACTGATCCGGAATTGAGACGTTTTGATTGGTTACAAGGAGCCGGCTTTGTCATACGTCATCACGTGATTATCCGCGTGATCCTACATGCCTTTTGGCCGACCCAATTCCGTAGAGAATTAATAAATTGAAGTTATTTATTTTAAACATTTCATATGGCTATCCAAAATCGCTTTGTTTCTAAGTTTGGAGACTTCCTGATGACGGAAAACATAATGTCTGGCAACGTCATAATTCTAGCAGAACCCTTGAAATACACAACCCCGAGAAACAACAAGAGACAGTACAAAGAGTTAATGAATGCTGCTGAAATCTTGGTATCTGTAATACGACCACAGCTCATTGGCGTGGTTCGGTGCGGCCGTTAATCATCATTTTCGTATGCTCCCCGATCAATCTCGCCCCGGACGTGATCCTCCAATCGAATATTCAACTGCTGCGCCTGTGCTTCGTCGTAATTTGGTGGTGGTTCATCCGGTGCCCTGGCGCTAGCAGAACTCTCTGATCGATTGGGGCGTACATCTGTTGAGGCTGATGTAGATGCGGGTTGTGCAGAAGAAGCTTCATAGGCAGGCAAAGGTTCATCAGGAACGTCAGCGCCTGGGCCCATCTCACGGCGCATTTCTTGGTACTGGTAGAGGCGTTCCCGCAGTCTGATGTAGGCTTCATTGAAATCCATCATGCCTCCATCTGAAAAAGTGAATTTAACCTCAAGACGAGGAATATCTGGCGGTATACCACCTCCAGATACAGGGATACAGTCTGATTTCCAGACCCATCCCCACCACATTGAAGATGAAGTGGTGGAATCTTGGAACTTTAGGATTGGAGCGCTGAAGGACTCAAACTTTGGTTCCTGTGTAGGTTTTAGAGGAAGGTATACAATCTGAGAGGTTAGTAAAACATTCAAAGATGTTAGGGGCCATCATCAAACTTACTCTCTTGTTGGTTAGGAAGAGGGTGCCTTTGTCACTTTTGCGTTGAAACGAGGCACATCGTGCTCTCAGCTCCTGGGGCACAGACAGGTCGCATGAGATTCTCGATTCGAGCTTCATCAAGATGCGTTCATTGCCTAGCTTGACGAAGCCGCCCTGATTGAGCATAACCCAGCTATCGGCATTGTCAGGATCGACGGGCCGCGAAGGAGGACGGCTCGTTATAAGATAGTCATGAGGATTGTCCATTATAGGGCGGGGTCCATGACTCCATGGGCCGAAGATGGCGGGGCTGTGAACGGGACGGGCTGCGCCGTGACCGCCGTATACGGAGGGAACAAGGCGGAGAAGACGGAGGAGGTATACGGAGAGAAGGACGGGAGAAGGGCACGGGTAGAGGTACGGAACGGGGGTATTGGTATGGGCACGGAGCAGGGGAACGGCAGGGCTGACAGTCTGCAGTATACAAGACCGGGCGGACAAGTGAACCAAATACCAAGAGGGAAAGGTTGAGAATAACTTGACAAGACAGGACGGGAAGAGGAAAGGCTCAGAGAAAGAGATTCAGAGAAAGGTTCGCGAAAGAGGCTTACTTTATCGACATTGTCGCGTACAGGGTTCAAGCGACCCTAGCTCGTGGGCAAATGGCTCCAGGCTCCGTACCGACAGGTTCAGGACGTGCAGGCAGCTTTAGTAGCTCCGAGATCTTGGAGCAAGTGGCTCTGGCTCTGGCTGCGGCGGCCGGGTTGGCCTTTGGCCTTGTCTTGTCTTGGGTCTTTGGGGCCTGTGGTGGGGGGTGGACCCTCTCTGTTCCGTTCCGTTTTGCGAACGAGCGGGCGAGGGAACAACCGACCGAGCGAGGTATGGTATGGTATGGTATGTATTGTACTGGCTGTACTGTACGGAGAGTACGTACGTAGCAGCAGCAGTAGCGAGAGAAGAGAAGCCCAAGTTCCAGATCAACCGAGGATGATTGTCAGGGCCTGTCGAATAGGATCAGAACGACCCGGGGCCAAGGCACAGGATACAGTACCTAGTAGTAGATAGACTGGGGGGACGAGACAAGTAGATGCTGTAACGTTGGGAGATCCTAAGCCAAGAAAGCCAAGCAAAGAGTAACTCGAGGCGAAGGAATAAAGGTGAAGCAGAGTAGAACAAAGCTTGACTGAGAGTGACTGACTGACTGACTGAACTCAACGGGACGGAACGAAACTGGTGGCTGGAAGTGGTGCCGTAGTAAGGTGGGGGAAGCGGCGATTTGATCGAATTTGCGGGCGAAGACTTGATTTGTGGGCGTTGGGTCAGTTTGATGTCGAGTCACGGTAATAATTAGCCAGCTGAGCTTATTGAAACTCAACTGAAGCCAGGAGCACGATGTGATGGATGGGCAAAGCAGATCTTAGCAGCGGAAGGATACGGATGAGTAAGTTAGTACTAGGTTGGTGAGGTTGATGACGGTTGTGGTGGTATGGATGCTATGCGAAGTGATGCGATACGAATGGGATCACTCATCAGCCAGAGTTTTAGTGGATTAGGTCAAGTAAGGTTGGAGATTCAAACTTTTGGGCTCTGGCGCTGCCCTGCGGATCGTCTTTTTTGGGCCGAGCCGCGCGGATGATCTGGTCGAAGAACTGCCTGTTCACGTTAAGGAGCTACTACTGTATCCTCTGACATTCCGCGATTATCATTGGTCAGAATTTTGAAAAAAGTACGATGTATCGCTGTCCAGGTCCCTAGGTCTACTGTAGGTCAGGTTTGTATTGAAACAATCCCATGGACCACGTGCTTATTTCAACCGAGACTAGGTAATTACACTAACAATCAGCAAAATGCAACTGTACCACTGTCTTGGGAAACATCCTGGCTAATTTCAAATATACCTTTCACAACCAACTAACAGCTGTAACCTGATACTCCATCCAATCTCTTTTTCTTATGGGCCCTGGATACTCTATCCAGTTCAAGTGAACTTTGCCGAGCTCCTGTTGGAAAGCTGAACAGGCCGAAACCAACTCTCATCTTTCAGGAAATCAAGGAGCCCGTCCCGCCTCCCCATTTACCGACCGTTCGCCTCCACTAGGTATCAGACAAGGCGAGATCCTGCAGCTCCAGTCGATCATCCGTCTTCTCCGTCCCCAAAGGACCAGACCAAGAACACACTAGCCGGTCGACGTTTCGTTGACGAGGACAGAACATCTCAACAGCATTAGTCTTTCAGAATGACCAATTGTTGATCTGCAGTGAAGAAATCCCTCCTTGTGGGCTGTCTGTCAACGTCAGTTCCATCACCCGACATGCTTGTCCACATTAGCGAAAGCAACGTACGTAGTAGGCTAGCAGACCATTGCGTTGTAACTAACTGCAGGGCCCATCTTTGTCAGGCCCCAGAACCGGCCCAGCACCCACTAACAACTTTACATCAACCCAAGCCAGACCACGCCGGAACTAAAGGACAGAAGATGGTAGACGCGAAGGTATTCGGACCCTCTCCGAATCAGAATGATCAAGCCACGGGCTCTCAATCGGTGACTGCCACGGAGATGTGACGAGAGGGGAGGGGTATCGGCGAAGTGCTGTTACCATATTGTAGTGTAGTCTTGTCGTGATGGCATGCATTATTTAGCTGCATCATACCAACACTTGGTGTAGCCCTCGTGCATGCCTGGGTTGTGGGACAGGGATAGGGCACTATTTATGAGTGCTGTTCATTTTGGAGGGGTCTTTGAAGGGCCATGACCATATCATAGGTTCGTCAAGTATCTGAAGCTACTTTGAGCATAGCACTCGCTCCTCTTGTTTATGCCCGGCAAAGGCCCAGTAGTTAGACTAACAAGGCGCATGTTCCAATTAACCCCCAGTAATCGTTCCCACCATGCAAGTTACGAGTCCAGATGCAGTCAACAACGGCTGATCTTGGCAGAGTCAGGCTTTGATATCACTTGTGCGTTCCATAATACTGTAGCTGCTGTTAGTTCCTATCCCATTGAAGAGTAGCCCGACTTCCAATTGGGTAAGATATCCCACTTCACTGAACCATGGACCACCATGTCAGAGTTAGAGAACCCCAGTGTCCGTGTGTCTGGGGTTGATACAGTAGAGCGGTTAGTTGAGGGTTGATTGAGTTGCCCACCTAAGAGCTAGCGTGCATCTACTGTACTTTTGGCAGCATCTAATCTGTTATCATTATACCAAAAATCGACATGTATCACGAGATGTTGTTGATTACCATTCTCATCACTAATTTCGTGGTCTAAGTCTATAAAATGTATTGGATGTGCTAACAGTAGTAGGAGCCCAGAGGCAGTTGCCGTAGGGTATTGTTTATGTCGTACCTTCCTCGAATTAAAGTACCCCTCAGTCCAGCTCCCACCTTCCCATCCATCCATTCTCGCAACTTGTCCATTCACCACTCAGGTTTCAATCGCTTCCAAAAACCTTCCTGAAACACCAGCCTCCCCGGTACCTAACAATGTCTCATCATGACTCGTCGGTACGTAGACGGATAGCTACGGTGATAGGGAAAATACTGACTTTCTTCTGACACCCTCTTACATCGGGTCCCTTGTCTATAAGACACGTCATTTTCTTAAATCTCAAGCTTTTACTAACTGATTCAGATTCGATACCAGGGATGGAGCTGATAGTCACGACACTCTGCGTCATGCACGAACAACTATAAACCTTCGCACAATTCCACGAATAGTCTGAACGGGGCTATCAAAAGAGAAAAGAGTCAACAACGGACGTCATGCCAGTTGCTCCGCTTGAGCTCCTAATCTATCTCTGTCACTAGTTTCGCAGTTTTAGCCGCGAATAAGAAGGCTGTTTCTTTTCGACTTCCTGTTCCCGCCCTGGAAATAATTTCACGAGTTCGTGATTGGCTTCGGTCAACCTCTACCTTGTCCTCCCCACCGAGACCGTGCATTCTAACATGTATTGGTAATGATTCTGATTGGACTGAACGTCCGGGCTGATGGGAGGCTCCGGAGTCATGGAGCTCGGAGTCCCGCTACAACATTGAACCTCCACCGATTACCGGCAAGTTCTAAACCGGCAGCATACGCACTTACAACGTCAAAAGGGCCTTCATCCTTCAAATCTGCGACTTACTGATAGACCTCGCTCACCGACTCGTCCGTATTCGCTTAACTTTCCTGCTCTGGGACGCAATCAGCATGAGTTACAAATCCCAAGACTTGATCAAGCTGCAGCAGTACTCGGCGTGCGATATTTCAGATGCCCTGCTCAAGCTAAAAGTTCCAGGCGCCGGGTTTGTTGCCGATCTGAACCTTTACAGCTCTCCCGAGGTTGATGGAACATCGGTTACTGTTGCGCCAGTTTCAACAGTCCTGTTCGCCCCGAAAGGACAGGACGTCGCCGAGACGCAAAAGAATATTCCTGAAGGAACCCATTGGGCTGATCTGACAGAAGCAGGAACTATTGTGGTCCTCAAACAGCCAGACGGTCAAAAGAATGCTGTCTGTGGCGGAATTATGGCGATTCGCATGAAAGTGTGCCAAGCCAAGGGCATTGTCGTGGCAGGGCGGGCCAGAGATATCCAGGAACTAAAGAGCACCTCCCTACCGGTGAGTGCCATGGGCCCTTTTCTTTGGGTAAGCTGAACGGAGATTTGCAGATTTGGGCTCGTGGGCTGTCCACAGTTGGAGTCGGTGGAGGTAGCGTCCCCTGGGCGATTCAGGTACCTCTTGACATCGACGGTACCCTCGTCTGTCCCGGCGACCTGGCATTTAGCGACCCAATCAACGGAGTAGTCGTCATCCCTAAAGACAAGGTTTCTGCGGTCCTTGAGTTGCTGCCCAAGCTGACGGCGGCTGATGACAAGGTTAAGGAGGATGTTCTCAAGGGAGCAACGGTCTACGAGTCCTTTAAAATCCACCGAAGTAACATATGAGAGACGATTTGAACAGACGACATACAACGGAAGCTTGACAACAACAAGCTCATTACACGCTGCAAGTGCAGGGCTCAGTGAACTACTGACTGGGCAGACTAAGTGTGGCTGTTCTTACAGGGACGCATTACGGGACTGTCAGATCTACAATTTGTGTCAAGCAACTCAGGGGGGCGATGGATCGACAATACAGTTGTGTTTTATGTCATCAGTTCATTAACATGCCATCATCAGAGTAGGATCTCTACCATGACTACCAAACAACCAACAATCAACCTTTAGCTCCAGACCAATAAGGAAATACATGCAAGAAGAAACATATGCTGGCATATCCAGACGCGTGCCAGCTCATCACAGCCACACATCCTTATCTCTACTCGGAGTGGAAGGCTTATCCAGTCCAAAATCGAGCTTCGGCATCTCAATCTTTGGCGCCGCCTCGACAGGTTTCTTTTGACCTCCGGTTTTCTTTGGCGAAGTCCGAGCGTCAGGGGGCGGGCCGTATCGCACGTCCTTGACATCCCAGCCGTCTTCAACTGCCGCCCCGACCCACGTCCGAAGACCGTCGTGCACACTGCCATAAAACTTCTCTTTGCAAAGGCGCATACTGCCGCCCAGACAACGCTCCCATCCAGAAATACGGAATTGCGCGCGAAGGTTATTGCGCTCCTCCATGGTCAGCGTACAAGCCAAAATAGCATTCATGAGGTCAAGATGAGAGGCAAGGTAGTTAGTCGCGTCCCATTCAACTCCGCCCACATATGGTGCTGCTGGGACCGGCGGTCGCTCCTGTGGGAAGTGCCGAAGCATGTAGCTGTAGGGAGCATTGGCGTGATCAGCGGACGAGGGGCGGTCCGAAGGAAGGGATACGACGTTGACGTTGTGAAGGAAGATCCAGAACACCTCTTTAGTGACACTGACGACCTCCTTATTCCAAACCCGGTATGGTCTTTCCTGTCTCATTTCCAAGACAAATGGCAGAGGGCGCTGGTTCTCGTCGGGCTCAGGATCTCTCAGGTGAGCCAGAATTCTCTGCGCCCGCGTGACACGTTCAGCTGGGGCAGCAGACTCGATATACGTGAACAAGACCGAGGTTACGATGTTGCGGGTGGTGAATTCACTAGGACCCTTCTTTTCAGGGTCAAAAAGCATGTGAAGAAGCTTCGGGAACAGATCAGCCTGGATTGTGTCCAGGTATTGCATGGCACGAGCTGTCGTCGATAGTGCCTTGAGGCAGAGCAGGTTTTCGTGAAGGAGTGCGTCCTCATGTTCTTCCCTATGGGGTGTTAGTAACAGTAACGGGAAATGCATTATGCCTTTGCTTACCTCCATTCAACCTCCATGATACGGTTGAGAAGATCTACAATCTCCTTCATACCCCCTTGTTGGATAAAGTCTTCGATCCATGCCACTGTCTCGTTCCTCAGAAGCAGGCGGAGCTTGTGGACCTTGCCAACCTCGACAAGCTGTGGTTTCTGGACCTTTCTAAGGTACGCAACGTAGTCGGCAGGCCCTTGGTTGAGTTTGATCTTGGAGAGGATGCCAGAGTTGGAGATGGAGCTAGTGGAGGGAGCTTCGCTGACGACGCTGTCTGTGGACTTGCTTCTAAAATGGCGGCCCAGTGTTCCCTCGCCCTTTGATTTCTTGATGGGAGAACTGGGCTCCTTGGACTCTTTTCTGCCTCGCGACAGGTTGAAGCTTTTGCCTCTTGATCGCTTCTGCTTTTCTTCGTTTTGCGTGGCTGCTTCCATAATCAAGCCACTGTTGGCGCTGTCAGTCGAGCAGGGCCTGTCGGATCGAGAACCTTGTGATTCGGCCCAGTCCTGTCGGATAAACTCCATCTTAATTGTGTCGCTCAAATTTCTCATCTTGTACCTCTGGTTCTCCGGGATGTTTCGCCGATCCAACATGGCTTCCAAGTGCTTATCAATGTCCTTGGGGTCGAGCGCTGGCGTTGTCGGCTCTGGTACGGTTGACGTCGACTTGGACCGCTTGTGGCTGAATGTAGTAAAGACGCTCAAGACCTTACCTCGACCGGTCCTACTTCGAGCCTCAGTCGAATCCTTTGATCCTTTGCGGGAATCGTTGGAAGTGCGTGGCTTGGTGGGTGATGGCGGTGGCTCCATCCCGCCGAGTATGGGGTGGTATGACTTTGGTCGCTCCTTGACAGCAACTCGACTGCTGCTGTAGCTGTCTTGAGCAGTGGGAGGCCTGGGTTCATCCATACTTCGGCGACTGCTCTGTGCTTGGTCAATGAGCGGTCTGGATGCGAATTGAGAGTATATAGGTGTTTGTGCAGGAGGCGCCATAGGCTCTTCGGGTGTTTGGTTTTCTTTGTCCTTGGATGAGTTGACATCGTCTTCTGAATTGAATCTGCCCAGGTTTCGCAAGGTCTTGGGCTTGAGCAGACCAGCAAGGTTTGTCGCAGACTTTGGTCTTTTTGGTTTCGTGGGGGAGGGATCGCGAGACTTGGACGCCTTGGCTTCTTTGCCTGGGGCGGTTATGATTGTGAAATTGCCAAAGCTGTTCTTGGTAGGCGACTGCGATCGGCCTCGGTCCTGTCGCTGCTGCGGCTGTGGCAGACGGGGTGCAGACGTTTGCTGGTTGTACTGCAATTCCGCCAGCGCACCGGGGTTGGAGTAATTCTCGAAGGCCATGATCTTTGGGTGGATGGGAGAGACGGGTACGTCGAAGGGATTTTGGAGGGATTGGGTATCGGTAGAGGCTTGACGACGATGTCTGAAGCCTTCGAAAATGGTCGACTTTGGCCGTGGTCTTCGGACCTGGTCGAAGCTGCTGGAGTCGTTGGAATTCATGGTGTCGTTGTGTTGTATCGGTGCTTTATATGAGAGCTACTATGTAAGGCAGTACTGGCGCTCACCCACACCGTTTAGAGCAGGTTCAGTACAAGTGAAGAAGTATGTAGAGTATAGTAAAGTAGTAAGGTAAGAGAGAAAAGCGACAATGAACAAAAACAAGTGCAAGTGTCGCTCACGCCGACCGGTGAGAATAAAAAGCCAACAAAGACTGCAGATTGGGAGAGCTACAACGCCATTGCAATCAAGATAATAAAAAGTTCAGGTGAAGTCAAAGTCGAAAGTCGAAAAGAAGAGCTGGGGATTGGGACTGGGACTAGTAGGAAAGCAAGGTCGTTTAGGCCAAGCTGAAGGTCAAGGCACGGTTAGGTTAGCAGGGCCGTTGCACTGTTTATCGGGGAACGGTCGTTGACGGGGCGACGGGGAGCTATCTTATCGCACCAGTGACCAGTGACGGTGGTGATGCCGATGCAGGATGGCGTGTACAAGCTCGGATGGTAGAATTCTTGGTAATAAAATTTGTTTACTTTTTTTCTGATGGTCCTATTAATTCTTGCATGTTAAGATACTAGTTCTGCAATGCGGGTGAGGTTCAAGAATGCAATTCATATCCAATGGTTAATGAATCCTAGCTTGACCGTTGATCAACCAACATGAATTCCAATGTAGAGTTTGTAAGCTTTGAATAACGTCTTTATCTAGCCCAATCGACTTTAAAACTACATTTGAACTATATTTAGTCTATCATGCACAGTTGAATCTATACGCTACTCAGATTAGTTGGCATCTCTGTCATCCAGACCATGATCATGAGTCCAGAGCTGAACAATGACGAAGTGGTCCAAGAGCCGGGAATATCCTTGTTTGTTGTTTACTTTTCTGTACTCTTTAAACCGTCCAAGCTTTAGAAGTGGTCCTTCCGTCTTGAGTCCATAATAAAAATAAATGGACGGAGAAAATTGTACGTCATGATATGGAGGTGGTTGCTTTTTTCCATGATGACTCTCATGACACAGATGCAAGTAAATATTGATTCGGTCGACCAGGATTGAATACGATATTGATATTGATGGAAAGCGGGAGGTGGTAACCTACTCAATGGATGTGATGCGGGGTAGTTAGCGGGCAACGGGAATAATAATAATAATAATTCATGTCGAATATAACCTCCATGTAAGCATGTTCAATGTAACACAGAACAGTCGAGACTTGGGATGAAGAGTAAACACAAGGTTGTTTTGATCTTAAGAGATCGAGTTATATGAGATCTAGATGAGATAGCAAAGATGATTGTTTCATCATGAGTAGTCTTGAGTATGATTTAGGGTGGTAGACAATCTGCAACGATTGAGGTGTTATGATGAATATCATGAAACATTCACGGGAACCTGATCATCGTTCTTTTTATCATCATGAACAAACAAATTGAGGGCAACCGCTCTTTTTATACTTTCTGCAACGCATATCTAATGCCGATGTCAAGTCCGATCAGTTTCCGTATCATCTGCCGCCGTACACTACCGAGGCCGTCCCCGTCCCCCGGACTTAGACCCACGGCTACGGCTCAAGCCTCCATCATAGCTCTAATCCCGCGGGGTCCTCCACTGGGATAAATGTTTAAGCCTCACTTTTCCTCTCTTTCATTCTTCCATTGCCGTAACCATTAACCAATTTTTATTCTTCTGAGATCTTGTAAGCGACCTACACTCATCTCAAAGTTTAGAGCAACTTCAATCGCCGCCAGAATGCCTGTTCATCATCTCATGGTTGGTACCTGGACCCCTCCAGGCGCCATCTTCACTTTTGCCTTTGACGATGAGGCTCTTACTCTCAAGCTGATCAAGAGGACTGAAATCCCTCAAGATGAGCCTATCTCATGGATGACTTTTAGTGTAAGTCGCTCATTACCTGATAAACTGCGAATTAAGCTGACATTCGGGGGACAGCATGATAGAAAAGCCATCTATGGCGCTGCCATGAAGAAGTGGTCCAGTTTCGCTGTTGAGTCGCCAACTTCGATAAAGCACCAAGTTTCTCACCCCATGGAGCACGACCGTAAGTCGCATATCACCAATTACTGAATTCATATTAAAGTCATTAGCCAATGCCTCTCTTGCGACAACAAATACCCGTGCCATCTTCCTCCTCGCCGCCAACAAGCCTCCCTACGGCGTCTACTGCAACCCATTCTACGACCACGCCGGTCACGGTGCTGTCTTCACCACAGACGACACCACAAAGGCTCTCAAGGAGAACGTCCAAAATTACCCTTACCAACCCAACACTGGCATCCACGGCATGGTCTTTGACCCTGAGGAGGAATATCTCTACTCCGCCGACCTTCGCGCCAACAAACTCTGGACTCATCGCCGTCGCAGCAAGGACGATGCCTCACTTGAGCTTGTCGGATCTGTGGATTGTGCTGATGAGAAGGATCATCCTCGATGGGTGGCTATGCATCCCACGGGTAACTACCTCTACGCCCTCATGGAGAAGGGTAACCGTATCTGCGAATATGTCATTGATCCAGCCACCCGTCTTCCTGTGTACACTCACAAACACTACCCTCTAATTCCCCCTGGCATTCCCGATAGATGGACACAGTATCGCGCTGACGTCTGCACTCTGTCGTCCTCTGGCAAATACCTCTTCGCTTCATCCCGCGCCAACTCATTTGACCTGCAAGGTTACGTTGCCGCCTTCAAGCTGTCAGATACCGGGGCCATTGAGCGCCAGATCTGCCTCAACCCTACGCCCACAAGTGGCGGACACAGCAATGCAGTTGCGCCTTGTCCCTGGACGGACGAGTGGGTGGCCATCACAGACGACCAGGAAGGTTGGCTTGAGATTTACCGCTGGCAAGATGAGTTCCTTGCACGTGTTGTAAGAGTGAGGACGCCAGAGCCTGGATTTGGTATGAATGCTATCTGGTATGATTAGGGTGTATTCCACTTATAGTCACAATAAGCAAAAAAGAAGACCAGTTCGTAATTGGGTACGTTGTTCACAAAATATGATTGATTGCCAGTGTATTATCATTTATTTCCTAGACAAAACGCTGTTATTAACGCCACGTGCGACGATCAACTCTCTTTTGTTAACATGAAAGATGCAAGCGCGATATAAGCGCAATAGCACTTGAACCACTACCACTGTACCATTTGCCATATAACGTAATCCATCTCTTTAATGCATGCCATTAGTCTTGCGGCCATTGTCATTATGGTTCTCATCTTCTTCCGCGCCCTCGTCATGGTCCTCGCCTACACCCAACAACGGGGTTCGTTCGTGTCCCTGAGTTTTTGATGGGGACGCCTGTGTGTTCGTGAAACCCATGTGAGATTGCGCACGAGGAGGCAGAGGTCTTGAGCTGTCGGGAGGAGTTCCGCTAGTAGCACCCAGACCTTGCTTGATCTTGAAGAGACTGCGAGTGTTGCTGCGTGGGTTGGCGGCTCGGTTAGCAGGTCCAAGACGGAGCTTAGACCTCATTTCGTCCAGACTAGCCTTGACAATGACGGGAGTGCCTTCTATGCCACCATCGGATGTTCGGCGCTTCATGTGAATCGCAGTCTTTGCAGCATTGTGGAAGCCCCCTTCATAGTTGCTATGGAAGGACGCTGTCTCGGGGTCACGGTGAGGTGATTCGTCGTGTTCGTCAACATCGATAAGAACAGAGTCGCCAGGAGCCTTTTTGGAGGCGATGACAGAGGCAGCAGTGGCGGCAGCGTGAATTCGGCGAGCTCGGGGCGCAGGAGTAAGACGTCGGATGGCCTTGTGGACATCGACATAGACATCGGATTCATCAACAATTTCCCTATTCAATTAGCAACAATCACGATTATTGGGGTCTCTACTCACTCTCCAATTAGTTCCTCAATAACATCCTCGAGAGTGACAACACCCAGAGCACCATGGTCTGAACCGGGGAACTCAGACACGAGTACCATGTGCGACTTCCCCTCCTGGAAGAAGTTGATAATGTCCAAACAGCTAGTCTCGGGGCGGGTTTCGACGATGGCACCAAGGGGCACTTCACGAACGGGGATCCTATCTTCCGGGTCGTATGTAATGAGAGTCTTGACCAAAAGCATGCCAACAAAGTCCAGGTGGTTTCCAGAGCGGTATATGGGAATTCGCGAGTATCCAGAAGACAGAATATCGTCCATGGTCTTTTCATCGAGGATATGGTCTTCGGCAAGCGTGTAGACATCGGAGATGGGGGTCATAACTTCAGCGACTGGCTTGTCCTTCAAGTCCAGGACGGCTGTGATGATGGTGACTTCATCCTGGTTCAATCGCTCGGAGATTTCACCCAGCGACTTATGGAGGGTGACAAGAGTCTTGAGACCGCTCTTCTTGTACAGGGTGCCGTGGTCCTCTCCCAGAATCCAGTCGAGAAGCTTCGCAATAGGCCAAGAAACGGGAGCGGTAAGGTACATGAGAAGAAGGACCGGTGTTGACATGTATCCACCGATAGGGAGACCGAATCGGACACAGATGGACTGGGGAACAATTTCACCAAAGATGACTGTGACAATTAGTAAGGCCCAAATCAGAGATGGCTGCAGTCGTACCGATGAGAACAGTACTGCCAACAACGGCAGCAACGCCGCCGCCGAGGGTTCGATCCAAAACAACGGGAAGCGACTCGTTGACAATAACGTTAGATAATAACAGGGTGACCAGAACCCAATGCTTTCCTCGATTTAACAGCTTCAACACACGTTTCGCGTTCTTAGACTGCGCTTCCGCGGGATCGCCCGATAAAACCTGGAGGTAAATACTGTCTTGTCCCATCAATCTATAAAGGTCAGCTTATGTCGCTTATCGCTTAAGAGGGAGGCGACTTGCGCAATCGTTAATCCTGCGAAAGCACCACCGAGAAGAACAAGAACCATTGAAGCAACAGCAAGGACCCAGAGGCTGGTACCCTCCTCGTCCTCTTCGCCATGATGACCCAAGGTGTCAACAGGAAAGGCATTGACCGCTGTCAAGCTGGCGCCGAAGACTCGACCCATACCGATAACAGCCGGCCGTATTGAGCCCATATTATATCTCGGAGCGTGTGCCATGATGGCGGGACGGATAATCGAATGTCGCGTAGGCAGGTGGAAGATGTTTCTCGTCACCCAGAGGCGAAGCGAGGAGGCCGCGAGAGTCGTAGGTCGAGAACAGAGGCAAGAGATGTACGCGTTGACTGGATGGTAATCAATTTCCGACAGCAGCAGATGACTAGGGACAAGCAAGCTTGGCAATGGAAGCTTGTACGATAATAGCCGGAATGTGGCTGAGACAGGGGTGTTCAGGAAGATAAAGTCAATGTCGAGACCGGACAAAGATACGCCAAATGGTCTATTTGGTCAATTGCTGAAGATTTTGCTTCCTCGTTTAGAAGCCAATATCTTTCACCTTTCGCACCCAGAGGCGAGGTTTGATCAAGAGTGAAAGCGATGACCGAGCGAGGCGAAAAGAAGTGGGACGACAGGCGCTGAAATTTACCTTGCTCATCCTTGGACGATAGCCCTGGCCTGGCTAAGGTTAGGTACCATTATGGGGCATATCGTACTGCACGAACATGATGACGCAGGGAGCTGCCAGGGAGAGCAGGGGATGTTTTCATTGGTCAGGTTAACCACTAGGCCAGGTCCAGATTCCCGATGCGTTCACCAAGCACAGGCCACTCCACTAAATCTTGACGTTGGAGAAGCTAAAAAAGAGGCGCTTTCTTAGCTACGATGATGAGATGCCCTTAGTTTGTCTAACTAAGACCGGATGAAGTCATGTACAAGAAAATCATGAGTTAATCATCGCACAATATAAAGGTTTATATTGTTCTGTTTTGACCAATTCGGACAATTAGCATTACTCGATTTGTTTTCCTCAGTCGGATTGACCACGGATGCAATGGATTGTTTAAATTAACCACTCACAACTTAACTAGGCTTACATCAAGCACGCCTTCGGAACTCTGTAAATCCTCCAAGACTTGAGAACTCACCGGCCCAAGCACACCCAAAATCATCAGTGCTTCGTTTCCTTTTGGGTCAGGAGGTGTATCAGCCCCCTTTGTTGCTTCAGGATCCAGACTTGCGACCTGCATGAACTTGATGTTGATACCGTGCTTGCCGAGGACCATCCCCACTCCTCCGATCTTTCCGGGCTCATCGTAGTTGTGTAGGATAATGAGAGTTCCTTCTGGTGTAAAGACACCGTTGAACCTGTCCAGCTTGGAGATGAAGACTCGTTCGTCACTCGCGTAGCCTTCAATGATCTGTTCGCTGCCATTCATGCCAGCTTTGTAAGACCGCAGTGTTACCAGGTTGGCATATGTTGATGGTGAATCGCCGGCTCGAGTCTCACTGATGACAATTCCTTTCTCCTTTGCGATAAGCGCTGCGTTGACCATGTTTATGTGCGAGTCACTGAATGTTGACACAAGCCCCTTGACGAGAGCAGCAAACAATGGCTTAGTGTTGGGCATGCTAGTCAAGTCGCCGTGGTAGATGAGCTCAAATCGACGACCTCCCAACATGCCGCCTCTGCTGCGCACAAAGTGTTCGGTGTAAAGACGGCCCATCTTCTCAACAAGATGCACTGAAGGCTGCAGCTTGCGGTACTCTTCTGGCATAATGATAGGGGCATTGACTGCACTGGTAGGGAGACCTCCTTGAAGAATCTCTAGGACCTGCTTGCAGACGTCCATTGAAACATTCTCCTGTGCTTCAACCGTTGATGCACCCAGATGAGGTGTCGCCACTACCTTGGGGTGCTTGCTGAGTTTAGCTGCGGCAGAGTCTGCGGCCAGTGGCTCTGAAGACCAGACGTCAATGCCTGCTCCAGCAATCCACCCCTCGTCCAATGCCTTGATCAAGGCCTCTTCGTTATATACACCACCACGAGCTACATTGAGCACGCGTGCTGTCTTCTTCATCTTCTGGAACTCTGCTTCACCAACAAGGTCCAGTGTCGTAGCAAGCAGAGGTGTATGGATGGTTAGGAAGTCGACAATGGGTAACAAGTCCTCCAGTCCAGAAACTAGCTCTACGCCAGCTTGGCGAGCCATCTCCACGCTCGCATAGGGGTCAACTGCCTTGACTATCATTCCAAGGCCTTTAGCCATACGGGCAACATTCATGCCAACCTTGCCCAGGCCAATGATGCCGAGTGTCTTTCGGCCAACCTCGACTCCTACGAGCTTACTGCGCTCCCAACGGCCATCTTTCACACTGCTATCTGCCTGTCCCACATTGCGAGCAGTAGAAAGGAGGAGCGCAATTGTGTGCTCTGCCGCAGCAAGGATATTGCCAGAAGGGGAGTTAACAACAATAACACCCTGGGTACTTGCAGCAGGGACATCGATGTTGTCTACTCCAACGCCAGCTCGGGCAACGACTCGGAGCTTCCGTCCAGCCTGTACCACCTCGGCGGTGACTTGCGTCTCGGAGCGTACAATCAGGCCGTGGTAATTGGGAATTAAGTTGACGAGCTCGGTAGGCGATAAGCCTTTACGGTTGTCGACGTCAAAGTGAGGGGTGAGTAAAGCCAATCCATCTGGAGATACTTTCTCGGGTACGAGAATCTTAAAACGATTTGGTTGTCCATTGGACGGTGCATCAAAAGTAGCTGAAGGAGACATGGTGAGTAAAGTAGTATATGTGAGTACAGTACTTGCAAAGACAGTGTGTATCTTTAGAAAACTCAAGATGAGAGGGCACACGGCCTAGTATAAGTACTGTAAGAGTCAGAGAAGGAGATGACGCTCCCTCTCTGGCATGGCCTTTGTTTGTCCTTCCATAAGACAGATAACCGCCACCCGCTCATGATCCTCCAATCCCAAGAGTGTAACTCAGCCTTGATCATCGTTTCTCAAAGTAAAACTCCTTAATAAGAAATGGCAGAAACGGAAATGCAGACGCCCGTATCTCCCATGCAAGCATCCCACGGAGTAGTGATCACTGACGCGGGGGTAATTCTGTCTACGCGCGCAGCCCAAAGGTACTGTATCGTTGTGTCACTTGTAGCTTGAAGATGAGAGGTCAATTTGCTGCATGATGAACGAGAGATTGCACGGAGAGAAAATGGCGGGGCAACAAAAGTAACCATCAATGTTATGAACATTCTAACTACCCCTCATTCTCCAGGTTTGGCTACTTGTGGCTTGCAGTAGCTCGTCGTGGGGTAATTTCAGCAGATGCATTGCCATTTGCTTTGCTTTATACGGAGTATGTCTGTGCCACAATTACTGTACCGTACAATGAAGCCCAGTGGTCTTTGAAGGTTTGCTAGCCACTGCATGTCTCAGACCACATATCGTGCTTCGAGTCTTGCGGTCTGAATAGATATTTCATACCGATTGTAAGAGCCTGAAAAGCTATTACCTGTGTAAGTCATTAGCATAAGAAACTATCAGATAATTCTCATCTAATAAAAATGATGTAACTATCAAGGTACAGGGCCAACGGTTCATTGTGTAATGAGGCCAGGGTACAAGACAACTCTACTCGTAATTTGCACATCATTTGTGCTTCTGTGACACGATTGTCCGACTGTTTCGTCTCTCATAGATTCTAAACGCAATTGCCAAGGCACGAGGCTTTAGTGCTCAGGCTCATGATAAATTGATTTTTACTTCTTGGTTATCGCTACAAATGATCGCTCAGATTATGGCATAGACATATCTAAACATCTAGAAGTTCTCCTTGCCAGAGAACTTCTCGTTCTGAACAATCTCGATCCAGTAACCATCAGGGTCCAGCAGGAAAGCAACGTTCTTCATGCGTCCGTCTGTGAGTCTCTTCTTCCAGCTAACGTTCATATCCTCGAATCGCTTGCAAGCAGCTTCAAGGTTATCCACCGAGACACCTATTATCTCGTTAGCGTTGTCCACGCCCACTTACACGCAAATCAACTTACAGATGTGGCCAAAGCCCTGGGGCTCGCTGTTACCGTCATGGTACTTGAAGTTCTCCTCCTTTTCGGTGCCGTAGTTCCATGTCAGCTCAAGGAGACCCTCACGGTGAGTGATGGCCTTGTCATCCTGGCCCTCAGGGAAGGGCTGATCGCCAGGGTAGCCGAGGAAGTAGAGATTGAAACCAGCCTCAGGGTTCTCCAGGGTGCGGAGTCGAGACATGCCGAGGACTTCTTGGTAGTACTTCAGGGACTTCTCGGCATCCTTGACACGCAGCATAGTGTGGTTCTAGACTGTTAGCTGCATGTTCTAGAAGGTCAAATGCCAAGGGTAACGAACCATGGTGTACGTAGCGACATCTGTCTCCTTCACGTTCTCGGTTTCCTTATAGTCGTTTCGGGCAACAACCTCGACCCAGTAACCATCGGGGTCAAGGACGAAGGCAATGTTGCGCATACGTCCATCGGTAAGCTTCTTTTGGAACTTGTAGCCAGCATCCTCAATTCGCTGGCAGGCGGCCTGAATGTTGTCGACCGCAATACAAGTGTGGCCGAAGCCACGGTGAGGCTCCTGGTTACCGTTGTTTACCTTGTAGTTGGGATCATCCTCGGTTCCGTAGTTGTGAGTCAGCTCGATGAGACCTTGTCTATCAAAGGCGCTCTTGTTGTGAGAAAGGGCCTTAGGCGAATCATAGCCGAAGAAGTAGAGGTCGAACTTGTTATCGGGGAACTCGAGCTTCTTGACAAGGCTCATTCCCAAGAACTCATAAAATTTAGCTGTAGGAGTGTCAGTGGGTGCCAAGACTTTCTTCCATGGTATGTTTGAGCAGGTATATTGAGGCTCAGTGTTCCAGGGTCGATGTGGACATCAAGGTGTCTATAACATACCGGAGGCCTTGGGGTCCTTGACTCGAATCCTAGTCTAGTTAGTTCCCGCATGTCTTATCTGATGTCGATTGAATGATCTGCACTTACATCGAGTGGTTGAACTTGTAGTTGCTGGTATCTGTAGTAGAAGCCATGGTGATTAATCTGGATTGTCCAGCGGCAGCAGAAATTTGAGGAGCTGTAGGTCGAGTGAGAAAGTTCTGGATTGACTTGATGCGTTGTGCTGCTCTTGCAAAGCTCATTGAATTTTGTTAAGCAGTTTTGATTATGAGTCTGACGAAAGCTGTCTCAGCTGCTGTGACGCTGCAGAAAATGAGGTTGATGCCCCTCCACTTTACGTCAGACCTCAAGTGGGGTAGTCATCATCATTCAGTTCTCATGGAAGAGACGGAATGGAGGAGAGACTGTAACATCAACCACGTCACAGCGTCGTGTCGGCCAGTTCGAAGAGACTACCTGCATCAGATCAATGTTACATATCCACACAATTTCTTTGAATATACTGGGACCGTGAGCAAATTGTACGATTTCGACATGCCAAAAGTGTAGGGTAAGTGCAGTTCGCCGAGGGATACAACTTCAAGCAATTCAAGAAACTTTCTTACGATAATATCGTTTCTAATGTCTACTTAATTATTCATAGCTCGGTAGGCTCCATGGTAAAGGCTTTGCTACAAGCTGGAGTTTACTTGTCTTCGGGGTTACAAGCCCATCGTGGTTTCATGTTTTGTTCTCATACCCTCCACCTCTTTCCAAGCCATAACTAGGTGGACGGTAACCAAAGAAATGTCCTCCATGCTGAAACTGCCAAAATAGAGTCGTCTCAAAGCTAATCTTAATTACTTAGCATAAAAGGATCAAAGTATCTCGTCTCTTATGCTTACGACGGTCAATTCTTCTGTCACCCTGACGCTATGCTTTGATTGCGTGAGTTACTGCATCTTATCGAGATGTATGCCTTTACCGAGAACTGCCATGATAGGTCAACTGCCGTACCTTGTCATGCACGTGGTAGAGTTGAGACATGTCTTTTGATCTGCTCAATGAGTAGATTTTAGACTGTGCGGCAAAGCGAAGTTGGTGACGGGAGATATTGGCTCCTCTACTACACCTATGTCCAGACAGTTCTAATCGTATAGTACCCATGCTTGCAATGATATAAATTGCCGAGACCGATTCGATTCAATGTTTCATTGCTGACGATGACTGCCTCCTGGGCTCCAGCTGCTAATTGCGGGGCCGCTCAGCCGCTGCCCGCCTAGACTGGACTGTGGGACTAAATTAGCGGCCAAACCTAAAAGAGATCGGTTTCTATTTACTCTGCTGCTTGTGCCTGTAACCGCCCACTCGGCGCAATCCCTCGCGTTCTCTCGCTTCCAGTTGCATTGCATCCCTTCATTCCAAACCTTCTGCGACAATTCTTTTCCACATCAAAAGTCTGTGATGCCACGATACTTATATTCTTTGATATATCCATTGCGCCTTGATCAAGCCTGCGGTCAGGGCCGGTAACACCATCCTTCGAAAACGGATTCACGAAATTACAACCACGCCCGCCTAACGTCATGGATCGTTTCCGAAATATCGCTGGTGAATACGACGATACCGCAGTTATGGACGATATCAAAGCGCAAGACGAACAAACAGCTCCAGGGAGCCACCCTCGGTCGCCCATGACAAAAACGCGGTCCATGTCCGATGGAGGTGGAACTCCCTCTCGACTTTCCCCTTCACCACGAATTGTCGAAGCATCTCGCCGGACATCAAAAGACGACACTAGTATTCCGACTCCTCAACCTGTCACGCCTCGCCGACCCAATTTCTCGAATCGCGGCTTCTCGATACAAATGCCCCCGCGAGATTTCACTCCACCACCCGCGAATTCCTACGTCAAACCTGCTCCTTTATCACCTAAACTCGACCACTCCCAGATATACGCATCTCCTACCAACATTCTCCCTCGTCGCTCCCGCGGTCTCGACTTTTCCAGAGCTGCTACAAGCCTACATCACTCGACCCTTGCCGAATCTTCCCCAGACTCATCGCCCACCGCTGGTGGTAGGGCGATGAACATACCGAGCCGAAGAAGTCACTATGCAGGACCTGAACAGACATCAACATCTCTATGGTCCGTTATGGGCAATCAGGAAAAGATGCACATCAGCAGCTCGCTTGGGAGTCAGGCGATCGGCTCTGATTCGTCCAGCAGCTCTGATGACGATGAGCTGATGGATGAAGATATGGACGAGAGCTACGTAACAACTCCGCAAGTCAATAAGATTGGTCCAGTCCTCGGCCCAGGGTCTGGTGGGACCTTTGGATCCCCTGCTATGAGCAGCCTCATGAGTTTCCAACAGCGACAAAGACCCCGCAAACAAGCCAAGAAGAAGGCTCGTGGGCCTCTTGGACTGGGGTTCAGTGGCGCATCTTTATCCAAATCACCACCAACTAATTCTTCACGAGCCCGGCGTGAGAGCATCAGTTGGCAAGCTAATCAATTGCACATTTCTGGTGCAAATTCCGATGAGGCACGAGCAATGGGCGACGTTGACGGCATTGGTGATGGTCGTAATGTCATTCGGAGAGTCGTAACACGACGGGGAAATCTTTTGGTAAGTCACTTATACCAATTCACAACATTATGGACATGCGACTGACACCTTGAAGCCTAAAACAAAGACATTTGCACGGATCCGAGCTGCGCTCATGGAGGAGAGCACCCCCGCAGAATCTGAATTTCGTCGCGAGGCCGAAGTTGTCAAACAAGTCCGCGATTGCGACATGGAGTTGGAGCCCAGAATGTCGGAAGCGAACGTGGAATCAACACAACCTACAACGGCTCCTTCTTCGCCTACACTAACACAACAAGAAGGTCTCAATGATGTCCCCGAAGACGACATTATGGGCGACATAGCCATGGGCCTTTCTAGCAGCTTTAAGCAACATGCTATCAAGAACTCAAAGGGCAAGACTTTCTGGGAAACATTTTCAGAGTCAAGTAGCACTGGCGGTGCCAGAACCACACCGCCTCCCGCTGCATTTCTCCCACGAGGATCATCCTCAGGTATCAGTGAGGACGTGGCGATGGACTCACCGTCAGTCGGTGGAGCTACTGTAAGTACACCCTTGTTCGTCTATGACAACAACAACATACTAACCACTAAGGCCCCGCATAATGGCGGCAATCAACCACCTAGTGCTGCAGAAATCACCCGAAAGATCAATAGTAAACGCCGCCGTGATGATGATTTCGACCCCGTCAGCTTTAAACGTCGAGCCGTCAGTCCCGGTATGAGCGTTCACAATTCACCCGTCACGCAGAGTCCTCTCCAACGAGACGGCATGTCATGGGGTTCTCGTCCTGGAAGCAACGGAGGCGATAAGGCGGGCAGCAGTGCTCCAAGTGAGGCTGGTAGCACACCAGGAAATCTGTCTGGCAGCAGCTCTGCAGCAGGTCGCCTCAACAGCAAAGGAAGAGTCGGGTTTCAGGGAATGGTTGATACCCATGATGGTCTTATGCGCATGAGCATTGAATAACTCAGCGTATTTCTTGTACAAATCTTGCACCTGGGAAGCGTTGGAATCGCTGGGTCTTGGAACAAAAAAAGCATATTGAGGCGTTATGAGTTGTGGCGTTTTGACCAAAATGAATGGTATGGGATTATACAGTATCAAGCCTTATTGAGCGGCCTTCTTTATTAATATCATTGTTTGAACGAAAAGAAAAGTGCTACGCATTATGCCTCCCTTTGTATATGCCTCCATGTAAACGGTTCCCAACGCCTGGACGTAGAGCCCATGCTCCCATTGCCCTTTCATATATCCCTCGTTTAAATGAAACCTCAACGCCATCTATGCTAAATCGCTGTTTCCCAATGCGCTGCCATCATTCCACACCCACACCCTCCTCTGGAACAGTGAGCGTACCTAGCTTGTCGTCAAGCCAACGCGCTAGCTCAGCGGCATGACGGCGAAGGGCAGCCACCGCTGCGGCAGAACCGGTGGTGCTATCAAGACTGGCTGTTGTCTGCGCGCCGGTACTCAAGATGCTATCCGCGCCATCTGGACTGCCAACGTGCGGAGACTCGCCAGGAGGAACTTGAAGATCGTGCAGGTTAGGCCCACCGTGCTCTGCAACGTCAGGGTTTGCAGGCCCGACACAAACAAAGAGAAGACCGCACTTCAACCTGCGAATGACGACAGTACCACTCGTAAGCTGGACCGTGACAGTGGCTGGCTTGATGCCTCTTCCTTTGCCAGATTTATGCGAATCGAGCTGCTGGCTCTGCGACAAGTGATCTGTCTCGTCGTCCAGGTCCTCCTCTTCAGGCGGCGAGCTGCCGATAGGATCGGGCGTGCGCGAACCGGGTAACGACGCGGCGAGCGCAGGTGCGGAGGTTGAGTGTATGGCGAGAAGTGAGGCAGCGACAGTGGCATGCGTTCGGAGAGAGGCGACGGGGTGCGGGCTCGCGTGGGCGAGGAGCTTGCCGTGAGGACTCGTAAGAAGAAGTGTGGGAAGCTGAGGAGTTCGATTCGCGTTGAGAAAGGCCGTGAGGCGCTTCGTAAGGAGGAGAGGAGGCGTTGGGTGGGAGATAGACATGATGATCGAAGCCTTATCGAGAGATGGTTGTTGGCTGTGAGTTTCGGATATGATGGGTTATATGGCTAATGTTTAAATACACAATAAAGCAGACGAGTTTTGTTTGGAGGAGGGCAGGTGGCCTGCTTTGTTGTGTCGAGTCGAAGCTTTGACAGTTGCCGAGTTGAGTTGAGTTGAGTTGAGTTGAATTGAAGTGGAATGAATGGGGAAACTGCTCAGGTCGGTCCTGGCCAGGTTCAAGCCTTGTCGATGGCGGGGCCCGAAGTGGGGAGCTTGTGACTGATTTTACCTCATTGGCTCTGTAAACTGACAGTTTGGTGGTGTAAGATCATTGGCTGTTTACTGTTTAGCTGGTTACCTAGGTACTGAAGTCTCAATATTTATTATGTGCAAAAGCAAATGCTCCGTTAATATACAGGAACTGTACTATAAACTTGGCTACCAACGAAATGGAAGTTGATGTAAATAAAAACTATATAGTCTCTACTCGGGTCTCACCTGCAATCTCCTCGCCATATCGTCCTCGATATCAACATAGTCCCGGCCCTCTTCAGTGTCTGTCTTCCACTCCTTATACGCCTCTTCAATAGCATCAGCGAATTGCCACATTCGAAATATTCGAGAAGTGTATGCGTTGGGTCCGTTAGGGTCGTAGCTGAGCAGTTCCATGATCACAGTACGAAGCATCGACGAATACCGTACTTGGGCAAGCCACGAATGAATATTAATGGAAACCTCCGGACAATTATGTTGGGGAGGACAATCGGGCCAGTGACTAATGGAGTCATGGCACTTAGCACCTTTGGGTATGTGCTCGCAACCTCCCAGCAAGCAGTCACATCCTTTCGCAGCAGCTTGTCTCTCAAGACACCCGCCGCTCTTGCAAAATCGGATGTGAGAACATCCGCATCGCTCGCAGCAATAAGACGGTGCCTGTCCTGTCATCATCGTGAACACAGTGGCACCTATGGACCAGATCTCATCCCTAACCGTATAAGGACAATCTCCCTGAAACATTTATGTTAGCTTGTTGTTGAATTGCTTTCTCGGATATGGGGGTTTACCTCGTCCATCGCAGCAATACCAACGTTGCTATCTAGCACTTGGCGAGTGTTTTCGAGTGGCTTGTCTCCTTCCTTTGTAGCTAGTGCTATACCAAATGAGCCTTGGGGCGGATAATTGGACTTGTTCTCGTTACGACCATCAACAGCGTGGCATGTAACGGCAGCTTTGCTGAGATCGCCCAGTTTGCACTGGCCATAGGTCTCGGTACCGCGAGGGTGCTGGAACCAGATGTTCTTGGGCTCAATAGCACGGTGCAAAATCGAAAACCAGTCCGTGTTGACAGTCAACCAGTCTTTTTTGAAACTGTCTTCTGGGTCATCGCCTTCATGCTGGTACACGAGTCGTTTCCCTTCGTGGAGCCAAGTTACTGCGCGAGTCATAGAACGAAGTACGTGCCAGCAGAGAGACTCGGGAAGGTAATGAGAGGAGTCCTCGACAGGATAGTGGCGAAAGAGGTTGCTGAGGTTGCCCGCGTCGGCAAAATCCCACACGAGTAACTCGACGTTATCCTGTTCAGCTTCAGGGGCTTGGCATTGAGTGAAAACCTGGTACTGCATAATGCCGACGATCGAAAGCAGGTTCTCATGGTTGAGTATATTGCGGACGGTGTAGGCTTGGTTATGTTTCGACATCAAACTCCTTTGCGCATCGACTCTCCGGCGACTCTCTGCAGGGTCGCCATAGACACTGCCATCTGGGAAAACACCATAAGGGTTGCTGGGACTGGCCAGATACTGCTCCTTCCGAGGGTCCCCTCGGATAGTGACAATCCATATATTCTCGTCGGGCTTTCCAAGGAACTCAAACACGGGCTCCTCGTCCGCATCGACGTGGTTCTGTGGCTGTTCAGCTTGAGTTTTGATTTTCGTTGAGTGTTCGGCATCCATGGTTACGACGAAGTTCACAATGTTTCTTTAGTCAACACGATGGCTATTCTACTGAACTTTCCGACTTTTGTGAGGGATCGTTGGCTTTTTCACCATGCTCTCTCTGGCCATTTTGGACGAGGACAAAGAACCCTTTCTGGCCATACATTGAAGAGGCACCAACACTATCGATGCTTTGATGCTTCGATTCTTTGTGAATGATACTATTTCTGCTACGTCGAACAAAGAGCCAAACAATCACCATGCTCACAACTTTGTGAAAATGGTCTAGGGCGTAGAGCAATACCTGGACTTCTGTATAGCATTGCCGCTTGGATCTTGTTTGTGGAATTGTTTTGAACAAAGAAAGGGTCCAACTCGTGCAACGTCATAATAAATGACCAACGCGCAATGACCAGCTGCCATTTGCCTTTATCCCTCATGATCTCTCGCGTGTAGCCAGCGATTGATCACCACGGCCAGACCGCCACGATAGAGAAACATAACCGAGGCGCGTTGTAGTAAAGAGGTGGATCGACGTAGCGCCTGACTTGGTGAGTTCATTTGATAGTCAATGGGAAATGAAGATTTGCATGTCCATTTCTATAATTCTCGACGACCCAAAGCGCCAAGAACGCGACCGGATCCGGCATGGAATTCTCTGTGTTTTCGGCATCGATTGACGCGAGGGGAGGTAGCCCGATTATTAGCATGTTTCAGTTAATCGAGTGACGATTCGTTGTAATGCAACCACTTCTGAAACTTGAGGTCTATTCGGGAGCACCGACCAAGTTTCATTCATAATAATAATATTGCCCTGAGCTGAACTGCAGCTGCGCGCTTTGGGTTGTACAGACACGATATTGAACTGGATATGAATAGATTTTTTTTGTTGTTATCCATCGTTATTACCGCTGAGGTTGGGCGGTTAATCGTGGGATTGGATGAGAAGAGACCTGGCGTATTCTTTGCTCTCGGATTCCGGCTGGCGGTTGGAGGAGAGAAAACAACCAGCCACTAAGAAAGAGGAAATGAACAAATGCCAGCGGCAATGCCCAGACTTCTCCATCCGGGCCCAGAGAAAAGGCGAAAGGCCCAAGAACCACTGATCTCTTGCTGACAGCAATTTTGTAGCGCGACACTCTTCTTGAGAACCAATCATTGACTGAATCTTGTTGAAACCCAGAAAGCAGTGCCCCAACATTGGACGTTTTGGTACCTGCAGATCAATCGCGCCACTCAAAGAACCCTGGAAAGGAAGGCCCTTGATGCCTTCTTAGTTAGGTAGGCTAATTAATAGGAAAGAGCGAGTGGAGGGGTTGCACCAAAGCTATTGACCCCCGCTCCTTCCATGTTTGAAGTTATGCTGGTTCAACAATGCGATTTGACTTTGATTTGCTTGGCTTGGACTCTCCTGGTTGGTTCCTTCCATTCGCTTCCGCTCTCATTTGAAACCTCCCATTCCCAATTCCCGACTTGTTCAGTTCCAGACTCTTTCTCATTCATCTTCCGGCCTTTTCTTGGTATTATCGTTGGTTTGTACTGCAGCTGCAGCTGTTATCGTTGCAGTCTTTGATTACTGTCTTCTGTTTTCGTCATTCTCTCATTCCATTCGTCCCAAGTCTCAAACAATATCTCGTCATTGAGCCACCAATAAGAGCAACCCACTTATACCTTTGTATTGTCTCCACGCTCTGCCTATTGAGAGGTATTCACCATCTGCAGAACAATCTCATTCACTTTGAGATATTTTCTTTGACCATTGGAAACGTTGTTCATCTACCGATCTATCAACTCTATCTACGATATTACTTCCAACTTCGACTTTCGACATGTGGTCGGCTTTACACTAAGAACTCACTCATTCGCGCACCGGTTGCAGCACGACTTCATCACGATCGCTTATTCTCATTTTATGCTTGCTTGTTTTCTTGTTTCAACTGCTTTTCGACTGCAGCAGATTCGACCTTCGCTGGCGAAGGATTACGATTATTGTCTCACGTTCCAACTTGATACCCTCCGGCCACTTCTTTTTTCGAAATAGTCTCGCGAGGCTTCAGTCTTTACTTCATCATGGGATGCTGTTGGGGAAACCGGAAGAAGGAGGTCGTGGGGATTGCTGATCAGAAATGGGAATACATCAATCTTCGCGACTTCAAGAGTCAAGGATGTGGCACCGTCTTCGCTTATATCTACCTCTGGCTCATGCTTCTCGTCTCGGTCGCCGTCTATGTCGTTGACAGCTTTACTGCCGTCAACCTCCTCGCTTTTGATCGTTGGTCGTCCAAGATCGACCCTGCCATTTCCTTCGACGTCTCGAAATGGATCTTCTCCATCTGTATTATTCTTTCCTTTGTCAACCTAGCCTACGAGGGTATTCGTGCTACACGGGTCATTCGACGGGGCAATGTCGCGGAATCTTATCTTGACAGCTTGGCTGTTCGCTGGGAATCCATTCGTCTTGGGTCTCAAGGATTCAAAAGATTCATGGTCTTTGCTGAACTCACCAAAAGTAAAGAAGGTGCACAATACATTGCCCTCTTCACATATTTCAACTTTCAAGGTAAGTCCGCCTCCTAAAAACCATTGTTCTCTACTGACTTTGCTAGCCTGGATTCGTGTCATCATCTGCTCAGGCCCTCGTCAAGTCCTCAACGCCTTTACACTCAAGTCGGTATACGAGGCACAGTTGGTTCCTACTGCAGATAATGTTGGCGACTCTATCACTGGATTCTTCGAGAAGATCAAGTTCCTTGCTGAGGAAGACTACCAACAGGCATTGATTCTTTCTGGCATGTGCTTCACTCTGGTTATTTGGGTCTTTTCGGCGCTGTTCCTTTTGGCTGCCGTTTTCTTCTGGGTATTCTTCTTATGGCATTGGATTCCTGCTGCCGATGGCGGTCTTCACGGGTACTGCGAACGAAAGGTAACCAAGACCCTGATGAAAATTGTTACCAAGACAGTCAACAAAGCTCTGGCCAGAGAAGAAGCCAACAGAGTGAAAGCCGAGATCAAGGCGACCAAAAAGAAGGGCGAGAAGCCCCCTCCTGATCTCTCCAATACTCTCCCAACCTTGCCAAATGTTGGACCCATCGACAAGATGGATCACCCCCCTATGCTCAACAGGAACGACACGATGATGACTCTGCCACCTTATACTTCACGTCCAGGAACACCGGGCGGCACGGATGTTCCTCCCGTTCCAGATGTAGCTATGCTGACCCGACGGGGCACCGCAGCATCTATCTCGAGTATGGCATCTCGGGCCACCTCTAGGTCCGGGGCTGGTTATGGTCGGCTTGCGTCTCCCGTGCCTGAAGTTCCTCCTGTAAACTATGGGGGCCAACCTCTATCACGGACTGCTACTATGAACTCGCAAGGGAATTACAATCAGTACCCGGCAAGCCAGCCCGTGATGGATCCAATGTCATCCATGCCAGGTCGATATACAGAAAGCCCTGGACCTATGCATCCCGGCAATGCTCCATTCTATCCTCCACCAGCTCGCGCGCCCAGTGCTCGTCCTATGGATAACTTTACACAAGCCATGGGATCATTCGCACCGTCGCAAGGACCTCCGCCTAGCTCGCGAGGATATCAAGCCTACAATCCGGGAGGACGCACCAACACAGCGACAACTATAACCCCTCAGCAGAGTGCACCTGCGATGGGACGTCAATTCAACCCTCCACCCCGTAGCAACACAGGGACGATGTCTCTACGAGAACCTCCCACTAGAACCTTGACCAACCCCATGCCGCCTCGTTCAGCAAGTGCGAGGCCGGACAGGGCCCCTCCTTATAACTACGATGTTGAATCACAGCGAGGAAGATATGGTTGGTGAGAAGCCAACTTTGTAAGAAAAGGCTGGTATTAATAATGACTTACGAAGCGCAACGGCGATGTTCATAGGTGGCTTCGTTATGTACGATAACTGAATAGAAGTGATGCATCGTCATATTTTTTGTTTATTCATCTTCCAAACTTGACTTCTGTGCTGATTGGGGTACTGAATCTCATGCCACATTTGTGCAGCAGTGTAGCGCATCATAATCAACCACGCCCTTTGGGGGACAGTGCTGATGATTTGTCAACATGCCGAACTCAAACTTGGAAGCGGCATTCTGATGACATATAATTGACTAAGTCGACGTCTTAAACAAAGAGACATGATCAAATTCTTGTTCTTGAATCTCGTCAACATCATCCTAGCACACAGCTTACAGTATCAATTTTCAAGTCAATTGCTTCAATCTTACGGATATTTCTTCAACATGCCTTCGGCAACAACAGAATGGCACGAGGGCGAGGTCGCCATGCATGAGCAACTGAAGGTTCCCAAGTTGGAGAACCCTACGTTTCCTGGTCTAGCAGATCGTTATGGGTTGCGGGTAATGCATTCTTCCTTGGTGGCTTTGGGAACTCTGGACAAAGCCGGTCGCCCATGGACTACCATCTGGGGTGGAGAGCGCGGATTTGCAAGACCGGTGGCGGAAGATGTTCTCGCATTGAACAGTCCGGTTGATACTCGTTACGATCCTGTCTTCAAAGCTCTTTGGGATGGTATCGACGAGGAAGGCGTGAAGCAAGGTGCGATCAACAGACCTAATGATGGTGAGGGAAAGATAATGTCGGGTCTGGCTATTGATCTTGAGACGAGAGATCGCGTCAAACTGGCAGGAAAAATGATTGCCGGCGCTACTGTTGATGGAGGAAAGAGTGTCCAGTTAGCCATGGCTGTGACTGAGAGCCTGGGCAATTGTCCCAAGTATCTCAACAAGAAAGATATTGCGCCTCATACTATGAAACCGGAGCTCGTCTCTGAGAAGCTTCCTTTGTTAAAAGAAGCCTTGGATATAGTCGCAGCGGCAGATATGCTGTTCTTGTCGAGCACAAATGGGAAAGCGATGGACACGAACCATCGTGGAGGAAGTCCCGGCTTTATACGAGTTATCAAAAATGATGAAGATGGAGTTGAACTGATTTATCCAGAGTGTAAGTCTAACAATCAATTCAAATGACGAAAACTAACGATATGTCAGTTTCAGGAAACAGATTATACCAGACATTAGGCAATTTCAAGGTCAATCCTCTAGTCGGTGTTGCAATCCCAGATTACAATACTGCCGACGTTCTCTACCTGACAGGTACTACATCTGTACTTGTCGGAGACGAGGCCTCTTTCTTTCTCGCAAGGACGAAATTAGCTATCAAGATCTCAATCACCGCTGCCAAGTTTGTCAAATCTGGACTTCCCTTTCGCGGCTCTCTAGGCGAATACTCTCCTTACAACCCGCCTGTTCGCCACTTACTTTCAGAGCACGATGCGCATGTTGGCGCTGAGAACGCAAAGTCTGTGACGGCAACTCTGAAGAACCGGGAAATTCTTACGCCGTCTATCGACCGTTTCACGTTTGAGCTGTCTTCTCCGCAGCCTATCGCGAGCTGGTATGCTGGGCAGTACATCACGCTGGATTTTGAACCAGAATTATCGAACGGCTACAGTCATATGGCGGATCACGATCCTCAGAGTATTAACGATGATTTTGTGCGAACGTTTACTGTATCAAGTCCACCAGAAAACAACAAAGAGTTACAGATTACGACGAGGAAACACGGTCCAGTAACAAATTTCCTAAGAAAACACAACTCACGTGTGCTTCTCGAGGTTCCAGTCATTGGCTTTGGCGGCGAAGAGGGGTTCCGAATCCCTTTGGAGTCTCAGGGTCCTCAATCTATCTTTGTCGCTGCAGGTGTAGGTATCACGCCTGTCCTCGCACAAGCACAAGCTATACTGAAGCACAACGTCCCGTTCACGTTACTCTGGACCCTTCGGTACGAAGACCTACCACTCGCTAGTGACACATTCTCCCGGATTCCAGGACTCGCAAGTGTTACTAGGCTATTTGTCACAGGACAACCGGACAAGGACAAGGAGGGTTTGTTGGACGAGGTAGAGAAGGCTGGTACACAAATTGTCAAACGACGAATAGGCGCGGACGATGTAGAAAGCTTCAAGGGCCAGAACGCCCGCTTCTTCCTGTGCACAGCACCTGCATTGCTGGCTGCGCTTGAAGGGTGGTTGCACGGGGAGAAGGTTGTATGGGAGGACTTTGGATACTAAAGCATGTGCCTACAATACAATAGAGTTGATCTGCTTACTGTGACTTGGTCTTCATCTTCCGGATGGCCGGAACTTGGCTCTAGCTCGCAGCGGTGCAAAGGACAGGAGAACCCAAGTTTGGTTCTACCGTACTTGGATGTGGGGAGCTATTCCACTGCCGGGTTAGTCAAGTCTGGGGTTGAGGAGAGTTGTTTTGGTGCGGGTTGATCCCCTCAGGCCACCAGTGCTGAGGTCTTGGCTTTGAGTTTAATATAGTCCAATCTCTGGATACCCTGACCTTGTATCCGGTCATATGAGCCATCGCCACTGCCACTGCCACTGCCCATGGTACATACGCAAAAAGGTTCCCTACTCCACGTTGTTAGAATAAATCCCGGACTCACTTCCCCGCAAACATGTTCGGGAGATGAGTTACGGTTTATCCACTCCCCCGCGCTTTTGAGGAGAGGAAGCGGATCCGCAGTCTGATCTTGTTGTCCATCACGTAAGGACAACTGGAGATCTTTTTTTTGAGCTAGCAAGTTGCTAGAGAGATTCTTGCTTTCAAGTTTGTTGTCAATGTCATGAAGTTGGATAGTGGAGTGAAGGAGAGTTACGGAAGAGCCAGAGGGTTACGGCCTCGAATGTGACAATCTAAAACGCTCGCTTAAGCTAGAAAGGTAGAGAATTGCCACAGTTCTAGTGAAATGAAAGAAGGAAAAGTCCGAATTACCCCAATTGTTGAATTCTGGTGGATCTTGCAAAGTCTCCCCCCGACCTCGCTCAAAGTTGCTGTTTTCTATCAGGTGGGTAACAGAAGAATTGTCCTCTTAAGGCTTAGGTTGCTAAAATAAAGTAGCCTAAGTGTTAGTCAAAGCCAGCATAAAGTGACCAAATAATTTCGTCTCTTATGATTTTAGGGGCCAATTCTTCTAATACCCTGAGGTCTAGATGTCTCTCAACCTGGCCATATATGCCGTGTATTATGCCCATCTTATACCCATTCCGTTCCTCGGCACAATCCCCTACTAATAGTATTCTCTCCTCCGAGGATCTTCAGACACTTAACAAATTGTTACCTCGGGATGCTTCTGAGATTGCTGACTCCGAGTTCCCGAAGCTTAGAAAGACAAGAAGTAGTTCCTGGTCCGCTGTCGGCGGTAGGAAATGCGATTTCCGGAAGCTCCATTACTCACCCCAAAGCGGAACCGGCTAAAACTCCTCCATCACACAATGCAATACGATGGAGACTGAGGAATATCGTCGCAGAAACAGCAGTAAAAACGCCAGTTTTGGCCGGGGGCCATAGTGGACCTCTCCCTATTCGCTTTTGAGTTATCAATTGGTCCGCTAAACAGCTCAAAGGTATAACTGATTTCTCGGCGCTTCACTAGTGAATAGGCGAGCATTTGTTTGAAACTCTTTGACCCAAAGGGGTGAGAATAATGCCTCTCTCATATAGAAAGCGCAATGTGTGAATCCAAATCCTTGACATAAACTATGATAAATTGGGTGGATTTAGTTAGGACTTGGTATATGTGATCAGGAACTTTCAATCGCACAGACAAGAGTAACCTGGTGGTTCGACATTGTTGAATGGAACGAAAAAGAAGTACAGTAAATAGTTTCTCCTGCTTCTCCGAAAATAGAGCATACGATTTAGGAGTGGAATGTTGAGAGATCTAGGCTAAAAGACTGTCGGATAGAGTTCAGTATGATCTGATTGCTCGTGTCAACTTTTGAGACAGGGTGCGGTTTTCGCCATCATGGAGGCCGTTAAGAACGGTGGAGTAGCATGTAGCATGCAATGCATCAATGAACGGTGTTAAGCTCCAGGGATGAGCATGGAGTCTATCGCTGCAAGAGAGGTTTAAATGTATAACAGATTACTATTCTTTTGTAAGAGATTTACTGCAGTTGCTGTGATTAACTAATGTAGTCGTATTCGATTCCTAGAGATAACGTAGTTGTGCGGACTATTTATGTAATTGCGAATTCAACAAGAAACTTCCCGACATGGAACGCAACGCAACGCAACGCTTCTGATAATCAAGATTACTAGCTGCTGCAGAAATCACCCCGCATATCCCGGCAGGGATTGAGGGAGTTGGTATGGAATCTGATTGACTCACGGTGCTGACAAAGCTTTGTTTGTGGTGCAATCAAGTCGGATTGGGCAAGTAAAAGACAAACCAAGATGCCGCGAGAAACCACGAGGCTTTTGTTTTAAGGCTCTGATCGACATAGGCCAAGACAAGCCGTTACAATATTGGCTATGGCTTTCAGAGGAGACTGAGGACTGTTACAATGGTATCAGTGACAAAATAACACAGCCACTTATTGGAGTTTAGGCTGCAGTATCAACTAGTTTATTCCTTTGACCATCTGTTCACATCTCAAAGAGTACAATTGATTCACAACTGTAAGCAAAATGACCTTGATGAGCCTGGCATAATAAAGGACAACTGGCAGAAACTGTTGCAACAGGTTACGGTTTTGAGGCTTACAGCCAAGGCCGGTGACTTTCAGTCTAGTTTGCAGGGAACTGCTAGCTCCAGGATTGTGCTGATACTTTCCTGTACTATCCGTATCTCACTGTGCTTTGTCCTTCTGTCCTGTATCACGTTCCCTCGAGCCGGAACTCGGTGGAGTGGCTCAGATCGCCTTCGTCATACCCCGCCACTAAAAGTTAGAGGACGTGAATGATTTGGGTGAGTAATCGAGAGTTTCTTTTGGGTAAACAATTCGATAATCAGGCAATGTAGTAAAGAGCTTTGTAGCGTTTGTAGGATAAAGCTCAAACAATAAGGAGCTCCAAGAAGTTGTCGTGAGTCGTGAGACAATAGGCGAAACTAGCCATTCCAGGTATCACCCTGTGCAAAACAACAACAGCCTGCTGTTACTCCACAGACGTCGATGGCGTGCCAGAAGCCAAAGGCCTGGACTTTTCTGTTTGTGGGTGCGAATTATTGCGATGGTGAGTTTTCTTGGGACTGACAAGACGGGGACTGGGGTTCCAATGGATTCAGGCCCTGAAACTGACCTACCAAGTGTTTGATAGCTTACGTTGTCCCCACTGTTCAAAGATTCTGTGCACGCGCATGGATGCACCATCACTGCCTGCTAGGTTGGTCTCTACTGCCTACAAAACTGCACTAGGCGCTACCTGCCCTGCCTGGAGATTTGATTCTAATTCTCCCAGTCTAGAAGGCCCGGAAAGAAAACCTTCCTTCCTTCCTCTGCTTTAAACTCAACTCAACCCATTCCTCTCACCATTTCCAGACTTACATCAATCACTTTCACTCATATAATATCTACTCTCATCAATAAGCGATAACTCACAACCACTTTTGCGAAACTCGCCTCGTATCATCGACTACTATAAAACAGTACTCTAATTACTTACTGTACTGCCTCCCGGAACCCCCGCCATCGCCGCCCGCCTAGACTACATATCGGCTCGGTTCGTCAAATACTTGCGCTATCCTCGACAAAACAACAACCGCAATCTTGCCACATCCACTTCTCAATCATCGCCTGATTTCTTCGACGATTTCTACAAATCCATCTGCTCAGGCCCGCCCATTTCCTAAGACTCGGTCGTAGTTCGGTCTCTGGACCGATACTGCCGTGCCCCTCGCTCCCGCCCGCCGTCACCTGCCGCCGGCGCCGGCCGTTCTTGTCGGATCGCGAAACCCCTCGTTCCGCACAACCCGCCACTTCCCATCTCTCAGAAACCACCATCAACACCCAAACCACAATCAAAATGGCTTGCGACTACCAATACGTCAAGGAGCACACCAAGGAGGACTACGTCTTCCCTTCGCACCGCTTCCAGCGAACATGCTCTCCGGATAAAACTCCGCTATGCCTCGTAGCCTGCGGCTCTTTCAGCCCAATCACATTCCTCCAGTACGTTCTTCCTGCACAATCCCACTCTCACCCACCGTTCCTTTCGATAGGACAGGCTTGCTTTGTGTCCTAAACATGCTGCGCAACGGTCACAATCTTGAAGACTGTAACTAACCTTTGAGCAGCCTTCGAATGTTTCCCATGGCCCGGGACCATGCTCGTAACGAGAGTAGGTTGATCGCTCACTGCAACATCTGAGACAACACTAACAAGAACCAGACTTTGAGGTTGTTGCTGGAGTTTTGAGTCCTGGTAAGTGGATTTTCAATTCAATTCGACAATGCGATCAATAACTAATTGTTTGATAGTCAGCGATGCATACAAGAAGAAGGGTCTTGCGCCTGCTCATCATCGTATTGAGATGTGCAGACTTGCGACTGAGAACACTTCTAAATGGCTGATGGTGGATCCCTGGGAGGCTGAGAGCCCAACTTATATCCCAACAGCCAAGGTGCTTGATCACTTCGACTACGAAATCAACGAGGTCATGGGCGGTATTGAGTGCACTGACGGTACCCGAAAGCGCTGCCGCATTGTACTCCTTGCTGGCCTTGACTTGATCCAGACCATGTCTACCCCAGGTGTGTGGGACGAGCGTGATCTCGACCACATCCTGGGCAACTATGGCGTTTTTGCTCTCGAGCGCACAGGAACTGAGATTGACTCTACCCTTGCGAATTTGAAGCAATGGGAGAAGAACATCCACATCATTCGCCAGGTCAGTCACATATGATGTATGAGAGCCACACCGTATTAACATGATTATAGGTCGTCACCAATGACATCAGTAGCACAAAGATCCGGCTGCTTCTTAAGCGAAACATGTCAATCGACTTCCTGATCCCCGACGATGTTATCAGCTACATCTACGAGCACAACCTTTACCGCGACCTGGATATGCCTGATTCCAAGGGCAAGGAAAAGGCTATTACGAATGGCCCCGACGTCGGAACCAGCACTGGTTGAGTTTCTTGATAATTCAAGCAATAACAGAACCAGCATCCAATCTTTACGCCGGCCCCGATGCAGCTAGCGAGCTTTGAGCACAGTGGCCAAATAATTAGACCTGACGACGCAAACACCAGAGCCGAGACGACGTATCCGGATAACTTCTGGTTGATATTTGTTTTGAGTCGTTTGAACAACAGGGTCGAAGGATATTTTTTTTTTTATAGACCGCGCAGTGGATCCTTACGGATGAGTCCAGTCCAGTACTAAATGCGCCGAGTTTGAGATATAGAAGGTGTGGTGATGAGGAGGTGGACTTTTCACTTTCCTTTATTACAGCGCTCTTGGCGCGACCTGCTTTGGGTACGCGGTTTGGATAGAGCGCACTCGTACTCTTGAGCGGAGTTATTTTTCCATCAATTGAGGCATACCAAGTCGGAGTATCCCGATATCTCGGAGCTCTCCTAGCTTTCTATCTTTGCCGTGCAGTGTTTACAGGACTAGTTCCCTTGAATTGCCAGGGTTCTCTAGCTGTTGATATGCACGTGTGTGGCTAAGAGCTCATTCCAAATGTGCACGAGAGCCGCCTCGGTCCCTTATACTGTAAATGGTTATGGTTGATGATTTATTATATTTGCCTCTATTTGAGAGCTTTGTTTTGAGGAGGAATGTTATTATACATAATTGGAGTTTTAGATAAGGAGATACCCGTTGAATTGATTATTGCCAGTTAAGCAGTCTATGCGTTCTGATAGGGTTGGGTTCTAAACTCTGAAACTTGATTGATTTCGATCGTAGAACGAATAGTAAGCTAGAACTGCAACTTTTGCATAACGCCAACCCTCCGTCCATGAACGGAACTCAGCTCCGCGAGACAATATCTCCGACCAAACTCCTGCTTTGTCTGGCAAAATTGCATGAGGACAGTCTCAGCCAATGGATGTTTTCAATTGATCAACGTCTTGCCATTGCCGAGGCGAAAAAGCAGCAAGGAAGGCGCAAGCTACAAAAGGGACCTGCAGAAAGAGGTAAAGCGCCGAACTGATAATCAACGCTGAGTGGCTGCCTCTGCTTCAGCGCATAGATAGATAAACGTGCCAGATCGATAGGGCATTTGGGGGCTTGGCAGTGGGCTTTGGGGGGACAAATCGAGGTCAAATTACAGTGATAGACCCTTTGCCAAGTTGAGGATAGGTATCTCTTCTGGGTCTTTCTGAACAGGGGAGCTAAACTTTACAGTAAGGGGTGGTCTTTGTATCCTAGGCCTAACGCCAGGATAGGTAGGTCTTAAGAGTAGTATCGTGAATACAAATACCTGACCATGGCCCTGATGATCAATTGAAAGAAGGCCAGGGACTTTCTTTCTGTTCACGGTAGTCGGTTCGCAATCATGAAGCTCCAAGTCCTTGTCTCGTCCCTCGTCAGTCCTTTGGTCACTGCCTTGACCATCGCCGAGATCAATGGCGATCGATTCCTTTCGCCTTACCAGGGAAAGAATGTCACTGGTGTAGAAGGTCTTGTTACAGCCATCGGCAGCAGTGGCTTTTACTTGCAATCAACGAAGCCTGATCGCAATTCTGCTACCTCTGAGGGACTGTACATCTTTGGAAAGTCGTCTGTTGGTGATGTCTCTGTAGGAGATGTTATTACTGTCGATGGTTTCATTGAGGAGTACAGGTGAGTTTGTCACATCATTTGTCGACTATCGCTAAACAGTTATCAGATCAAACAAGGACTACATCTACCTCACGGAGCTTTCATCTCCCAAGAACATTGTTGTCAAGTCCTCTGACAACAAGCTTAAGCCCAAGGTCATCGGCAAGGATACTTACAATCCTCCAGGAAAGGACTTCACCAAGCTTGATGAGGGCAATGTCTTTGCCGTGCCCAACAACCAGACCCTTGTCTCAGTGGACAACCCCAAGCTGAAGCCTAAGTCGTTCGGTCTCGATTTCTGGGAGAGTCTTTCTGGCGAGCTCGTTACTGTCTCCAAGGGTTATGCTCTTAGCCGACCTAACAACTTTGGCGACTTCTGGGTTAGAGGTGACTGGAAGGTTTCTGGATTAAACAAGCAGGGTGGCTTGACTATGGTTGGCAGCGGTACGTTATGCTCGTGAACAAATTGTTGACTTAGCTGACTTTTTTAGATGCTAACCCCGAGGCTATCGTTATTGGCTCACCTCTGGACGGTACCAAGAACCCCGACGACATCAAGCTCGCTGATTCTGTTGGTGACATCACTGGTGTTGTGACATACGCCTTTGGTTTCTACCGAATTCTTCCTCTGACTGCCGTCAAGGTCGGCAAGCGCTCCAACCCTGAGCACCCTGCTGTCAGCTTCACCAGCAAGGGATCCTGCAAGGGTATCACAGTTGCCGACTACAACACCGAGAACTTGAACCCCAAGTCTGAGCACTTGCCTCTCGTTGTTGAGCAAATCGTCGAGAAGCTCCGCACTCCCGACCTGATCTTCCTCCAGGAGGTTCAGGATAACAGCGGTGCTTCCAACGATGGTGTTGTCTCTGCTAACCAGACTCTCGCTGCCCTTGCCGATGGTATTGAGGCTTCCAGCGGTGTAATTTACGAGTGGGCTGAGGTTGTGCCCGACAACAACGTTGATGGTGGTCAGCCCGGCGGCAACATTCGTCAGGCCTACCTCTACCGTCCTGACGCTGTTGAGCTCGTCAACCCTAACGAAGGCAAGGCCGGTGATGTCAACGCTGTCCTCGATGGCCCTTCATTGAAGTTCAACCCCGGCCGTATTGACCCTGCCAACAGTGTCTGGGACAACAGTCGCAAGCCCCTTGTTGCTCAGTGGAAGCCTGTCAAGGGCACCAAGAAGTCCTTCTTCACTGTGAACGTTCACTTCGGCAGCAAGGGTGGTTCATCTTCTCTGCACGGTGACGCTCGTACTCCCGTGAACAAGGGCGTTGAGAAGCGCACCAAGCAGTCTGAAGTCACTGCTGTAAGTTTTCAGCCCCTTTTACCATCTAGTACCGAACTAACAACCTCTAGGATTTCGTCGCTGAGATCCTCAAGAAGGACCGCAAGGCTCACGTTATCGTGGCTGGTGACTTCAACGAGTTCGCCGATGTCGCACCTATCCAGGCTTTCATCGAGACCTCTGGTCTCGTTGACATTGACGACGCGGCCAAGATCCCCATGACAGAGCGATACACATACTTGTTTGACAGCAACTGCCAGGCTCTTGACCACATGTTCATCAGCAAGGAGTTGCGCAAGGGCATCAAGTACGAGCACATGCACATCAACACCTGGCAGGACAAGGCGGGCGAGGTCAGCGACCACGACCCCAGCGTTGCCTTGTTCGATCTGTGCTAGAGAAAATACTGTTGTAAATAATTGTATATTAGTCAACACTATATCAAACTTGTCTTTACTTTCTTTGCATGTGACATGCATATATATCCATCGTGCTTGTTCTTCCTGCTATTCTGTAAGTTCCCTTCCTCTTACAACTACCCAACCTTGGGGTATTAGAAGAATTAGCCCCTAAAGTATAAGAGATGAGATTATTTGGTTACCTTATGGTAGCTTAGACTAACTTTTAGGCTACTTGATTAGAAGATAATCCTTACGTTACTTACTTGCCTTGATATCTAATACCTTACTATTGGATGCTGCCATCGGCTGCCAGTGCAGTGCCATGGCCCGTCATGAGAGTGCCAACCTTGGGCGCCGAGAATTCAGGCATGGGTTTTATTGTTTAACAGCTATTGGCAGTGTCAGCTTTCTTTAAGCATTGGAGTAGCATGACTTCTGCCCTCGCTCGAGAGAAGTGCCCCATTGACCCACGGCTTACTTCCTACAATTCATCAACATCGAAGAAGAGCGATCTCAACTTAACACCACAAGTAACGCAGAAGATTGCCTAGAAACCATGAAGAACAGCACGCCCAAGTCAGCGCATAAAGACTCGAAGAAGATGCACGGGAAAAAACATTCACTCAGCCCCCCGGAGAGTCCCCGAAGCAAAGTCCAGAAGCGACTCGAAGCAGCGGTCGCATCAAAGAATTCATCTGCGAACGAAGTCAGTACCAAGAAACCCATCAAGCTTATGCTAAGAGGAGCTCCTCCGAAACCCCAACAAGAGACTCAAATGGAAGACGCTTCTGCCCCGGACGCCGAAAAGATCCTACCAACATTCTGTAGATCCGACGTCCTTGAGATCGCTACTGCAGCCCAAAACACCACTGCCGATCAATGGGAAGAGTTCAAACCCAAGCTTCTCAGCATGCTGGATCAACTGCAACCAGATCCGACACCCAAGCAATCGGAAGCAGCCGTGGCACGTCTCCAGTCGGCGATTTCTATTATTGGACAAGAGAGGTCCTTAATTCCTGCTGAGGCATGGAAAGAGTACGAAGAGAAACTCATCAACAAGGCAAAGGACGGAGATTTCGATGCGGATTGGAACACACGACTGTCCAAGATTGGCAAGATCATCTGGCAGGAAGAAGAACTGGTTGCGATGGAAAGCAGAAACTGGGATCGACTTCGTGCTGCCGCCCGCGCCTGGACCATTCTCGCCGAGGTAACTGGTCCTATGGGTGATGAACAGCGTTCGAACGAATGGCTGCTCCAGAAGCTTGGGGACGTTGACTTTCAAGAGAGGCTGTTTGCGTGCCGAGACCGACTTGTGGCCATAGAAGGCCCTGCGGCTAGTGAGGATCAGTGATTTAGGAATGTGGTCTAAGCTTAGGATACAATAATAAAGTAGTCTAAAGGCTAGTCTAAGCTACCAAAAAGGAATTCAATTGTTTCGTCTCTTGTGCTTCTGGGGTCAATTTCTGATGTCGAGTAGTTGTTAGAGGAAGGGGACTTACAAATGGACATGGCCCACGTGACTTCGTGTCTCCTGAAACGCGTGGTCGCGACAAGCTAAAGCAATGACGACATGGACGCTCCTATCTTTGTTCTGGTTCCAAGATATTATTGAATGCCATTTTTCATTTGTTTAATCCAATCGGTTTCTTCCAATTGTCAAAATGCCTCCCCGAAAACGTGCGGCAGAAGCTATTTCCAGCTCTCGCCGAAGCTCCCGACGCACCTCCACCATCAAAAGTCAATACTTTGAAGGTAGCGATGCTACAGAAGAGAGTGATGCGCCGCCACCAAAAAAGCGTGGAAGACCTGCAAAGAAACAACTCAAAAAGGAAGAATCTGAGGAGTCTTATGGCGACGAGCTAGCTCAGGAGGAACCGGAGGAAGAAGAGGATGACGACGATGAGGATGATGAAGATGCCCCTATGAAGGTCACTATCATTCCCTTGGAAAAGATGAGGGACACAGATGGTATAGAATATAAAGACTTCAACTTACACAAGAATACGTTATTATTCCTGAGGGATCTCAAAGCAAACAACCAGCGACCTTGGTTAAAGTGTAAGTCTATGTCAATGTAACCCCAGAAGCTTGGCTAACTTATATAGCACATGATGGAGAGTACAGACGAGCCCTAAAAGACTGGAACTCCTTCGTCGAATGTACTTCAGAGTCCGTTATTGAAGCGGATGAGACAATCCCCGAACTACCCATCAAGGACTTGAGCTTCCGCATTCACCGAGATATTCGCTTCAGCAAAGATCCTACGCCGTACAAGGTACGATCCTTGATTGATGTCTAGATATATACTAACAATTACAGCCTCACTTTTCTGCTGCGTGGTCTCGCACTGGCCGCAAAGGTCCATACGCTTGCTACTACATCCACTGCGAACCCAAGAAGTCATTTATCGGTGGCGGTCTCTGGTGTCCCAGTGGTGATCAAATGCACAAGCTTCGCGCCAGCATCGACGAGAGACCAAACCGGTGGCGTCGTGCCCTCAATGACGAAGCCTTCAAGCGCACCTTTCTACCCAAGGCGGCCAAGAAGTCCGATCCTGAAGCAGCGCTACTTGCATTCGCAGAAAAGAACCAGAGCAATGCGCTAAAGACGAAGCCAAAAGGCTTCACTGCAGAGCATCGGGATATTGCATTGTTGAAATTGAGAAATTTTACTGTTGGAACGCAGATCGATGATGGTTTGTTCTATCGAGATGATGCGCAAGAGAAGATTAGTGAAATCATTCGTCCCATGGTGGGATTTGTAAGTTCCTTGCCTTACTGTGACTGGCTTGTCTGACCCGTTTAGGTTTCGTTCTTGAATAGTATCGTTATGCCAGACCCTGGCCAGGACGACGATAGCGACGAAGAGGATGAGGAAGACGAAGAAGAGGGAGAGTCTGTTCACGATGACGACAGCGTTGTTGAATAAGTATTGACTGCAAACATAGAGCAAGCACGATTGGAAAATATTTGGATCATACAAGCGAACCTGTACGAATAAGATTACTATAAGTTAGGATCAACATGAACAAGATATATTATTGAACAAACCCGTAGCTGTGGCGTCTTATATCAGGGGGACTTATGAAGGATGCAGAAGTTGTGAAAAACTATTGTAAATTCCCACACAACTTAGTAGCTCTTGGTAAATACAAAGGCTGTCTACCCGCCATGTCTCTTATGCAGCTCCACAAGGACAATACTACGTAGGCAGTCAAGTATGTTGAGAAGAGGGAGATATCACGTCATGGTGACTACGGTCAGGAGCTTTTACAGTTAGCTAGTAGCAGGCAGAACCAGCAAATGAAGATAGGTGTATGTCACATGCGAATAAAGTAAAGACAATGTTGATATAGTGTTGGCTGAAAATCATCATGAGATTGCGCTATCTACTTTACATACTGCGCGTTTGAGTCTCCAACCAAACACCGAAGAAACTTCATTTATGCTCTTTTCTCAAACATGAATTCTATGCGTTTACAGCTCATCGTGGATGTTGTCATCCTGCTCGCCACCGGCGCCGCCAGCACCCTGGTACATCTTGGAGGTGATGGGGTAAGCGACGTTGGACAGCTTCTCCTTCTGCTCCTCGAAGTCCTCGGCGGTGGCGTCAGCGCCGTGCTCCTCGAGCCACTCGTTGGTCTCCTTGACAGCGTCGAGGATCTGGAATATGTTAGTATGTTTTCTTTGGTCATGTTGTCAATGATGGGTAAACTTACAGTCTCCTTCTCCTCCTCGTCGATCTTGCCACCGAGACCCTCCTCGTCGTTGACCTGGTTCTTGAGAGAGAAAGCGTAGTTCTCAAGGCCGTTTCGGGCCTCAATGCGCTCACGGGTAGCCTTGTCCTCCTCGGCGTACTTCTCAGCCTCAGCGACCATGCGCTCGATCTCCTCAGGAGTGAGACGGCCCTTGTCGTTGGTGATGGTGATGGACTCCTGCTTGCCGGTGCCCTTGTCGTGGGCAGAGACCTTGAGGATACCGTTGGCGTCGAGCTCGAAAGAGACCTCAATCTGAGGGACACCACGGGGGGCAGGGGGAATGCCGGTAAGCTCGAACTTTCCGAGGATGTTGTTGTCCTTGGTCAGAGATCGCTCACCCTCGAAAACCTGGATGAGAACCACGGGCTGGTTGTCGGCAGCGGTGGAGAAGATCTGGCTCTTGCGGGTAGGGATAGCGGTGTTACGGGGAATCAGCTTGGTCATGACTCCACCAGTGGTCTCGATACCGAGGGTAAGAGGGTTGACATCCATGAGGACGACACCGGAAGTACCCTCCTCACCGGAAAGAACACCAGCCTGAACAGCGGCACCGAAAGCGACAGCCTCATCGGGGTTGATACCCTTGGAAGCCTTCTTGTTGAAGAAGTCCTCAATGAGCTGCTGAACCTTGGGGATACGGGTGGAACCACCGACGAGAACAATGTCGTCAACGTCGGACTTCTTCATCTTGGCGTCCTTGAGAACCTGCTCAACAGGCTTCATGGTCTTCTTGAAGAGGTCAATGTTGAGCTCCTCGAACTTAGCCTGGGTAAGGGTCTCGGAGAAATCCTTGCCAGCGTGGAAAGCCTCAATCTCGATACGGGTGCTCTTCTGAGAAGACAGAGTACGCTTGGCCTTCTCGGCCTCACGCTTGAGCTTACCCATGGCCTTGAGGTCCTTGGTGATGTCGACGTTGTTCTTCTGGTTGTACTGCTTGGCGAAGTAGTTGATGACACGCTGGTCGAAATCCTCACCACCAAGGTGGGTGTCACCAGCGGTAGCGAGAACCTCGAAGATACCGTCGTCAATGGAGAGGAGAGAGACATCGAAAGTACCACCACCAAGATCGTAGACAATGATCTGGCGCTCACCATCGGTCTTGTCAAGACCGTAGGCGATAGCGGCGGCGGTGGGCTCGTTGACGATACGGAGGACGTTGAGACCGGCAATGACACCGGCGTCCTTGGTGGCCTGTCGCTGGTTGTCCTGCGGGGAGGTTAGCTGGCTGGTTTATTGGCATTGCTGAGCTGTTGGAACTTACGTTGAAGTAGGCGGGGACGGTAACAACGGCGTGGGTGACCTTCTTACCGAGGTAGCCCTCAGCGACCTCCTTCATCTTTCCGAGAACCATAGCAGAAATCTCCTCAGGAGTGAACTGCTTCTTGGCGCCATCGACCTCAACCTGGACGACGGGACGGTCATCACGGTTGACGACCTTGAAAGGGAAGTGCTTGATATCACCCTGGAGAGTCTTCTCGGAGTACTTGCGACCAATGAGACGCCTGAAGATAGCTGTTAGCAATTGTTGAGGTTTGCAACGATATTGGGGAGTGCGTACTTGATATCGTAGATGGTGTTGGTGGGGTTGGCGGCGGCCTGGTTCTTGGCGGCGTCTCCGACCAGACGCTCATCCTCGGTGAAGGCGACGTAGGAAGGAGTAATTCGGTTACCCTGATCGTTGACGAGGATCTCGACCTTGCCCTTCTGCATCACACCGACACAGCTGTAAGTAGTTCCCAAATCCTGGACGAGTCAGTTAGCGGGGTCATGTCTTGTCATGATGGGAATGCGAGGAGAACGTACAATACCGATGACGGTGCCATAGTTGTCGACCTCGTCAGCCTGAACGGTCTGAACGAAAGCCAGAGGAGAGAAGAGGAGGGCGATCCAACAAAGGAGTCCCAGGCCAAGGGCCATTGAGCTCCTTGAACGAGCCATGATGAGCTCTATGGTGTAGTTGCTTTGCTTGATTGAAGTGCAACAAGACTTGTTATGGAAAAAGAAAAGAAAAGCAAATCAATCAATCGTCAAGCAAAGGCTTTTCAGTTTTGCCTTGCACACAAATTGTTGTTTGGGAAGAAGGGGTATCTTTGAATGTTGGAAGAAGCGGATTTGAGAAGAGGAAAGGCTGACAACTTATTAAGTAAGGTGTTCTCTGGGCTAAGGCGGGCTGTCTCCAAAAAAAAGTTAAGGTGTCCAGATGGCACAAGAGGCCAGATTTCACATCATTCGCAGCCCCACGTGACAGGGGTGCAGCGCTTTTGTATGGGGCTTCGGCACTGTACATGCCGCCTTTTCTAGGTTACGATTCCCACGAATTATTTGATGCGATACTTGTTCACAGACTTGAAGACAGTGTTTGTAAGACAAGGCTGTTCAGCCCCTGGCGCGCTAGAATAGTGAGCCGTGAACGCCTCAATCACAGGGGGGCCACTGCGTAGAAGTACCGCCACCTTGATACAGAATGAAAGAAGCGGTTGGAAGATACGAAGGATCAAGAATGGATCATTTCTACCGAGTTCTATAGATAGTGAGTGACTCACGTCAGCTTGTGCTTGTTTTAATTGAAAAACTTTCTGATGCAACCCTGTATTCCATCAAAGCTATTCACTGCGAATAAAGGAAACTTGGCCTCTTTTTTTATCTCCAGATTCGAGAATATTCCCACCGTCCATCCCTCAGTGGGTCACTTCGGAGCCTAGCTACCGAAGGTGTCCTTTTTGGTGAGGGGGATAGAGGATCCTCATATCCCTTAATATCGTATATTACATGCTCAAGCGGAAGCTCTAAAGCCTCTGATACAATATGGTTGTCATGCGTCCCAATGAATGACTTGTGTATAGAAGGTTGTGTTTCATGATTGGTATCTGTCCTGAATGGAGATTCCTTGTACCATGATTGGTTGTTCCTAAATTATATCCACTTTAGCCACCCTACACCAAATCAAAACAACAATGAAGGTACACTTGCTATCTATTCCAAGAGGCAGTGATCGAGTTCGCAGGTGACCTGGGGCCATTATTTGTTCTTCAACATTTCATTTCTATAGATCTATGTTGATATTCCTGGCAGTGTGTTTAATCTTGATCTCGATGGGCTAATCTCATCCCAAAATGTAGGCAAAACTTAGTGACACTGGTGACGTGAGCAAAGTACTTAATTCAGAATGCCTTTGGACTTCAATTCGTTATACTGTTTCCTGTTGAATATCTGCTAAAATTCAGGCTAATCCGGACTTGGTCGAAAAGTACATGTTTTGGACCCGTCTCAACTTCCCCGTTGCAAATTGAAGCTACCTACCTCCCTGTCCAAGAGAACAATGTATGTATTTAAAGTACCTTCCTCTGACGCCTCTCTTAATGGTCTGTACTTAGACTGGACTTGATTGAGCCTGGGTCCCGAAGCGGCTTAGCAAGATCTCAAGGCCACACAGGGACACGTTACTCCTAGGGACCATAAGTACCGAGTCCAGTCGCCCTCCGTTTGATACTCTTATTGTACCTAAGCAAGTTACATGTATGCTACTGGCTGTCTTAACAAGTGAAAAGAGGCATGCAATATCCATGAGCCCTCAAGTTAGTGAATATCATCAGAGAGCCCACAGTCAACCGTCTTATAATTTACCACCTTTGGAAGCGTATTCAATTATCCCAATACCTAGGCCGACAATGTCAGCAAACTGTATGAGATCGCCCAATGACTTCATTCTCTGTCAGACTGTATACATTTGGTTGATTAGAGGTGGACCAGATATATATGTCAGCGGTGTGGTAACTGGTAAGGGACCCCGAAGAGCCGCTGGAGGCGAGCCAGCTGCAGACTTCCTTAGAGGCAGGTGGATGTCAGAAGAATTGTCTAAGGCTTCAGCTATATGAGTAAAGTAACCTAATTGTTAGCCTAAGCTTGCATGAGATGACCAAATTACCTCGTCTCTTATACTCTCGGCGGCCAATTGTTCTGACACCCTGACGAGAGGGTAGTTCCTTGATTTTGCCTTGTACGAAAAGAGAAGGATGGAGGTTTGACAGACTTTCATGGCCTGCTAGCTCATCATCATTACTGTCAACATCGTCGTCGTCCAGTCCATTGAGGCGTTGTTTCTTGGGGTTGACAGGAAGAGAACCAGACACGTCTGGAAGGACCGGTGCAGCCTTTCGCTCGACAGAGCCTT